GGTATGCGTGCTTACTCTTTAATGGGTATAGCTATGTATACTTTAAGAAATGATCTTTTATATGTAGAATCCATTTATATTGCCCTAAAGGCTCATGGCACATATCAATTAGATCAATTTAAACCTGCTCCCACGCTCGCCCACTTATAATAGGGACTAACGGAGCTTTTGTAGTAGATGGTCGATTTAGAGTACAGTTCTTACACTGCTTTATAATGAACTCTACTTCTTCTCTCTTTAGTCTATAGAACTTTCGTTGTATAATATTCCATGTTTTCGTACAGCCTACGTGTAGGAGTTGTAGGTGTTCATTAATAATAGTATTAAAAGCATCGCTTGTAAGGATCATACATCGTGGGTTTTGAAACCTAGCGGTAGGCTTATAGTAAAGCTTATTATGTTGAAGCATAAACTCTGTTTGCGCACGATGCTTAAGCCGTGATTTAATAGGATTTGTAGGTTTCATCGATGGGTTCTAAAGATAGAGGAGTAATTGACAGTATTTTAAGTAGTCTATCCGCTCTCTATTACTATAGGTAAAGCTATGAATATAGGCTTGAAAAGCAGTGCGCACATCCTGAGGAAATGGATTAATCTGTGCAATAGTAGGGTCTGCCATATTAATGAAGTTGATATAATAGAAAGCAGATATAATGGATCTATCTACAATATCTATACTATATTACCCCGCACAGGTTGGGCATCATTCGTGGTTGGGCCGGCCCATTCGCGAATGGGCCGGCCCGCTCGCGGAGGATCATATTCGTGGTTGGGCTGGCCCATTCGCGAATGGGCCGGCCTATTCGCGAATATGAATCATTCGTGGTTGGGCCGGAACATATGTGAATTACGTTAGTAATATTATTACGGCCGATATTATTATCATGTGACTGGTTTCTTGGCAGACCAGTATTAGGAGCCGAGACGGACGCCAAGGGAACACGGGAGTATTCGTTTACGAGCGGAAGCAACGATACGGGCATTACTAATGAGTGGTTCTGTAGGTGTGAGCGCTGATCAAGTTTGTGATAGACGTAGACCAACGCCTCGAAGACTTTGAGCCCAGAATCTGTTGCATGACTGGTAGCGCGACTTTCTCCGGCAGCGCAACTTCTGCGGTGACGTAGCTTTCTGCTTTGAGTAGCACAACTTCTGCGGTAAGGCACAGTCAGGATGCAACTTCGCCGCAAAGAAGTTCCTTGAGGCTCACTATGGACAGGACAATTATTCTTCACGTGCAACCTCGAGAAGCGATGGAATGTTTGGTTTCTCAGCCGTACAACCCCCATTAATTCACACTAAGTCTCACAAGCGCTCTTCCTATCGCAGTATGCCCCTTACAAACTGTGAACTTTCGAGTGCTGCGTCCACTTCCTGAACGTTTTTCCAAAATACCAGAAAATGATCCCAGTAAGACACCACAGAAGAGTCAAGCTCATGTTCGTCATAATGGGTTGGATATAGCCGCTCTTGATAGTCCATGGCGTAATGAATTTCGAGAAACCGTATCCCCAGACATTCTTGTTAATAGTAATAGCGACAAAGATTGGCCCTGCGACAGGTTTGTACGAATCGATGGAGTAGGTGGAGGAGATAGATGGTAGGGCCGCGACTTGTATACCCGCGCAGGTATAGCCGATTATAACGATAACCTGTATACTATAAGTTTCGACTGCTCCCTGTCACCAAGTCCTCGCATTTTTAACATACCTTCCAGTCCCATTTGTGTTCATATCCAACAGCAACAATCACATTTCCAATAACCATAAGAATAACATAGGGAATCATAGCTAATAGACGCATTTCAGGTTCACGAATGCTCTTATTCCTCTTCGTTAACCTCGCTGCAACCGCGTCGCTTAATGGACCAGCTGTTAAAAGACCAATAAGAGCACCAATCAAGATAGCGAAATTTAAAAACCCAATTTTAGTAGAAGAAAAGTTATATGGCGGAGCAGCAAATACTTGTGACTGTGTTAAATTGAGAGTCAAGAAGCAAGAGGCTGACCAGGATACGATAAAAGCCGAGAACTCAACGATAGGGAAAGCCAAAAGATACCACGGCATCCAAAGCTCTATGAAGAAGTTTCCCTCGTAAGGTTGCCAGAGTCTCCACTGGGCCTTCGACGGTTTGCCGCGGCCGAGCCACGGATCTTGATGGGTGTGGATGTGAGTGAGGGTCTCGCTACCCTCAGATTTCGTTGTCGGCTCCTGGGATTGAACTGGTTTTTCTTTCTGCAACTCAGCATCGTCTATCATTGAACTAGGGATGCCATTTTGAGCGGATATTCCTTCGACATGCTCAGAGGACCGTGATTTCAACAGTGACGGCGTGATTGTGCTGTTTGCAGGTACGAAAGAGCGTTGGAATTTGGTCTCTGGGAAGAGGAAGATGCAGCATACTCCTACAAAGCCGAGGAGAGCAGTGTTGAGCCACCAGAAGTTTCGCCACCCTAGCTGTTGAGCCATAGGACCAGAGATGATAGGTCCAGCCTGGTGATGTTAGACAAGTAAAATAGTAAGGCCATAATGGGGGCTATATACCATGAGGGAGCCAAAATAGAATGCAAAGTATAGAGTTTGATATTTGCCACGATCGTGGAGGAAGATTACATCGGCGATGATAGCAGGCTGTGCAGTTTCTGCTGGTCCAGCTCCGATTCCATTGAGCACACATGCGCCCATGAAACTATTATATGAGGTCGCCCTTGCTCTCCAGATACTGCTAGCAAAGCAGATAAATATCGATATGATCAGCACCGGTCGTCGTCCAAAGCAAGTCTGGACGGGAACCCTACAATTGTGAATAAAGTTCCATGTTCAAGATTCGGAGGGCAAACCAGATGAAATTACTAAATCCGAGCACCAAAATTGCAACACCAGTAAATTGTACGACATCGGTTAAGTTCGAGTCAAACGCGACGATATAGTCTCCGAACATAGGCGCCTGTGTGATAATTAGCACAGAACATGACTAGACAAAAACTCGGAGTATTAACCAATGCTAATGGTCCAAATCCTTGAGAGAAAGAGACCATAGTAGCGCACATAATAGTAAAACCTTTCCACATAGGACTCCAGTTCTGCTTACTGTCAGCGCCAGTTTAGCTCTGTTAAATGATGGGCGGTATATTTACGAGAGGATCGTGCTCATCATCGCTAGGTTGAGGGACCAAGACTAGACCTGCTCCAGCTGACAATTTGACGAAGTGATGGGTTCCAACATCTTTCATAATCTCCGTTCCTGGATAGATTTCGGTATGGAGCTCATGCTCTAAATCTCTAACAGCCTGCGTTAAGACCACGAGTTAGTGTCAACTGTAGATTGCGTTGGGTCACCCAAGATAATCGGCCTACATTCTCATCCAGATTCTGGTCCATGGCATCAGATTCGATAAATGAAATTTGATAGATGAAATGCTCGCGGATTTTCCGATCGAAGAATCTGCAACCTTGGTGATGCTGCTCTCACAAGTCTTAATGTTGTTAGAAATATTGGAAGTGGAGCTTGCTTGCTTTAAAGGCTCGACAGGCCGATCGCAGCTTGTTGCACCATGCTCTTCTTCTCATTGCTTGAATTATTACTAGTCCGTATCAAGCCCCTCCGACACACGGAATGCCAGTGCGGCAGTTAAGCTATTGGACCGCAATCGGTTGGGCATGACTTAAAGCTGCTAAGGCGTTGCTTCCTCCGAAGCTATACTACGTATTCTAAGAGCCGGTCGGTGTTTCGTCGTGGCAGCGTCGTGCTTGCGGCTTGCCTTCCATTACAAGGGTGGTTCGTGGAGGCCAATCACACCCAGTTACATCCGGAGACTGTGGCTACAATGCCTTACTGCGCATTAGTAATTCGGTCCGGCTCTACCTAATATAGTTAGTCTTCTGATTTTAGCCTTCCCACATATGAATTGCCAGGAGAAACCACCTCCCTTTTTTCGAAATCTTTAAGCACTTGTGAAGTTGTGATTGCGGGGTACGAGACCGGGGGGAGAGCCGGTCCGATGGCCTAAAACGAAATCGTCTTGATTTTTCGGACAGACGCGGCGAAATATTGGAATTGGACCTGCAGTTCAAACGCAGGGCCAATGCAGGAGATTTACTTCGATCACGAGGGTGTTGCTTAAGTTAGATATAATTCAGCCAATTCTTCCATCTTGCAAATGGGCGTGTGCTAACTAGAAGTGCCAATCAAGTCTGTCAGGATGAAGTTCTTCTCTAAGTGCCTCCTTTTTTTCCACGGATTGACCGCCTTGACGGTTGCCCAACAAATCGTCACCGATGCAAAGGCAGCATGCGGGAAACTTGGAGCATCGCTGGCCATTGAGAATGTGCACATCAATTTCGTCCAATACTTGCCTGCCGGTACAAACATCAGCCTGACTCAAAATTACAATCTTTCATCGTGCGGATATGTAAGCCAGGTTGTTTCCAACGATCTTTGCCGCGTGGCAATGTATGTTGCAACGAGCTACAGATCTGGGATTACACTCGAAGCTTGGTTACCTACGAACTGGACCGGAAGATTTCTGAGCACTGGAAACGGAGGCATTGGTGGCTGTATACAATACGCGGATCTGGCATACGCTGCAGGGCTAGGATTCGCCACTGTCGGAGCAAATAACGGACACAATGGCACATCAGGGTATGCATTTTACAGGAATATGGATGTTGTCCACGACTTTGTGGACAGAAGTCTTCATACGGGAGTTGTTGTAGGAAAGGAAATTGTTAAGCGGTATTACGGAGCTGCTCATAAGAAGTCTTACTACCTAGGATGCAGCACAGGGGGTCGACAAGGGTTTAAAGCTGTACAGAGTTATCCAAATGACTTTGATGGTGTTGTAGCTGGAGCTCCGGTAAGTTATCAGTGTAGCGGAGCGTGTAGACTAACATTTGGCTGATGAAGATGTAGGCAATTGACTTTACAGACTTGACATCGTGGAGTGCTAGCTTCTACACGATATTTGGCAGCGCAAACGACTCAACCTTCGTTCCAGCGGGTGAACTGTGGGCTTTAATTCATCAAGAAATCTTGAACCAATGCGACAGCATGGATGGCGTAGTAGACGATATCATCGAAGACCCTCTGATGTGCCAGTTCCGCCCAGAAGCGCTTCAATGCCCACCTGGGACCACGAATTTCACTAGCTGTCTCACGAACGTCCAGGTCAGTGCAGTGAGAGAGGCATTCACCGACTTCTATGGTCTGGACGGAAAGATCATCTATCCACGAATGCAGCCTGGATCTGAATTAATTGCTGAAGATATCTATTACACGACTGGACCGTTCCCTTATTCCGTTGATTGGTTTCGCTACGTGGTTTACAGTATGTTACTTTCCCCGAAGCCTCCTCTTTCTCAATTGCTGATTCTCTCGCAGACAATCCAAATTGGAATGCTGCGACTTTCAATAGACTTGATGCAAAAGCGGCCGCTGACCAGAACCCTTTCAATATTCAGACTTGGAATGGGGACCTCTCCGACTTTCGAGCTGCCGGAGGGAAATTACGTGAGTTTCAACTGCCTCGACCTGAGTACAATCGCTGACTCAAATGTTAGTTACGTATCATGGGCAGGCAGACTACATTATCTCCTCTGATAATAGTCCTCGATACTATGATCATGTCTCTCGGACTATGGGTCTCCCATCTTCCGACCTCGATGAATTCTACCGCTTCTTTAGAATTTCTGGAATGGGTGAGTGTCGCTGTCTACCATTTCTCCTCTTTTTGCTGATCTTGAGCCAGGCCATTGCGGCGGAGGTGTAGGCGCCCATGCCATCGGCCAAACCGAAGCAGAAGTATCAACCTTAGATCCTCAGAACAATGTCTTGCTACGTATGGTTGACTGGGTGGAAAATGGGAACGCCCCAGTTACCGTCACAGGGACGAAATATATAAATGTAAGTCTGAGCCGGCATGATAGGGATATCTAGCTGACCGAGACGTTGTAGGATGACCCTTCTCAGGGAGTAAGTTTCGTTAGGAATCATTGCAAGTATCCCCTAAGGAACTTCTGCACTGATGGTGCGAATTATAAGTCCCCGGAATCTTGGACTTGCATTGAATAATTTAAATCTTCATAAAAACTTCTCTGCGTAGGAGTACTTAAAGCCGTTTCAAACACTGCTTCCTATTATTACAATATCAACATCTCTCTTTAATGATTTTTCAGACTATAACATGTCTTCGCAAATGTCTACGGCTTTCGTTGGTGCTGTCACGGGATGACGCGTCGGACACCTGTTAATATATCATGTGATCTCGTTTAAAAGTCCTTAAAAGCGCGAGGAATCCCGAATCTTCTTCTGAATCCCTCGCGGTACGTCTTGTATCTAGAATCAAATTACATACCTTGACTCGAACTCTCACAGGTACCTTGAAATTTTGTTAGGCGAATTGTGCTGTCTGGAGTGGCGGATGTGGGGTGCGGGGTAAACCCACTTCTAGCCTAGCGTATCGTCAAAGCTGGACTAGCTCGGCTAAGTCTTTCTAGAGAAGATCTATTTAGGTCGTCGGACCGATCCCCACTTCCACCAAGAACGCGCAGCTGCCGACCTCTTCGATAAGTAGAAACCCAGCTTTTGATGTAGGGCATCACACCGAATTCCAAATTCCATCTCTACTCTCGACGGTTGATACGAAAGTACACCCTGATGGCTGACTTTCATTCTGGGCAAGCTCATGGAGAGGGTCGGGGCGGGGCCTACAGTGCTTTCAGTGCAAGGCATAACGAGCAGTCCAATGAGCCGATAGCTTGCCGTCGCTGTCGGAAGCAAAAGGTGCGAATGGCCCAGCGAACCCCCTTCAAATTAAGTGATTACTGCTCCAATATCGATTGATTGGACCGCTGATCCTGAATCTTGTCTTGGATTCTAGTTGCGTTGCTCGAAGGAGAAACCATCCTGCAGGAGATGTCAAAGCATTCCGGTCGTCTGTACTTATCCACCTCCACCAGACAGAAGGCTTTTAGCAACTCAAAGAGCACGAAATCCCAAACTTCATATCCACAGAGAACCTGAGGCTTCCGACTTCCAAGAGCGGCAAAAAACCTCTAATGCCACTGGACGACCCCCGGCTCTTCAAGAACCAGCTACGCTGTCGCCTCAAATGGCCCTACTTCTTATTGGGATATACTTTTCTCGTCATTGGAATGCTGAGCTGATGATCCATAAGCCCAGCTTTACTTCCGATTACTTCGATAACAAAGTCCCCGATTTCGTATCTCTAAGTATCTTTGCTCTGGCTTCAAAGTACGACTCCGATCGTATCTAACGCCTTGCATCTGTAATGCTGAGCTCTTTCTAGCTTCCTACGACAAACTCCACAGCGACCCTGCCTCGACGAGAATAGTATCATTGCAGATACCCTGCAGTTGACAGCAACATATTCCAGCAGTCATGCACGAGAATGGGCCGCAACTGCAGGTCAGCAGGCCTTGTCAAGGATCGATAAACCTTGCCTCGAAGCCATTCAAGCATGCCAAAATCTGTCATTTTACTGGTTCTATCAAGGCGACACGGATCGAGCAACCTTTTACACAAGTAAGGCTCAACTAGCATCACTGCCTCCAGAAGCATATATTTGACGTATTCTAGCTACTGCATACCGAGCGTGTCGCCTGCTGCGCTTTCACCGCCAACAAGCTAGTGATATCGACCCACTGCTGGTTGAAGTAAACAGACGCTGCTTTTGGTCATGTTGGATAACTAACTGCATTAGCCAAGATAATGCAGGCTTTAAGGCTGAAAGCTGGAAAGAGGTGGTAGGGCTTCCGTTACCATCTGATCAGAATTCGTTTCTGTTGGGGAAGCCTGACTCGAAGGAGATCTTTGCTCCTAACGGAGATATCGTACCTATAAATGTCGAGCCTAGCCAAAATCCACCACCTTCAATTATGAGCGAGTTAGTGAAAGTCTTCGGCCTGTGGTAGACTATCTAGTAGTAAATTCGAAGTATACCTGCTAACCGCTTCTTAGGTGGGAGGTTCAACACTTCGTTAGACAACATATGGAAAGCTCTCATCGCGATTCTCTCAGTAGGCTCCCTACATTCTTAGCGCTAGATCGACGCCTCGAAATCTTTCTCGAAAAACTTCATCCAGACTTCCGTTATTTCGGCCTCTCATCTTTAACACCCCTTAAAACCGACCCTTATAGGCTCTTTTCTCTTCTTTGTATCTATCATCTATGTGCTTGTATTCTGCATTCTTCTATTGTTCCTGTCTTCTCCGGTGTTGCCTCAGATCCTCAAATCTCTAAGAGATTTTCCAGAATGTCGGCTAAGGAGGCTATCAAACACTCTACTATTGTCCTTGACATGGCAACGACGTTTCTGAACATTTGTACTGATGTGACACGATTGTCTGGCATTACTGGCTACGCCTTATTTGTATCCTCCTCCGTCCAATTCAAATCCCTTAGCGCTCAAGGCAAGCTACAAAATCATGGCATAAGTCGTTGCGATGCTGCAATATTGATGCTACAGCACCTTAAAGAATACTCGCGTCCACTCCAGGTCATAGTATTTTACCCACCCTATGCCTCTCACAAACACCGCTAATACAAACAGTGGACAAACCTCAGTTCCCTCTTTTCTTCTGCAAATATCGACGTTAATAGCCTTTCTCCCGGAAATGGCAACAAAGATGGAGCGTTGGATCCAAATACAGACATCGGGAAAATCGTCTCTGAAAAACCTATCTCTCGTGATAGTACAAGCAATATAGACCTCTATACCTACTTCCCGGATGCAGAGTCAGCTAGCACTAATTCCCCGGGTAATATACAAGAAACACAGTCTGCAGCAAACATACTGAAGACGATGAAACAGAGTGCTGTAAGGCAAGAAATCGGGTTGCCGATACACACTAGTCATACGACTATGGCCGGTCCACCGAGTACGCCCATCTACCATATTTCTGCACCGAACCCCCAGTCGTATCATGCGCCTTCCCCTCAATCCCAGGTTTTCGACCGCGGTGTCGGCATACAAGATAGCTTCGACAAGCTAGCGACGTCAAACTCCGGAAATTCATCAGTGGCGAGCTTTACACCGACAAACGGGGCAACAGAAGGCGCAGGATTTCAGTTTCGAATACAGGGACAGGGAGAGGCAAGTATGATGGATGTAGCGCCGGTGGCAAGAGGGATTGATGGGACGGATCTTTGGTGGGATCAAAATTTTGATGAGTTTGAGACAGATCTTTTTGGGTTCTTGCACGGGGAATACCCATGGAATGAGGGTAGTAATTATTTTGCTTATGGATAATAATTCTAACGTCGCTCTGCAGTTCATTTTAGACGTGCGCTTAGGTCAACTATATTCGGCGTCTTAGGATAAGGTCGGTAATAATGATAACGGTGACGGTAGACATGATAACTAGGAAGTCATTAATGACCGTAACGCTAAATGGGGAGTCTCTAGAGCTATTTAGCTATGCTAATGGCTAATCTAACGGAATAGACACTAACGCTACTAAAAAGTCAGTAACCTTATAACGATACTTTAAACGCGTTCCCCTAACTTGTAGTTCTCTTACTTAAATCTATACTTAAGAACTCTAACTCCTCTTATAGTTAAGAGTAGTAATTAGACTTTAAAGACTCTCTAAACTATAAGGGAGCTTGATTTTTAAATAGAGCATATTAAGAACTATGCTATATAACATTAGAATAGCTCTCCTACCTTAATTAATAATGCTATTAGCTGCCTTGTTAAGGGGACTTAAGTTATAATGCATTCTACTATTCTACTTAAGGTAGAAGTTAAGGCTCTATAAGTAGCAAATGAATAGAAAAAGAGGAGGGAAAGGAAGCGTAAGAGGTATATAATGTAAGGGGGTAGTCTCTCTATACAAGAGGGAGAGGATATCCTTTAGAGTGCTAAGGTTAAAGCTTAAGTCTATATAGAGGTAGCAAGTGAGAGTAGTTAGCAGGTGGGTTCTATAGGCTAACAGAAGCGCTATGGCTAATATAAGAAAATAGGTCATAATACCTGTACGTGCAAGAGGCGCTAGGAATCAATTACGATCGAATAAGGGTCGTTATATAGTGTGGTGGTGTAGTAGTAGGTGGTAATAGTCAATTTTAGTGTTTCTGTGTGGCCACTCGCTTGGGGTGGCCACTTGCATGTGAAATACGTTACTTAATTTTGCGTACCGTTTTAGTCTGGTTTTGACTATACTACTGTCGGACTTATTCCTGCAAAGCTTTATAGCCTTGCGGAATTCTCAGTTCCTTGTTTAACAAATTAATAGTGTCATGTAGCTCTAGATGTATACAGACACAAACGGCATAGGGCATAGGAATCCTTCTTAGGTTATATTAGGAAACGAGCTCGCCCCTGTGAGTCCCATTAGCTGCAGGATTTGACTCTAGGAACTCAAACCAACAGAGCCAAACCAACAGAGCTAATATATCGCTCATACCTGTAGATTACGACTTAGCCAGCTAATGTATCAACGGAAACGTGATTATTATTAGTTGCAGCCTCTATATTGCAAGGTATAACTAGATGATTAAACAGGATTTGGTTCGAATCTGCATGGCTAGAATCTATCTCGAGGAAAAAATTAAGTAAGCTTTTTATCACATGGACGTGAGTATCTAATATCCGATACTGAATGATTGAGGTCAGGGATACCCCGCTCTACCCTATAGATTTGTAAAGGCAGCAGTAAAGCAGTGTGCTCATTGCCACACCTATCGATATCTCATATAAGAGTAACGCAAAATATAATATTTCAGGTATATTCATGGTAGTCACCCACGCTTCAATTGTCTTCCTCACGTCGCTGTTCAATATCGCACTCATGAATCTCAACAGACTAAACACCCTTACTGTAATCACTATGTTTATAGTAGTGTTTTGCGATGCTCGTGCTTTAGATAAAGCATTATCGTATGACATTTCTGAGTATTTAAAAAGCGTCTCATGTTACTATTCCCACTGGCTAAGCTGACACGAGAATAGTCGTCACATTGATTCTAGCCTTAATAAAAGGCAGTCCGGGACAACCTGCATACTAATATGTACTCCCGACAGTTGCTCTGACAACTCTTGCGTCTCGGCCTTAGCTAGGAAACGCGTCCTATATGACTTTTCCGATGTCAGCAGTACCACGGATTGGGGGGAGTTGGACGGAGAGCACATTATTGAGAAGCGTCGACTCACTAACCCGCGGCAGTACAACATAGCCAACTATCTGTTCGGCTAGAATACAGCGGCCAGTCTCAACAGAATATGCCCCCCTAAAGGAACCGGTGGCTTTTACCCTGGCTCTCCTAGCTTCTGTATACAGCAGGCATTCAGCACCGCCCCGCTGAATGGAGATGCACAGTGGCTGGCGGGAACAGGCCGCACGGAACTCACGGGCTGCACCGTACTCGTGGTCGTGTCTGCGCGCGCCGTTTATATGGTGAGTAGTGAAGGGAGCAGTCAACCCCCCGGCTCAACCCTTCCCCTTGGGAGAGCTTTTGTCTCACGTTTAATCATAACATAGTGTCACTTCTGGCAAGACCTTTACTATATGTACCTGGGAGCTCGCACCTTTTACGGGTTTAATGCAGTTACCAATATGATTAGAGGTTTAGGGGCTACACCAGGGGCTGTCGGCCCTGCCCTGGATGTCACTTTCTTCAACGCCCTACTAGATAATACGTGGGCATCCATTATGACTCCGCGGAACTCGGCTGCTCTTGATGATCCCTCCTAGCGGCATTTCCAATTAGAGTACAATACCCTGTAAGTTTTGTTTTAACGCCGCTGCACGTTATAGCTAGAGCGAGCAATGTTGATGTTGATTTAACAATACCGGGCAGGACGTCCGTACTCGTCGGACTTATACCTGGAATTGGCATAACTTCCTACAATTACGACTACCGTGACCCATACTAAATCTACTACTAGGGCGTCGCCCTGTTCGAGTACGACAATAACGCTGATGGCAACGGGAATGTGGACTGGCGTCTCTGGTTTGAAGCTGCAAATGAGAGAGGTACCAAGCTAGGCCAAATAGTCGCTTAGCCCAACTGAAGGTCGATCTCTTGCTATGCAATTGGAAATATACAACTTCTTTTATATGTCAAGTAGCGCTATGAACGGTGTGCTGTAGCTGACTATGTAATTGCCTTCTTGTAAAACCTAGGACAGAACCTAGTTACTACGTACTCCCATATTCTCTACGCCGAAACGCCACATATCTAGCCATCACAGGACTTCCCATTGGAGGTGGAGGAGGCGTGTGGTAAGAAATGGGTTGATTAATATCATCCCTGCTCCGCTCTAGTGATTCACTTCCAAGTCCGAATGCGTCATACCCAAGCCTCGACCGTCCAGGTCCGAGGAACAGAACCATCGGCGACGGCTGTGCACCCATCTCGTATAAGACGTTAAAGTTCAACTTGGTGACCGAGGTCGCTGTGCTTGTGCAGTAATCAAAGATCGACCTGAATGTTCCTGACGATAGGGTGACATTCTCTAGAGAGAGCTCGCTGACTCTCGTCTGCTTAATGAATGCAAGCAAGTCGGTCTCCGTAGCGTAGATACCCCGAAGCGTAGAACGAGTTAGGTTTGGCAGACTGTTTAGGGTGACGAGACGTTGTAGGAGTCGCTCATGGCACCAGTCCATAGGTAATGGCAGTCCTTGGAGCTCCCCGCGAAGGCGAAAGTAGTGGAGTTCGAAGCTCTTAAGATTCTTCAAGAGTTGAAAGAGACTTGCAAGTCCAGTAAAGTTTCTTTCATCTTGAGCTATGGATACGTCTTCTTCGTTGTGGTGATTTCTTCGAGATCGTCGTGTTGTCCTGTTATCAGTTATGACATGCCCGTCTTCGTCTTCATCAAACTTGGAGACTCGGTTAGACAGGCTAATAGAGAGTGATCGCATGGATGAGAGAGACTCGGTTAGGCCCTCGTCGTCCCAATCGACCTTACTGAGTGCATTGCAAGGTAAGCTGCACCGCTGCTGTCCTGGGCCATTAAACATGTTGAGGCTCTCAGTTCGCAATTGGCTTGTCGCCAAGGCTCTGAAAGTAGTGTGAAATGTGTCCACTGCTGCCTCTGACACAGGTCTCCAGTCATATTCTGCGCGCGCATCGGCAGGCTGAAGTCTCGCTTTAAGATCGGGGGGAACCGCTACCTCGAGTGACAGCGATGCAAGCCTTCTAGTGGGACCATTTCTTTTGAGCGCGATGAAGGACTGGCTGAGCAAGGAGTCTTTGTTTTTCCTCCACAGTTGCACTCTTCCTTGCCGTGTTCGTCGGGGTGCGTCACCACCGCCAGCAATACTGCTTAGAGTCAGTTCCTCTACAAGACAGCAGAGTCCCCCAGCCTGCGTTCCCTCGGCACATGCACGAAGCGCCTGTTCTGTTAATTCAACATGTTTCGATTGGAACAAGGCCTTGACGTGATATAACGAGGAGGATTTGATTGCTAGAGTCTTGCAGCTTAACCGGAGGTTGCGGATAGCGTCCGGCTCTAGGTAGTTGATTATCTCGTTGATTACATCAATCGTACAGTTTTCAATTAAAGAACCCATTATGCAAGTGTCGACTTTTCGGCTCTTGAGCTAGAATAGATAGATGTGCTATATTGATGGGAAAGGACCGGTGGTATGCTGTCTCCTCTTTGGTCATCAGATCGCATTATTGCAAGTTAGATCGGATGTGATCGTTAGAACCAACAGGTCGCTTCGCTCACAGTTGGAGTAAGCGACTTGCGTTCGCAACCACCAAATGTGTCAACTACCTCTATATAGTTGTTCATAAGCTACATGTATCAGTTAATATAAAGCTTGCGCTTGACATTAGATTTGCCCCGCCTAGTGTAGTTTTCCAGGTTAGCCCCTTTGCTAGGCTAGAAAACACCTTATTTTCTTTACGCCAAGTTTGTATTTAATGACGTAACATGATCAACATGAATCAGCAGAACCCAGAAATCAGGGCCACAACGCCACTATGTCTTGGCCTCGCTTTCATTCAAAGGGTTGGGGGATCATGCGAGGGTGCCTGCTCGCCAGCGTCCGAGAAGTTGGCGGCTTTAAGGCCTTCCCCTCCTCGTTCCACTCATTACTCGCATCTCCATCTTATCTCGAAGCATTTCAGGTACCCATACATCCGTCACCGAACCCTAAGTAGGTCAGGTGTGTAGGACTGATAAATTCAAATCAAATGCAACATTGATATTATATAAATGAATAAATCCCCGTGGTCGGTGCCACAAACGGGTTTCAGTTTGGATCAGTTTTGAAGACCCGCGTTGCAGCTCCCGTACTCCCTCACACACCGTTCCCAACCATTCCTAGACGCACTCTCTTGCAACAGTCATAACTCACCACGATATTGTCGCAAATGCCTCAAAATCAAACTAGAGATAGATTGTACATAGGTTAATTAAACCCCATGGTCGGTATTAGTTCGTATAAATGGGTTTCAGTTTGGATCAGTTTGAAAGATAGTGTTGGCAGCGCCTAACTACTCCGTAGACACCATTCCCAACCATTTCTAACGCACCCTCTTATAGCAGCCATAACTCACTACACTGAACTCGTAAACGCCTCAAATTTAAATGGGATATAGCTTGTATATATATCAACGAATCCCCGCCGTCGGTATCAGTTGTGAGCAACTGGTATCAGTTCGGATCAGCTTGGAAGACTGGCAGTGGCAGCTTCTGACCATTCCCTGCCACCAACACGCCATGTTCCTACAACTACTCGCCAAATCAAGGTCGTGGGCGGCTTATACGTAAATTACATATATTTTAGATATATACGATCAAATCCCGGCGGTCGGTATCAGTTGTGAGTAACTGGTATTAGTTTGGATCAGTTTGAAAGCTGGCGTTGGTAGCCCCCGACTATTCCCCGCCAGCAGCACGCGATGTTCCCAAACCTACAGCTCGCCACATAGGCACCTTATACGTGAATGGGATATACTTTAGATGTCAGCAATCAAATCCCCGCGGTCGGTATCAGTTCATACAAATGGGCTTCAGTCTGGTGTAGATGTAAAAACTAGCATTAGCACCGCCTGACACTACAGCACAAAACCACAGTCGCAATGTCTATTACATTATATACGCTCATAGCACCAACTTAAACTCCGGATCACGATCATCGCCAGACCCGATAAACTCATCATATAATCCCTTCGCCTTGTCGCGATTGACCTTTGCGCAGTACAACACGTTGAGCAGGATCCTACAAACGTCAGCATGGCACCAAACCTCAGAACGTGCAACTTACATCACCCACGCAAAACACAACAATCCCAAGATCACGGTATGCCCGATGAAGAACTCTGGCCCCTGAACCTTGGGATAGATGAACGCCGCGATAAATCCTCCACAATTCGCAATGGCGAGCTGTGCGCCTGTGGTCGTCGCGCGCATGTAGTGTCCGGCAGAGTTGTTACTGATCCATCCGAGGATGCAGGGAACGGTGGCGTAAAGTCCAGTCGCCATCAAGAACGTCATGCCATACTTGACCCTATTTGAATCGACGTTGGCAATCACTGCATACCCAATGATGGCTAGAGGCAGAGACGCGAGCATGATGGGGCCACGGAGTCGGAGATGGTCGGAGAGGAAGGCGATGCCGACTTGAAGAGGTGAGAGGAGTCACGAAAAGGGCATGGGAACATACCTGTGATGACTGCTGCCACAGCATACGGAATGACGGACCAGAGCTGAGCCTCGTTGGGTGTATACCCCAATCCCACGATGATGGTCGGCAGCTATCGAAAATCAGCACACGGCCCACCTTCAACAAATGCAACGTACAAAGAGCCCAAACGAGTACAAGGCGGCAAGAATGGCCAGATACGCAGTGGCGCTGAACCATAGCTGCGGACTCATGAGCCCACGCCTGACCTCAGACCAGGCGAATCGCTCTGATTCTGTCGAAATCTCCCTATACAAAGTTAGACAGTCCTTGCCAAGGTGCAACACTACCCACCCGTTTGCAAGTCGCGTCTTTGGCTTGTCGTTGTAAAGCCTATACCTAGCAAACTCACGTTCCTCCTCGTTCAGAGCATCATCGACGCTGTTTGGCAGAATGTAATAGGCCAAGCCTGCCACAATAATGGTCTGGTTTATGTTTAGCTGAATCCTCTGACACGGTGGATAAACGCACGACAAGACCCTCTACGATAAAAATCCATCGCCAACCAGCCAACCCCCCTCGAGTCCCTATCTCGTGGAGGCCACGTGCGAGGAGCCCTCCGAATGCACCAGACAAGGAGGCGCTGGTGTAGAAGAGACCAATTCGCAGGGCCATCTCGCCGCGCGTATACATTCCTGACAGATACAGGACCTGTCTGTGGTTAGTACGAGTACAGTCAACCGGGGACATGTCTGCTCACAATTCCAGGGAGCAATCCGCCCTCTGTCGCGCCTAGGAAGGCGCGGGCAACCATCAAACCAGCGTAGTTCTGGACGAACCCAAGGGACATTGCGACAATTCCCCAGGCCGCCGTGAGAACGGGTAGCCAGATCTTGGGCGAGATCTTCTTCAAGACCAGATTACTTGGAATCTCACTGTGTCTGGTTAGAACGCTGGGTAGTGGTAGGCTGCCTCGAACTTACCTAGCAATGTAGAAGGCGTAATAGATGACCAGACAGGTATCATACTGGTGATCGGAAATGTTGATGTCATGCTCCATGTTGTATACTTTTGCGTTTCCGACGTTGGTTCGGTCGAGAAAGGAGCAGAGAAAAAGAAGCGCCATAACGGGGATAATGCGGATGTCGAGCTTAAAGAGGATGCGGCGCGTCAGGGCCTTCCGCTCCTCGGCGGTCATTGACGATATGTAGGCATTGTCGGAGGAGGGACGGTCGGCGGACTCGAGGTGTTTCTCGTATGGGGTGAATGAGGGATCGTCGCCTTTACTAGAGAGATTGGGGGAGGACGACATTGTGAATCGCGATCAAGAGAGGATTGAGCGGGAAACAGTAGAGGGGTGAAGGATGAGAGGATAGAGAAAGAGGGAATATGAAGGAGGAGAGAAGATAAGATATGTCGATGGCCGGTAGGTATACTCCCTCTTTTGTAGAACTGACAAGGTTACCGACATCTGCCATAACGTTAGTTGGAGACCTTGAACCCATTTGCGGGGAAGAAATGGGGAAGGGGGATCCAATGTTGGGTGCCGGCCGTAGCACCAAAATGGGGATGGTGACACAATCGGGTGTCAGTTCGGGTGTCAGTTCTAGCAGCAGCCCGTACGCAAAGAATAAAAATATCGCGGGGTAAAGATGGGGATCTGGGGTTGAGTAGTCCGTCCTAGGTATTGCACTATACAATATTATACTATAGTGTACATGAGAGTACTGTCCATAACCCACTTTTGCGTGTACGCGCAGTGAGGGGAAACTTCCGGGTGGAGAACGTTCTCGTGGAGGGTCGGGGCATTAACAATTGGCTGGTCGGGCCTTCTTTTGGTTGCCGTGCGTGTGGAGAGTGGGCATGGATCGCACAACCCAGCGCTCTCAAATCTGGCCGCCGACGCCGACGCCGACGACCGACGACCGACGACCGTGGTTAACCGTCACTTCCTCGGAAAGAACGAGTCGTCCTGTCCTCCCTCGCTATTTCTATTGTCGTGTTGCGCTTTCCCTTCCTGCTATTTCGCCCTCGCTCCTTTCCTCCCATCGCTGCCGCCACCATGTCGAAGCTCTCTCCCGCCCTCAAGGCCGCAATCAATGCTCCATTTGCCCGCCCTGGTCCCCTCCCCGCCTCGAAGAACATTGCTGCCGTATACTTAGCTATCCAGCGCGAGGCTTCTTCCCACTCTCTCGGCGTGTTCCCATGGCTCGCCCTTACCGTACGTCTCGCTGTAGATTCTATACTCATGGCTGCTTATAGTCGCTAACTTCTCGCAGACAGCTGCGACAATGACTGCTAACTCTCCTGCCTCTCTCACCCTCCTCCACGACCTCGCCTCGCCCAACCCAACCTCCGCCGTCCAAAACGCGACCTTCATGCGCGAAGTCGGACTCAAGACGATTAGTTTCAACGGCATCCCACGCGCCCTCAACCAGCTCGTACACCTCCGTTCCGCCATCCCCGCAGAAATCGCCGCACAGCTCCCCACGACGCCGACGCGTACTCTCACGCCAGAATCCATTGAACAAGTGCAGCCGAGAGCGAGGGCGCTGTGGAATTCGATATACGACCCTCATTCCGACAAGCTCGTCGACAAGCTTGAGGCCGCACACCCCGACCTACCCGTCCACATCCTTAGCAACCACTACGGCACGCTCCTTAGTGATTTCCCAGGCGCGAATAACCCTGCTGTAGGGAGGGTGCTCACCTCGCTCGTGGCTATTGCCTGTCTACGCGCGCAGACGGGTGTAGGTCTGCAGGTGGTATCGCATGTTTATGGGCTGCGGAAGGGCGTCGAGGAGGGCGGCGAGGAGGTGGGCGAGGGCGAGAAGTGGCTTGGTGGGGAGGAGGGGAACCTGTGGGCGCTAGGGGTTGTAGATCGTGTTGTTCAGGCGATTACGGGTGAAGGAGGTTCATTTGCTACTTATGATAAGGCGAAGCTATAATGTTAGTGTATATGTAGAGCATTTAGACCGCGCTTTAAATACATATTAAGTCATAAGGCAAAACTACAAATTTTAGACCGCGCTTTAAAATATATATTAAGTCATAATGCAAAACTATAAATTCTAGTATATATGTAGAACATTTCGACTGTACTTTGGAATACATAACATCTACTGCAGCATCGTCTGTACATCGCTAGAAACCTCGAAGCTTGCGTCCGTCTTGCTCCTCACCTCCTCTACGCTTACACCCTCTGCAAGCTCCGTCAGAGTTAAGCTTCCATTCGCCCTATCGACCTGGAACACACACAGCTCCGTAATGATCGTGCTGACACACCGAGCGCCCGTCAAAGGCAGCGCACACGTCTCCACAATCTTCGCACTGCCGTCCTTTGCACAGTGCTCAGTCGCCACCACAACCCTGGTTTTCTCTGGACTACTGACTAGGTCCATCGCTCCCCCCATCCCCTTTAGCACCTTCCCGGGAATCATGTAGTTTGCCAAGTCTCCAGCGGCACTGACCTGCAAGGCACCTAGCACAGAGACATCTACGTGACCCCCACGGATCATGGCGAATGAAGCCGCACTATCGAATGTCGCGGCCCCAGGAACAAGAGTTACCGTCTCCTTCCCTGCGTTGACGAGATCGCCGTCAACCTCATCCGCAGTAGGATATGCGCCCATTCCTAGGATCCCGTTCTCAGAGTGTAACCAGACCTTTGTGTCTTCTGGGATATATTGTGGTGATAGAGTCGGCAGTCCGACGCCCAGATTCACATAATCACCATGCCTAAACTCTCTCGCAACTCTCCGCGCAATAATATCCTTTTTCCCACCTTTCTTCTTCGTCGCCGCATCCTCCCCTCCGCGCGTTATGCGTTTCTCAATCATCTTCTTCGCCGTAGCAGGCACAATACGATCCACAAAGATCCCAGGCAAATGCACATCATCAGGGTGTATCGACCCTAGCGGCACAATCTCCTCAGCCTCCACGATCGCCACCCTCGCCGCCTGCGCCATAATCCCCCCAAACGCCTTAGTTGTGTATCTAAACTGGCAGTTCCCCGCCTCATCGACGCGCCACGCGCGCAGGATCGCGACGTCACCGGGAAGCGCGTGTTCCATGCTGTATTTCTTCCCGGCGAATTCGCGCGTCTCGCGCGGCACCCCCCTCTCGAGAACTGTCAGCGCCCCATTAGAGTCCGCGGGGCCGAGACGCACGGGGATATCGCCCGTTTCAAGAAGCGTCGAGATTCCGGTGGGTGTGTAGAATGCCGGGATGCCCGCTCCCGCTGCGCGGATTCGCTCTGCCAGCGTCCCCTGCGGGCATAGCTCAATCGCTATGTCTCCGTTGAGATACTTTGCCTCGAGGGCCTTGTTGCTTCCGAGGAACGACAGAATCAGTCGCCCCACTTGGCCGGAGTGCACGAGTGCTGCGAGGCCGCCGGCTCCGGCGCCGGCATTGTTGGAGACGGCTGTGAGAGAATGCAGTGATGGACCGCGGCGTTCTATGGCAGCTATGATGGTCTCTGGGGTGCCGCAGAGACCGAAGCCCGCGCTGAGAATGGTAGAGCCGGGTTTGAGGTCAGCGATGGCGGCGTCGGCTGATTTGTAGAATTTGGAAGCGCGTAGAGGGGTTGATGAGCTGAATCTAACGTAGGGTCGTATGGTGCATATGAGTGAGGGTGTAGATAATAGTGGGGCGATTGGCTTGCATCGTGATGTGAGACGGACCGCTGAGCGAAGAGGTCGCACATCGTATCTACGAGGAAGGGACATTCTGTATCGATTTACAACAATTATAAAAGCAACAATTAGCAAAGGTAACATAAAACAAAACGGAAATATAAATAATATGTAAGGGTTGAGACAGTGAGGATCGCATCTTCGGTGCCAGTCTCACTGAATTCTCGGAGTCTACTTTTAGGTCCGTTGTCCGATGGAGCGGTCGTACCTCGGCATCAAAATAGATCTGCTTTCATTTGGCGGATCAAATTGACCTGGAGCGGATCTATCAGTAGTACCGAAATGTTATTTCTCAAAATATAAGGTTGGCGAGCGTAAGAATGGGTTATCAAACTCCAGAACCGTGAACAACTAGCAAAGTTCAGGAAATCATGGCGGAAAAAAGTAAAAGGCAGCCGTTCTGGCTAGGGTAGGTTATCATCCATCTCCTATACTGCTCGAGTTGCTAACAGAAGGAGGGGACTAGCTGCTTCAATGGCTGCGTGCTGTAGTAAGCTCACTGCAAAACACCTTGTGTCTCGAGCTGACCTCCAGCCCATCCTCTGGATCAGACAAAATAGTAAGTTCCTCAAAAACCAGCGAATGCCGCTAACAAACCCAAAGCCGAATGCAAGTTCTATCGGAGAGAAAACCTATGCTACACACGTTATACATGTTTGCTAGCCGCAATGGCATCCATAGTCTTTGGACTGGCATCTCTGCCTCTATACTGCGCCAGAGCACATATTCCACCACTCGCTTCGGGTTATATAATTATCTCACGAGTGTGATGAAGAGAGCCTATGACGTTAGGGATCTGTCTGCCGCGTCGACAATCGTGTGTGCTGGCGCTGCCGGAGGGGTAGCGGGGATGCTAGGGAACCCGACAGAGGTGAGACCTTTACAGACGCGAGAGAGCCAAGGCTGACTGGTAGGTAGATAGTTTTGGTGAGGATGTGTGCCGATGGAGCAAAGGCGCCGGTAGACAGGTATGGCTACGCACACGCATTAGACGGCTTTGTTAGGATTGGGCGCGAGGAGGGCATGAAGGCATTCTCGAAAGGTCTTGGTCCGAATATCGTTCGCAGCGTGCTCATGAGTAAGTTGATCTAGAGATAGTGGTATCATGCTAACATGCAGAAGACGTATCGCAGATCGCAGTGTAAGCACGTATCCCCCGTCGTCTCTGTTCTGTCGAGCGGTGCTTATAGATTCAGTTACACCTCCGCTAAAGCAAAGCTTCTCTCAGCTTCATGGCTCAAAATGAATGACGGCATCATGCTTCATATCACTGCGTCTATCGCCGCTGGGACGGTTGCCACGACCGTTTGTGCGCCGGCCGATGTCCTGAAGAGTCGGATGCAGAATGCGGCGGCCGTGGGTGGAAAGTCGGCGGTAAGACGAAGAAAAAATATAAGTGGGATGACCATGCTAAAGTAACACAGGGTTTGGTTCATATCGTCGCAGAGTCCATGAGAAAAGAGGGCCCGCGATTTCTTATGAAAGGCTGGCTTCCTGCGTGGCTGAGACTGACGTAAGTGGCCTACCAGACGGAGATTCTAGAACTGACACCGAGAAAGGCCAAATACTGTGCTCATGTTTATTTTCATAGAGCAGCTTAGCAAACTTGTCAAAGCTCGGGCATGACATTATAAGCGACATGGTGATGGACAAAGCAGGATGAAGTGCAAAGGATGAAATTATGTGAGACAAAGCTATCTGGCTATGTCCGACTGGGTTAAAACTAAGGGTGGAAAAGGGGTGTAGGAAGCTGGTCTAAACTACTTGTACGTAGAAGAGAGATAGTCAGTCCTGTTGTAGTCCCACTTCTTACCATAAGGTGGACGATGAATTTTATATCGCAAACGTATTTATTTCATCGTCTTTAGCCACAGTTGGCTGTTGCATGTGGCGGAGAGCTTCTTAGTATAGAACCCTGCACTGGTCCACTAGATAAGCGACATTGGAATCGCCGCGGGGTTACTCCACATCTCCCATGTTAGTGCCGGCCGAGACAGTCTCCGCCATCCCAATCCCCCTCACATTCAATAGTCCGCCGTCGTTCCAGGATAAATATTTGCGGAGCAAACTATATATACGGCCTTGTGCGTTAACTTGCTGGCGGTAGTTAACAGCGACAGCTGTCCCCGTACTTCCGATCCGGATCGGAACAGGCTGTGGATCGTAATCTCGCCGGCCACGGAAGGCGCGGCCGCTGCAAATGGGATGGATGAGCGCTCAGAGTCGGCTGAAGCTGCCAGCAATTCTGGAACCACGAAGCAAGCTGCTTGTCTGAGCTGCAGGCGGAGCAAGATTAGGTGTCACCGCGGCGCCGGGGACCCGAAGTGCAGGCGGTGCAACCAGGCCAATTCGGAGTGCATCATTCCCAAGTACCATCCCGGCCGCCAGAAAGGCGTCAAGAAGTGAGTGCATGCAATCTTCCTGTGAAGCCATCTTAACCTGTCTAGTAAACGCACGGGGCTCGAGAAAGCTGTGTATCGAATTGGCCAAGCGATCGCGCGGACAAAGGCAAATGGCGGAGAGCTAGAGGATGAACAAGCCGCGGTTAATCTCCAGCACCTCTTAAGCAGTACGGTGGGATTGTTGCCGAGAAGTACCATATCTCAAGAGCCAGCCCAAAGCCCGCAGATGCAAGCTCCGACGTCTATGCCGACACACCATGGCATCACTGTGACCACGAGTCCTGGTTATCCCACACATAACAATGTGAGGGCGAGTCCTGGGTATCCCCTACACAGAAGCCGCAACAACAACTATTCTGTTGACGATGCCGAGAACCCTCTACAACTTCTCGCAAGCGCCTCCGATATGGCCGTCTCTCCACCCGAGACATTGGCAAATACCCAAGCTCCCGCTAGCTCAGGGCCATTTTGTCCAGCAAAGGAAGATGAAGATAAAGACCTACAAACATTTTTTGGCCGGTTCATTCCGAATCTTGATGTTAGTGAGGACATTGACCCAATTGATATGGGCTTCATAACCAACGGCGAGACAGTCGCGCTCTTCAACTTGTAGGTTCGTCTCCCGGGCAGTCGAGATATATCTAACGTCACAGCTTCTACCAGAATCTATCCCACACGAGATGGGGACTTGATCCTGTCATACACACTGCCCAGTTTGTCCGTTCCCGATCCTCGTTTCTGTTCACCTCGATCCTCGCAGCATCTGCACTGTTTCTCCCTTCCACAGACGCGCTCTCCAAACGCCTCTCTGTCCACTGTAAGAAGCTGGCATACTATGTGATGGAGAAGCGCTATAGATCGCCAGAGATCGTTCTCGCGTTTATAATCAACGTCCCGTGGATGGCGCCTGGAAAGCACTGGGCTGACGACGAAACCTGCGCATATATGGCTATGGCCTTGTCCGTTGCGATGGATCTGTCGCTGAATAAACTCATTGTGCCTGCGCCAGGTTTCCCACAGCGCGAAATCCCCGATCACGTCCCCAAGTCGGACTGCATCACTGCAAAAAAGGCATTGTTGCTAGATGGCTTCGATGATGTTGACCCATACTCGAGTTGGGGCCAGCGGCTACTGCGAAGACGGGAGAGGATATGGCTCTCTCTATTTGTGTTAGATAGGGGGTGAGACGGATAGCGCACCTTGTATGCTACAGTAACTGATGTCTCTAGGGTCTGTTTGGCGAGAGGGAGGACCTTCACAGTCCACATGACTCCTCTCGTGGAGAGTTGCGACCAGTGGCACATTTCGGACATGGCGGATACATGGGATCAGTCTATCATATCCTCGACGGTACTGAGACGTGATTTGGTATGTTTGTCAGGGCAATTGAGATGCGAGCTAACGTGCCCAGGTAACTCTAATCGCGGACATCAAGTCTACGTGCGATGTGGTGGCCGATGGAGTTTCGATTGTTCACGTGTAAGTGATCTGTTATATTGGCTGATGGACATTTTAATTTTTTTGGTAGCTTGAAAGACATGATTGAAGGATTCTTCGATCGATGGTTCTCAGTCTGGGCTGTTGCTGTGGGGTCTAAGCGTATGTATTGTATTCTAAGGACTTGTGATCATTCTGACCGAACTTAGACCATGTCCTTCCACCCTACGTCGAGATCCTCGTCTCCCACACCCGCCTATCAACTTACAGCAGCGTCATAAACCATCCAACTGCGCCGGTCGAAGTGAAGCGCTTCTTCCGCGCCGCCGGTCTGTCATCAGCATTAAACGTCATGCGGGCAGCCGTGCAAGGCGAAGGCCGCCTCAAGTCCATGCCCAATAACACCGCCATTATGATATCCTTTGCAGCATGCTTTGCGCTGAGCATCAGCACGATGACCGAGGGAAACACTCTCAGCCTCGCACCCAGCATCCGAATTCTCGTCGAGGAAGCCGCCGGCATGCTTGAGCGAATCGGCTGCTCGCCGAGCCACCGCAACGGCACGTCGTCATTGTATGGCCGGCATCTGCGCAAGATTATACGGAATAATTTCGCGGCACCGGATAGGGACGTACCGGCCGCAGCACTACCAATTGGACAAGATGTCGCGGTTGGGGGGTACGACGCGCAGAACGGACAGAGCCTCGGAGGGTTCGCAGAGTTTCAACCGGTGTTGTTTTCAGCAATGTCAAATGATCAGGTCACTGCGGCGATCGATTCGGCATCGCAGGAGCTTGACGTGTGGCTGTCGACTTTTCAGATGGACGATAATGCTGGGTTGGATTGGTTGGATTGGTAGGGAAGTCGTGAGTACCTCTCCCGATCTGCTGGCGAATCGCTAGAGATACCCTCAGGAGCCGAAACTGATATTGTGGCAGGCTAAAATAGATGAAGGCACCTCGGCGCCTAAGTCCCCAGCGCAAACCCCGAAGGAGGAAATGACACCAGAGCCAAGAAGTGACAAAGAAGCCCAAACTAGAGAAGAAAGGCACCAGCGAAGGCGGCGGGCCCCGACAATGCGGCAGAAGAAGGAGATCACCCACCCCCAACTCGTCAGATGAGGTTAGGGGTTCTTATATCGGGTAAAGGTAAGGGCGGGGTAATGTGACAGCGAGAGATGAAAGGTAATCGTGTATGTGAATATCTTGCTTAGTTGCTACATAGTAGGCTCTAATAAAGGCTCATAAATGACAGCCGACACTCGTACAGTCACTTCCTAACATCCACCAAGTCACCACAAATAATCTAGTCAAAACGGACATGTATGCATTTCCATCGCCTCGTCTATCAGGCGCTAGACACATGTGCGGTCATAGCTAGAAAATGCCTCGGGCCACAAACACCGTCCTTATCAAGACAGGCAGCCCAAACAGAGCAAGAAAAACACGGGGTGATGCCAGGATCACGCCCGTCCCAGTTTCAAACGCCAGTATCACGCCATGCAACAAATCCCTAGTCCCATCCTCATCCGCTCATTGCACAGTCGTGGACTCCCTCAGTCCGCTCGTTGGCCCCTTCTGCCCTCTCCTCCCCAGTAACGTTGCGCCGTCAAGATTCAACTCGAACGGACCCCTCTGGTTCTTAACTTGCTGCCTTGCTGCTGCTGCCACAGCGGGTGAGTGCTGTCCATATCCCTTCGCCTGTGGTTGTGCCTGCTGCCTCGCGGTCGCCGCAGCACTCAGGCTCGTATTCCTCAGACCCTGTTCAACACCCTGCATGCCCCCCTCATTCTCATCACCTATGGGCTCTAGTCCGCGGCCCATGAGATTCTTGCGGCGCTTCGCTTCCTCCTCCTGGCGATGCACGGCGTAACCCACATCGAATACCTCGCGTAGGTTAACTGCACCAGGCGAGCGGAAGTCCATGCGGCGCGCTCCTGGTGACTCGAGGAGCTCGCGGTCAAAGGCGCGGAGAGGCTCAGCGCGCTCGGTGGCAGGTGTGGCGAGAGGTGGGGCGTCAAAGGCCGCGTAGGTAGGTTCGGCAGTGTTCTTGATCCAGGGGTGAGCGAGGAACTCCTTGATGGTGTAGCGCTTCTCTGGGTCGACGGTTAGGAGGTGCGAGACGAGATCCTGGGCAGGTTTGGAGATGTCGTCCCACCAGGGCGAGAGGAATGTGTACTGCCCCTTTGCAACCTTCTCCGTGAGGACTTGGATGCTCTCGTCGTAGAAAGGAGGGAATCCGCAGAGTAGTGTGTACAGAACGCAACCCATCGCCCACATGTCCACGCTCTTGGAGTAGCGCTCATCCTTGACGATCTCTGGAGCGGTGTAGCCGACTGTGCCGCAGGGTGTCATGGTCTGAGTGTCCCATACAATCTTTGACAGGCCAAAGTCGGCAATCTTAATCTTACCGATGCCGCCCGAACCAACGCCAGCTGTGAACTCTCCCTCGTCAACCTTGTCCTCTTCCTCGTCGGACCTTGGCTTTGGGTTCTTGGTTGGAATGAAGGGGATGGGGCTGAACAGTAAATTCTCCGGCTTAATATCTCTGTACGTCTGTTAGATCCACACACCAACTCTCGTCAATCGTACTCACCTGTGCACAACACCCTTCTCCTCGTGCAAGTACTCTAATGCCTCGGCTACCTGTGTGATGACATGTCTAGACAGATTCTCGCTGAAGTAGGTCAGGCGGACGATCTGGTGGAACAATTCTCCTCCGGGTGCGAGCTCCAGGATGATATAATAGTACTGTTTCGACTCGGAGAAGTCGATGAGCTTCACGATGCTGGGGTGGTCAAGCTGCCTCATGATCTGGACTTCCTTTAAAATGTTCGCTCTCTGAGGCCATGGTCAGTACGTGGCCCGTCGTACGCGGTTACGTCGGACAAAGCATCAAGACGTGGCAGGCAAGCAGATTAACAGGCAGAAATAATGCGCACCTCAGCAGCCTTTGGTTTCTTGAAATCCGGATGAAGATGATCATCACCCTACACCAATCGTTGGCCAGTGCTCAGAAAAAAGGGAGCATGGAGGAGAGTATGTATCAGGAAATACGTGCATACGTGCCCGTGCTTACCTGAGAAGAGTTCATCTCGAACTTGCGGACGACCTTGATGGCCACCTCGCCCGCGCTTCCCTCGAGGTCGACGGCCTTGTATACATTGCTGAATGCGCCGTCGCCCATCTTCTCAATGAGGCGCCATCTCTCGAGGCCGGGGTACCGCGGCAGCTTCCCCTTCGACTCGTTGTCTTCGGCGACCATGCGCGCGAGCGTGTCCGGGTCTACCTTCTTCCCACCTGCCTTCCTGTTCGCATCATCCTTCTGTGCCTGGTGGGCCATGTTTGCCTCCTCTGCGCGCTTCTGTGACACGCTGGACTCGGTCTTCGCAGCTCGTTGTTGGTGCGCAGTGACGGGCGATACGTGGGTTGTTGGTTCGGCTTGAGGCTGGGTCACTCGCGCTTGCTTCCCTGCATTATCGTTGGTCAGAAGGTTCGGTCTTCACGGCAGTGAGGAGGCAGTGAGGAGGCAGTGCGGAGTGTAAGGCGCAAAGTGTCAAACTCACCATGCTTTATGAAGGCCTTGAGCGTCTCCATTCGAACCTTTTGAGGGGTGGGGCAGGTCCGGGTATTGGAGATGAAGTCGGCCTTTGACGATAACTATTTAGTGGGGTGGGATGTTTGGAGGGGAAGTCGTTGATTGTTAAGCGAGTTTGGGAGTCGCCGTTGGTGTTTGTTGTGGTGGTGGTGGTTGTGGTTGTGGTTTGTGGTTTGTGGTTTGTGGTTTGTTGGTGGAGTTTCGCACAGGCAATGATCGCCGGTCGATGACGGAGATGTGAGGAAATGCAGGCGTACAGCGGCGGGAGCAGCGGCGGGAGCAGCGGCGATAGGTTGGTGATGGATGATGAGTGCAGGTGAGATGCAGATTCGGCCTGTTTAGTCGATATATTGTCAGCGGTTTCGTTGACGCAAGAGACGGAGAGAGAGGAGTCTAGAAGTATATGGGAGATTGATTGACTGACTTGGAATGGTAGTAGTCGATGTCGATGTCGATGTCGATGTCGTCTGTATGGGGTATACTCTGGATATATGCGCCCTGTCTATCGGTGTGTCGAGTCGTGTATAGGTCGAGGGAGGGAAGATGTCGGCGAGTTCTTTTTCTACAAGAGTGTAGTCTATAGGAGCAATAAAAGGTTGGTGAATGGGGGAGAAGAGGGAGAAAGGTTGAAAGAGAATTGAAGAAAGCGGCGGGGAGTGGTGATGTTCTCAACGATTCTCGCGTATTGGACTAACTGAACTGTGCACAGGATTCTTACTGGATTTACTACTGGATTTACTTGCATTTACTGGATTGCACCAGCGGGCTTTTGATGCTTACTACGCCGGGGGGTCTACGCCTTCCCGGATTGGATAATAAATATCAAAGAAAGGGCGGAGAAGGCGGAGAGAGGAGAGGAAAGAGAGGGGGAGAGGCCAAGTTTGGTTTGTGACCAAGGCACAGCGGCGGCTGGTGACATCATCAACGCCAACAAATAAAGACAAATAAGCCACATAAGCCAAATATACAGGAGTAGGAACATAGAAGTAGTTCAAAGAAATAGATCAACAATATATAGTTGCATCTAGGGGTCCTGTTCTTTCCTGTTCCTTTTTCCATCCATATTCCTAGTCTGTCGTCTTCAGCCACTCTCCCACTCTCCTCGCCTATAAGCTGTACGTTATCATATATGTGTGAAATTTGAATTTGGTGTATATCTGGTGTATGTCTATCTGGTTTATGTTTTATGTCATCGTTGTCCCGTTTTCGCACTACTTAGTATACTAACACCATACACTCCATCTCACACTATATACACCATTCACCCCATCTATACTCGTGGTTTATACAATTCCCAGCCGAAACTCCTTGAAACTCCTTGAAAACTCCTCTCCATAAATCTTATCAAATCTGAGAAATCTTTTTTGACTCGCCGCTGTCCTTCCCACCACCTCGATGACGTTTGGTCTAACCGCACTAGGCCTTGGTGGGACACCTCGGAAATTGCTCTTACTAAAATTCTCATGGGCACGTGATACGGCTCTATATTCTACGGCGGAAAATATCTAAGAAATGAGAATATGAGAATATGAGAATATGAGAACTACAACTGCGAAAATTGAATGGCTCTAGCTGTAGTATCTGAATTGGTGCATCAACGCGGGTTGATCGAGTGTATGCTGCGTATATAAGTAAAATGCCAGCAAGATTCCGATATCAAAGAATTGATCGTGGATACCTACTTTATAAACATAAGCCCTTTCACACTCACGCTCTTAATTAACATTGCTCTTGAGAATAGACTTCAAAATAGACATCAGAGCACTACAAATGAACAAAAGACACAATTTACAGACCACGCCGTATTGATATCACTGCATACACACCACCAGAAACAAATTGCAACTTGCAAACAATCCGTGTGATATATAACTCGACAGACCCAGCCTACTATCTCACAAGAACTCAACCAACAGACGCATCAGAAGCATCCAGCACATCCTCCCAAACTCCGACCCAGATCTCCTCCACCTGTCAATCCCTATACTCAATCCCCATAATCACGACTCATTAAATCAGGCCCGCCCTAGCCGCCTCACCCCCTCCATCCGCCATCACCTCCTCTGCTCGCGCCTTTCCCCTCCCAATGCCACCCTCACCAACCCCCATCCGGCGAGCCACGTACCGCTGCGCCACAATGCCCACGGCCAGGCTGATCACCTCCTCTACCCACTCGGCTACCCATTCGCGCGGATCCACGCCGCCCGACTCAATGATCTCTGCAATCTCGCGAGGCATGTGGGGGCTATACTTGTCCTGCGAGAAGGACTGCTGCTCTGCAGACGGCGAAGACGGCGATGCAGGTGTCATCGGCGACGGCGCATCGAGCCAGGCGATCCACTTTGCTGGCACGGTCTGCGACACAGCAGCAAACGTAATCCCGTGCACCGGGTCGTGCAGGTAAACCGCAAATGAGATCAAGTTATCCGGCTTCTCCTCCTCGGCGACGGCATCAGCCTTCTCATCCTTTGCAGGTCCCTGGAACATATCTTCCTGCGCCTCGTGCGAGATGGCCTGCACGGCGAGGAAGATGTCGCTGCTGCGGACGGGGTTGGACTCGCTGAGCTGCTCGGTGGCGCGGCGGACGGCCAACTCAAGACCACCGTGCGAGGCAAAGAACTCGGTCGCGTAGGCCTCAGCACTGACACGGACGAGCTTGGTGCCCTCAACCAACCCAGGGACAGCACCGAGATCGCGGTGCTCATTGCCCTGGCGCCACCAGGGGCCATCGTACCAGCCCGTGCGACCACCTGTGTATGCTGCGTCGGAGGTGCGTCGGGTGGAGGACTCGTGGCCACGCTGGATGACGAGAAGGTCGCCTCCCTCAACTTGTGCCATGACGCGCGAGAAGGTGTTGTAGATGAGGGGGTCGAGGGAGGGGTAGCCGATGAAGTCGTGTGTGATGTGGATTTGAAGACGCTCGTGCGACGAGATGGGCGGGGCGATGGTGTGTAGGATGTTGGTAAATGTTGGAAGGGCTCGGGAGCTCAGCTCACCACCTGTAGAAGTTAGGAGTTATTCATTGTAGCACTGGGGGTTCTCATACCAAGTCCTCGTAGTGCGCCCACGTTGCCCTTGACCTGCTCGGCCCAGCGCTTAGCCTCCTCATTCTGCTGGATCTCCTTCACTGCCGCCTCGGCCGTCTTCACTGCAGCGCTGGCCGTGGCCAGAATACCACCCCACCATCCACCACTAGCAGCAACTGGCTCAGCAGCCGGCTCGGCGATTCGTGACTTCTTCTCGGCCTCCTGGAGCTCGCTGCTTGTCGCCGAGGGCGTGAAGCTCGTGTGGTATGACCTGGCGCTTTCGCCCGACTTCCTCTTATCCTCGCTCGATCGTGTTGATGTTTGCGGCAGCGGACTGCCCACCGACGTGCGCTTGGTGGGAGAGCTGGTTCTGCCAACGGGCGTTGCGACTCGTGGCCTGGCATCGGGCTGTGGCTTACCCAGATTCTCCAGCTCGGCGAGCTCAGCCTCTATGTCCTCAGCGGTCTGGGCGCGGGCAGGCTTCTTCATCTTGGACGCATCAGCCTTGGTCGTGGTGGCAGGCAGGTCCTCTCCCTCCAGCCCCTCGAACATCTTCTTGAGCTCGTCATCGGTCGCGGCTTTTTCTTTCTTGGCAGCCATAGTGTCGTGTTGCTATTGTAGTACACTTCTCACCAATGAGCCCGTTCGTTAATGCGTTGATATCAATCTGTATTGAACGTGAATGTGAATAGAATCAATAGAATCAACAATGTGAAGCTCCTCTATTATGGAGCTACTTGGTGAGGTTCCCGGGTTACATGGGGCTCTCACAGAGAGGAGCACAATACTAGTACGACGACTGGGTCCTTTGTACTTTCTCATAGTTAGTTGTATGCAATGGTACAACTGGCTCCTAAGCGAGGAAATAAATAGAAAATGAAAATCGCTGATTGGCTGTAAGCGATTTTGGGTTTTAAGGAGGGAGGCTGACCCAGCCAGATTACCCGAACAGGTGAAATGATACTAAAAGTTGTCAATTCAACTGCTTCAACCTGCTTTCATCTGTTCATATACAGACTCACCATCCTTCAACCACTCTATTCTACACTTTAAATGTTCTTGTATATAGGTCTATAGCCTGTCGACATCGTTTCCATGTCGCTCTTTCTCGCGTCTCATCACGGCTCACGGGGAAATTACAGCATGGACGCCACTGTCCCTGAGGCTCAGGCTTCAATGACCTGCCCAAATTGCCACGCTGGCTATGATGCTGCAGACCTTCAGGTATGCATTTAATCACTTTCTTTCAACTACTGGCCCAGTCACGTGTTTGTTTGTTCCTGAACGTACTGACACGAATAGCAATACCGCGATCATGTTGAATCATGTGTCCGCCCAGGCTTGGCTGAAAGTGATGATGAATCTGCTGCCAGCCAGCTGAGCAGCCCTCCAGTATCTGTGAGCGGTGAAGACTCGCGTCTCCCACCGGCTTATTCTCTCACTGAGGTGGAAATTTATCCTGAGCGTAGAGAGCTCGATGAAGATGAAGAGCCTCTCCCGGAGTTTCGCTTGGCTAAAATTACTGACGTCGAAGTGTTCGGAGACAACTTGGCTGATCCTGAAAATCTCCCACTTGACGAGCACTATCGCCGTATTCTCAATGCCCAGAAGGCACTGGTTGAGTATCAAGATGAGTGGCTCGAGCTTGAGAAATGTGTCAAGGCGTATCGTCTCCCTAATATGATCTCCATTGAAGAGGAGCTTGAAAGGGAGCGCGGTAGAGGAAGAGGTGTCCCCAAGGAGGTCGCAAAGCCTGCCCAGAAGGTCATCAACCCAAGAGCTCTTCCAGTGCGAAATGACGACCCGGAAAAATGGTTCTACACCGATGATTTCCAGCTCATGCAAGATCGACTAGAAGCATCAGTTTACGGATACATTGTGAAAGAAGGCACCAAAGACATTGGCCGCCAGGATCCAATCAGCCAGAGGCCCAGACGACTTGGCCAGAACCAACGAGATCTTCGGGCTCGCGCTCCTGCCCAAAAGGTTGTACCCGGCGAGGCAGCTGAAGAGTCTGGTGAGGAAAACGCGCCCTTGAACCTGGTCAATGAAGCCCTTATGATCGAAGGAGGACGCGGAAAACGCGAGAAGAGACCTTCAACCCGTGTGGCTTCTGAATCGCGAGCTTCTACCCCTCCACCCGCACCACGTGGCCGGCCCCCACGCAAGAATGCAAAGACACGCCTACAAGAGATAGAAGCTGACCCAACCGCCGGCGAGACAATGGTCTCTACCGAAAAATGGGTCGACAATGTCGGCGATGCCGAATCAAGACGCGGCTCATCGCCAGCGGTTTCCACTGGCCCTTCGACGGATTGGAGCAGCGATGAAGAGATCCCAGAAAGGGAATACGGCACGAAGAGACGAAGACTCGACACGTCTGATTTCGAGTCAGCCAAAAAGGCGAAGAAAGCAAAGACCGTTCCGGTGGATGTCTCGGTCAATTCAAGCGCTGCCGATGCAGATGCTATTGCAAAAGAAAAGTCAATCAAGCGCAGCGAAGGTGCTAAGATGGGTTGGGCCAAACGCAAGGCCGAGCTACAGCAGCAGCGCAAATCTTCTACGAGAGCCACTAGCCAGGATGACAACGAAGGTGACGATGGTCAGCTAACAAATACCAAAGTCGATGGCGACAGGCCCAAGCCATACCCAAGGAAGTATGCCAAGAAGAGCAAGAAAGAACCCGTGTATACGACGCTGCCTGATGGCACTATTAAGAAGGAGAAGTCAGCCGCTACCATCAACATGGAGAGGCGTTGGGCCAAGAAGAGAGAGGCAGAGGCTCTTGGATTGGAGCCGCCAAAGATCGGTCGGTACAAGAAATCGGAATTGGCGGCCATGAAGGCTTCACAAGATGGACAAGCGACGGGCAGCCCTGACGATCGTTCGGAGCCGAAACTTGCTCCCAAGAAGCGCAAGGTGTCCGCCGATGACCAGCCTGCTGGCGATATGCGAACAGACCAGGGTGAGAGTGCTCAGGCATCGGAGAATGCGGCTGCGAAGCGACGTAAGAAGGATGCAGACGAAAACATGGCAGCACAAGGCCCTCCTGCTGGAACTGAAGCATATGCTGCAAGCGATTTTTACGGGGCCAAGCCGAGCTCCGGTCGCAAGGTAAAGAAAGCACCTGCTGATGCAAGCATGCATACCCAAGGAGCAGTCCACACTTTCCATAACAATCAATACGAAGGACTCGGTCACGTCCACCACTGGTCACCACCATCTCAACAAGCACAGAAACCCACAGCCAGGCACGTCGCCGGCAAAGGCAAAAAAGGTATTAAGACTGAATCTCATCATAACAGTCAAAATCACGATCCTTCTCTCAAACCAATGTCGGCTTCCGGTAATGAAATGGCGAGCTCCGAGTCTCAAAACGCCCCAAGTGGTGCGGAGACTTTGGGTATTGCTACCACCAAAGAAGGTCGCGCTACAAGGAGCCGACGCCGAAAGGAAACCGCAAACATTCAAACAATTACACATGTTGCTGCTGCTCCCCCAGCGAAGGAGCTTGCCACAGCCCCCAAAGCAACTGATGTTCCAAGTCATGGAGAAGCAGGTCCAGTGACCATCGGCGCAAAGAAGCCAGTCCGGTCAATTTTCATCAATCGTGGCCAGGAATCTTTCGACGCTGAGCGTAAGACATTGGATGGACGCGAAGCTCGTGCACAGAGAGGTCCAGTGGCCTCGATCAAGCAAGATCTTGATCTTGATCAAAATCATCCTGTCCGTCGAGCCAAGAAGAGTCCAGTGGCTCCAGCGGTGCCAAATGCCAAAGCAGTCCCTCTTTGCGACATGCCAAAACCAGGCAAAGCTGATAAATCCATTGCTCCAGAGATCCCACAGACTTCGGTCAGCGGTGCGTCGTCTCGTGACAACGGCTCTTTCACAACTCCAGCTGCATCAGCAGGCGAGCCCACGGAGAAAGAATCCGGGTCTGGATCGTCGGGAAGACCGAAGAGGAACAGACATCCTCCAAACAAATACCAAGGTTACTAAACCAACCACTTTTCTATACTGTTTATCACAATATGAGCCAAACACGGCGTAGAAAAAGAACAAATACTGATGCTATTAAAGTTGAACTTGACGAAACTCCATCCTCCACATACCACATGGATCACAGAATGCACACACCGCATGAATCCATGAACCGAAATATTTTGCCTCAGGGTGCACCATTTATCGCATATGAAACACCTGATGCGTCTCCTCAGCGCTCTTCAACGCTTAAAAACAAAAGAGGCGGCCGCGCCAACGTCGAGGTTGAATACTCAGCTGCCAGCACTCACCACGGGGAAACTCCAACCCACACTGCACCTACGGATCCAGATGCCATTGCTGCAGCGAAAGCTAAAGAAGCTGCGCGCGCCGCAAAGTCTGAGAAGATGAAGGCAATCACAAAAGGTATGTCCTAGTCCATAATCTCTCTAAACCCCTCAACTAACACTATCAGCTCGCTGGGCAAGCGGCGAAATGGAAGCCGTAATGGCACGCAAGAAGGCCAACAACGCTGCTAAGCGCGCCGCTGAAGCAGCCCTCCCCTCATCTTCCGGTTCGAAACCCAAGAAAAATGCGGACACACCACCTGCCAAAGCGCCCAAAGATAGCAAACGCCGTCAGACGCATGGTGGGGCCGTTGAGAAACCGCGACCACCACCACTCGGAAAGCCGCCATACACCACCGGACGCAAGGTGTCAGAGTATGAGCAATTCCTAGCGCTAACGTCGCCATCCGCGACCGGGTCACCACTGCCTCCACGGGGTCGCCGACCAGCGGCTCTACGTGCGTCGCAGAGCCTTGCGTTGCGGGATACGGACGATGAGAGCCAGGCGGAGGACACAGAGCAGAGGGAGGACACAGGGCAGAGGTGGGAGGAAGAAGAACCGGAGATGGACGCGCTCGATCGGCAGTTTGCCATGGAATATAATGACAACCTAGGACCGGAGATGGACGCCCTCAGTCGGAAGTTTAACTCGGAATACGAGCGCTACCAGGCACTCGCCAGCCCGGATAGTACTATTGTACTTGGGAAGAGAGCAAGGCGGCCGGTTGGAGGGCTGAAGGAGGCGATGGAAATTGAAAAGGGAGGGGAATCTTCCGACGTGTAGTAATGGTGGGTATAGGCATTGGCGCGTAATGTTGGACTAAATCAAGGCGCTCATTTTGGGGCATTATACTGTTTGAATACTTTGGCTCCTCTAGTTAGAATGGCACTGGGGCTGTATATACGCGTTTCCTCGATTAAGCGCAATCTCTTAGTTTCGGTCAAGAAAACTGATCGTAATAGAAACATTTCTCAATCACTGCATCGTTGTCATACCAGTAACAAAAATTCTAATCCATTCGTTATCATCATCGCTACAACGCTATGCTAATTATGCTCTCCACACCTATGCCACATCCCCTAAATACATCTATAATACACATACATACACCCCCTCATTACTCTGGCACCTCCAACACATCCGACAGCTGGCGTTTCCCCGCACCCAAGTCATCCCTCATAGACTGCTTGCTCCTCTTCCGGCGCAGGCTCTTCTTCTGCCCGGACGACAGTGTCGAGGTATCACTCCCGCTGCTATTCCCCATGTCACTTCGATCAGCGCTCCTGCTTCGCATACTCGCAGCCCTGATGCCAGCCCTCGCGACACGATTCACTCTCCTTTTCGAACCGTTCGAACCGTTCGAACCCGCACTGCTAGCATAAAACTCCACGGCACCCCACACCGCCGCCACTGCAAGCGCGATGCAGTCAGCCACATGCACAACCCACCACACCCATGCCCTCACAGCCCTGCAATTCGCGAACCCGCTCTGCCACTCCCCGGCCTCATCAAGCCAGAGACTCATCAACCCGAGGTTGCCTGAGAAATCGCCCATGACACTGCGCACTGTGACTTCCCGAAGGCCCGGGAGTGACGGGTCGGTCGGGATTCCCTGTGCCTGCGCGGCGGGCCACCGCTGAGCCTCCCATTTAGGATCGGGGGACGTCTGGTTGATGAAGTGGTATACGTCGCAACCCTCGTGGTCGTGACCCGTGAGGACGATGCCCTTGCGTCCCCTCCCTCCACCTGGCTGGATGGGGCTAGACGACTTGCCGAATATGCTCTCGAGGATGCCCCGCGAGGCGGCGTCAGAGAGGTGGTTCTGCTCTCTGATGCCGTGGGGGAATGAGCCGTCCTCGGCGGATTCGTGGAAGTCGAAGAGCGGTCCGTCACTGCAGACACCGTGTACTTTATGAAGAGGGATGTGCGTGAGGAGGACGGTGAAAACACCACTCTGCTCGACTGGGTAGGAGGACCCGACCACATTGTTTATGAAGTTGTAGGTGTCTGTTTGCAGCGTTGGCGCGTAGACAGGAGTATCGAGATTCATGTTGTTGAGAACCACTACGCGCAGGGTCGGGGCCTGCTGCTGAGATTCAGGGTCGGAAGGAAGACGGAATTCGAGGGCATAGTTCAGCCGGCCGAATGCATGCTCAAACCGGGAGGCTCGCTCGAGTGTCAGGTCCCCTCCGTAACCGATGTCATGGTTCCCAGCAACGTTCATCAGGCGAGTGGACCACGCCTGCGCGTCCTCGCCGATGATATGGAATGGCTGCTTGCGGGGTTCCTGGCCGCCATCGGCTACGGCGATCGGGGGCATCGTAGTATGTATGAGGTCGTCGCTAATCTTCTCATGATCCGGGAAGACGCGGTCCCAGAAGCGGCCGCTACGCCATTCGAACTCTTCGTCATCGATCCATTGGCTGCCGAGAAGATCGCCGAGGACAGTGACGTGCGTCGGGCGCGACCACCAGCGCACTGTGCGGTAGACGTGCGCGAGGTATAAGTCGTTCCCCCAGAGGTCGAGGCGCTTGATGCCGTAGCGGGCGAGGCGAGGCAGGTCGTCGAGCCAGAAGTCGATGTTGGCGTGGAGAGCAGTGCGGGTGCGCTGGAGAAGGGATTCGGAGGAGTTAAAGGTGCCGAAGAAAACGTGGAGGTTTGTCAGGGAGGTGGCGGTTGGGTCGAGGGAGCTGGAGCCTTCGAGCTGCGGATCACCGACCGCGAGAAGACGGAAGGGAGAGGTCGCGGGGACAACAGGGCTGAGGGGGGTGTGCGAGAGAACAGTTCTCACGAAGCCATTGTTGAAGATCGAGGACCCTGGGGTGGGAAAGCCGCAGCCGTGGAATAGGGGGTAGTAGTAGAGATAGGTCGTGGAGACTAGAGAGAAAGGGACAAGGAGAAAAAAGAGAACATTGCGAAGCAGGAAGAGGAGGAACATGGGAAAGAGAGGAGCTCGCCGGGCGCGGCGGTGGGTGGTCGTATCAGTCGTATCGAAGGGGGAAGAGATGAGCAGCGGCTCTAGTGACACGCGACACTCAACTCAAACCATCGCGGCTCGGTCGCGTGGGAGACTCGTGTATCGCAGCCAGGGGTCAAGGAGAAATAGTCGCGCGGAGAATATTCCGCGTTACGCGCGTCATGGGTGATTGTCATGTGATGCATCATGTGATCTGTGAAGGCGGTGTGGGGATCTGGTAGTCATGTGATGTGTTGGTTTTGGTGGAATTCATCAAGTGGTCACGTGATGGGTTCCTTGAACGACTATGCACATAAATCCAACTGGAAAGCCTACGTGATGAAGCTATAATATATATCTATATCTTATCGCCCTGCCCCTCTCATTTTGTTTAAGTAGCTTGCCCCTCAAGGCTTCCCTAAAATTGCACAAGCTATGTCTCTACATCTTTCGAACCTAGGAGAGATGCTTGGACGATCAGCTACTTAAAATCCCACGCTCTACCCCTCTCTCTACTACTCAACTCCTCTGGGCATGAAACAATATGAAGAATATGTATTATTTGCGGTAAACTCGCTATCTATGAGCACACTATGAGAATGCTGGTGAGGTCTCTTTTGACTTTTGGCCATGGATAGACCAGTGATTGTCCGTCAACGCCTCTCTGGCGGGGAAGGCGGTGGGGGGGATGGGCGTGACTTGTGGATTTTAGAGATAGCAACGTGACAAGGACGGTGATAAGAGATTAGAATGATGACCGCGGAGATGGGGAAACTCCATGCCGGTGAAGGACTCGGTGTAGTACTCGGTTCGGTTCGAACTGCTACATTCTGCACTGCTATCGAGGGTCGATTGTTACATAATTCTGTTGTCGTTGCCTGAATGTGAGCCTTATTGCCTGATGGTTTGCAGATGCAGAAAATCCGAGGTTCGTTTGCTGTGCTGTTGCTCTCTCCAAGAAAACGACAACGCCACTAAAATCAACGCTAGCTTATTAGCATCTTAGTGTACCCCTCACCTGCCATATAGGGTATAGTTATATCTGCGCCACGGCCGGCGAACCTCTGTCGAACCTCCCATCCCCCCATCGTCGCTTCCAATTTTGTCTCCACTATTGTCTCCACTTATTGTCTCCATTATACCCTTGTTCTTCCTCTCCCCCGTCTCCACCTCCACGCCGCAGGTAGCCGGTCTACTTCTGTTAAGTGCTGCTAGGCTGCGCTAGTCTCTCTTGGCACTAGTCACCGCGGCGGGCTGACCGAATGCAACACGAACTAAACGGAAACCTGCACTCGACCAATCACATACACCCAAACACACCCAAACACAACGCCAGCCCCGTGACCATCATGACAACCCTCGCCGCCGCTGACCACACCTCACCACACTCATCACGGCTGTCGCATGCACAGTGACGATGGCGGTTCATTGTGGGGTCCGGCGAGCAGGGCGGCGAGTCGGCAATCCCACCGTTTTCCGCCTCCCCCCCACCCCACACCCCTCCTCTGTGCCTCCCCATCCGGTGATATCCTCTACTGTACGGCCTTTTATGCGGCGAGTAATGATGTACAGCACAGCACACACCCGTAAGACGACAGGTAACAGACGAGACAATCCCCTCAACCCCAACCCCAACCCCACACTCAGTCCCTGCTAAGTCTCTACTGAAAGCAGGGACTCACCTTGCCGCCTTTAGTATAGTCCTGTAGTCCCCAGTTATACCCCCCCGCCTCGTCTCTAGGATACCCTCCTCTACCCTCCTTCTCCTACGTTAGTCCGCTGTATAGTTGCATCACTGTTGATCACGACCCGTTTACAGCTTAGCCCATGATGATCGGTGTAACAACTAATCAACTCGCGAGCCTTGCTCCCAGAGTAATAATCGATTCTTCTCCAGCTTGAACTTCTTCCCCTCTTCTCTTCCTTCTCCAACTTCCTCACACGCGACGTGATGGACTTCAAGCGCGAAGAAGATGGCCCCAGCGCTGAGGAGACGGAGCTGGGCACCGTTCTCACTACCAATCCCGAATACAATCTCACTCATGGCCAGAATCAGCTCGAGCGCGGCCTCAAGAGTCGTCACATTCAATTTCTGGCTTTGGGTATGCCATTCTCCGTCTCTCCTTGCGCCCCAATTCCCCTTCTCACTTCTCACCTGAGCAAACACTAACATCCCACAGGTGGTGCCATTGGAACCGGTCTCTTCGTGGGCTCAGGTGGTATTCTCGCCGACACTGGCCCCGCGCCCCTCTTCATGGCCTACCTCTCCATGATGGGTGTCGTCTGGTGTGTCATGAACAACCTCGCTGAGATGGTCACCTACCTGCCCATGAAGGGTATCTCCGTTCCCTACTTCGTAGACCGTTTCGTAGACCCCAGTCTGTCGTTTGCCGCTGGCTGGAACTACTGGTACGCATATGCCATGTTGGTCGCCGCCGAGGCTAGCGCTGCTGCAATCGTACTCGACTACTGGAATGCCCCCGTCAACGTCGCCGTCTGGATCACCATGGTCCTCTTCATCATCCTGCTGCTCAACGTGATCGCCGTCTCCTTCTTCGGAGAAGCCGAGTTCTGGTTCGCCAGTATCAAGCTCATCACCATCCTCGGTCTCATCATACTCGGCATCGTCCTCTTCTTCGGCGGCGGGCCCAATCACGACCGACTCGGGTTTAGATACTGGAAGAATCCGGGAGCCTTCAAACAATACATGTCGCCCAATGAAACGGGCAAGTTTCTGGCCTACTGGCACGCCTTCGTCAAGGCCGGATTCGCCTTCATCACCTCCCCTGAATTGATCGCCATCGCCGCGGGTGAGACCGTCGACCCGCGCCGCAACATCCCCAAGGCCGCCAAGCGCTTCGTGTGGCGTCTCGCGATCTTCTACGGCTTCGCATCCCTCATCATCGGTATTATCGTGAGCTCCGACGACAAGCGTCTAGGCGGTGCCGGTAACGCGGCCGCGAGTCCCTTCGTCATTGGCATCCAAGCGGCTGGCATCAAGGGCCTCAACCACGCCATCAACGCTGCCATCCTGACATCCGCCTGGTCGGCGGGTAACTCCTTCCTGTACTCCGGGTCGCGTGTGTTGTATTCCATGTCCCTGACCGGCCAGGCACCCAAGTTCTTCAACCGCACCAACAAGCACGGTGTCCCATACGTCGCGGTGCTCTTCACATGGATGTTCTCGCTGCTGGCATACCTCAACGTGTCCAACACGGGCACCACGGTGTTCAACTGGTTCGTCAACATCAGCACAATCTCTGGCTTCATCGCCTGGATCGTCGTCATGATCACGTACCTGCGCTTCCGCGCCGCGTTCGAGTACCACGGCCTGCTGCACACCCTCCCTTACCGCACGCCATTCCAACCCTACGCGACATACGTTGTGCTCTTCATCGTCTCGCTCCTGACCATCACCAACGGCTTCCAGATCTTCTGGCCTGGCAAGTTCAACGTCTCCGACTTCCTCGCCGCGTACATCACGCTTCCCATCTTCCTGGTGCTGTACGTCGGACACAAGATCTGGTTCCGCACGCCCTTCGCCATCCCCATCCCGGAGATCGACATCATCACTGGCAAGAAGGAGATGGATGAGCTTGCCGAACTAGAGATCAGGCGCATACCGAAGAACTTCCTCCAGCGGGCGTGGTTCTGGCTTGCCTAGACGTGGTTTAGAAGGAGATGAGAGATGTGGAATGTGGAATGTGGAACGAATGGGAGGTTCATATATTTATCCAAGTTTATAGACCAGTATGCTATTTATTAAGCCAATTTGGCCTTTGTCAATCCTGTCGCACTGCGCCCTGAGAACTACAAGTCTCATATGTGTAGAGTCACGTGTGTTCCTGCTCTAGAAGCCACCCGGCTTCCATAAACCTTTCTCAAATAGGATATAAGGCGCGTTTTGTATTTGGTACACAAAAGTAGATCAAACCCCCATGTGCGTTGTTCAATTTAGCTCAGCATATATACATACACAGTACCCATATGACAGGCGCATTAGAGTAAAAAGCTTTCCCTTAACTTGAGCCAAGAGGGGGAAGGCGGAGGTTAGAAGGGTGGAGGGGTGGAGGGGTGGATCTGATATATTCGGTCTTCCCTCCCCGATCCCGCAACAACGTTTCTCCGTATTTTCACCCAAACGCGGCCGCATCGTCCGAGCTTCAAACGCAACTTCAGTCCACCACACGCATCTGGAGCTCTGATCCCTCCCACCTCATCTATCCCCCACGTACCTACCGACCCCACGAACCTCAACAACCCTCGTGTCGCTCTCGTCTCGACAGATCAACGCGCGCATTTATACTCTGCGCGAGATATTGTTTCTACACGGAAGAAGGAAAGAAATAATATACCAGTGAAGATGACGGGACGCGGTGGAGGTGGTGGTGGTGGGCGCAGGGTTTTGTTGCCGCCTATGTATGTTCTACTCCTGCCCTGTCATTATTCGCAGCTGCGATGGCTTGGAAGAGTGCGTCGTGGGCGCGGGCGCGCATGCTGTTTTCTGATTGAGGGGCTTGTGCTGACGAGTGGTGTAGCAATATGATTTTCAAGCTGTTGCAGACGGTGAGTACAGAGCTCATAAGTTTCGGGGCGTAATGGCTTGGGTGTGGCTTTGGATCGTGGGATGCTGTCTATGCGGATGGATTGGGGGGAGGTGTTGTTCGGTCACACTTCTGTTGGAGGGGTGGACAGATGCGCCAATCCTCAAAATAACGTACCGTTGGTCCAAAGCTACACATCTCTAGGCCACACGCGGCAGCATCAACGAATACCCTCTACGCATTATAGATGTGCTCATACTGACATCTGCAGAACTCCACAGTTTCCATCTGGCTGTACGAGCAAATTGCCATCCGCATCGAGGGAAAGATCAGGGTTAGTCTTTGACACACCACCCTAAGCTATGTGCGATTGCTGACAGAGACAGGGATTCGATGAGTTCATGAACCTCGTTATCGACGACGCGATCGAGGTCGGGCAGGTCACAAAGACGAACGAGACGGAGACGAGGAGGCCGCTAGGTATGGTTCCCCGGGGTGTGACGCTACAAATGGATGATGCTGACTATTCTGCAGGCAGGATCTTGTTGAAGGGCGACAACGTGTCGTTGATCCAGAGCTTGTCAGGTTGAAGGGGTTGAGTCGCTTGGAGATGTATACCGCGTCTATTTGGCTGTGGCGGACGGGATGGGCAGATGGGTTTGGCGCCGAGGGGTGATGAGGCCTTTGAAAAGCTTGTTTGGGATGGATGGATGGATGCCCAGGGGCGTTATGACGCATATATGCCGATGGTGAATGGTCTAAAAACGAGCTTGGTCGGGTATCTGAGACGATGCTTGAGTGTTCGTTCTGCTACATGTTTTGCATGTTGTGGTGGATCTTATGCTACTCCTGTGAGTAGAGGATCAAATTCGAATATATAAATGCCAGTGATAATAGGCTTCGGGGACTTCTGAATTATGCGGTGATTATTTTGGTGGGTGAACTACTCTACTTTGTAGGTCCAAATGGGGCTCTCAAAGTACGAACTCCATTGGAAATGAGAATTTACAGTCGTTTCACGGTTTTTACGTAGGGGTATTACTTTTGCTCCTCGTCTACTAACTTAAACCTCAAATCTCGTCTCTAGATTAATGAGAAACGCATCCAGCGAGAGCATATTATAGCGTCCCCGTTCATCGTCGCCAATCGGGACATGGTCTGGACCATTCGCAAGACGACTGGTAAACCCATGTGTCAGAAGCAATCCTGTGGTCCTCGCGAGGCTGACGGTCCGAAGGTCTTCTTTTGTAACGCCTCCCACCTCCTTCTTGAACGTGTTCCAGAACGTGTCTTGCAAGCTGTCATAATCTCGTATCGACTCCAGCCGTTTTGCAGGTGGAGTTTCCCTGATAGACTTTCGAGAGCAAAGAGATTTAATCCAAAGGGGCCTATCTTCGCTTCGGCCCAGTCGATGACGCCGACGAGGTGGCAGGTTGTCTCGTCTACCATGATGTTGCAGTCACAGAAATCTTTGTGGAGCAGAACCATCGGTAAAGACAGAATTTTATCTACTGAGTCTATACAGCTCTGGATGATGGTATGGAAGCGAACAGGCAACGCAGTAAGCAAGAGCTGCAGTTCAGTAGTGTACGTCTGTCTCAAGCGGTTGCGCTGGGACACGGCCATCAACTGAGGGGATTTCCATGCCAGCGCAAAGAAGCTATAGCACTTAGTATAATTTATGAAGAGAGGGTTGAGGATAGGAATAGTATACAGCGCCATATCGCCCATCAAGGTCTTGCGCCACGCGAAAGTTTCCTGCGAGTTGTCGGGGCAGGCATGCGTTAGATTGAACTCTAATTGAGTGACGACTCATACGCGGTTCGCCAAATAGATATAAAGCGGCTCCTTTCCAGCAACATTATCGTCTCCTAGCTGGCCTACAAACGAAACTGCTGGAGCTAGGGCCCCATACAGCTGCTTCGCCAGCATGCTCAAGTGACTTAGGCCGAAACTGGAGGACATATTCCAGGTTGGGTCCAGCGTAGACAGAGTAGCTACAGAAGCCCTGTATCTTGATAGGTGTGACAGTACCGCCGGCGAGGTCTCTTGCTCGATCATCGCATGTTTGACGGGCCACGGATGTCTTTGTGAAGAAAGCTGCAATCTCATCTTCGACATTGTATACCGCGTAGGTTGTCATTATGGGCGGAGTGTAATGTTTTCTTTGTTGTTCTGCTCACTTTAAAAGCTTGCTCACCTTGGAAGCTTGTTCATCTGGTATAGATAGCGAACATCACACCTTGCCGTAGTACACCTATTGTAGCGTTGAGAGCGACTGTGAATAACTGAAGTGAGAATCAAATATGAGAAGGGGCGAGATGCAAACATTCACGTGATTATGATATTTATACACGGTGGCTGCGCCTCCCCGACATTTCGTTTAAGATCGCTGTGTCGGGACTGGCATGACGCCACCAACGCTACTTCCTTCGTTCGGTGTGCATCAGTGCATCTGGTGGATAAACTTCCCTGGAGATCTGTCTGCCTTGTCCACTTGTCTCCATCACACCGCGGATAGCAAGAATACCAAGATCCCCAAGACTTCGCGGTAAGGATCCCCGAGATCATCAAGATTACCTCCTAAGAACACCCAATACACCCCCCCCTACCATGCAACTCAAGGAGCCCCAAGACCCATAGAGTGGACCTATTATCAACCTACAGGCCAAGACAAAGCTTGAGTACGTTGAATGCTCAAAACAAGCCCCAAGGCGCCCTTAACCCCGAACTTTCTCATCATATCGTATTGAAACGTGGTTGCCGCTTGTGCTCCATCGCAGATTGCCCATAAGCGCCGGCACGAGGCTGTAGGCTGACTTGTTCCGACCCCCCTCCATTTATCAATTACTTTATTTGTGAGGCTGAGCTGAGCTGGAGCAGCCACGGTCGGCCTATCACTTCCGCTGCCAACACATCCAACAGCGAAAGTATTTATCTGCTGGTCCCTGCCTCGTTGTCGCCCGTACAAGTCATCCCAAAGACAAGAAGGTCGTGCTTGTTCTCGCCCTTGGCGTACCTAAAGCGACCACTCTCCAACATGGCAATTCTCAAACGCAACTCCCAGACCGTAGCAAACGGCCAAGCAGCTGCCACCAATGTACAGAATGGCCAGGCCAACGGCGTGCGCCCAGGCTCTGTTGCCCAGGCGCCTCCAACATATACCCCCACTAATGGCAACCCTACCAACCTCACCGAGGCGGAGATGATGAACGCGGCCGCCGAGAATGGGAATGCTGCTGCCGGTGCCCAACCTGACATTGCATGGGCCTTCTCAAATCTGATGATCAAGGAAAGCGATAATGGCTTCCCTACTCCGGAAGAGACTCTGGGGCACCTCAAGCTTCTCGAGGCATTCTATGCGCTTAAAGACGAGATCGCATATACCGACGGGGCCTTTGGCCTTTACGATGGTCGGGCTCCGGGTACAGACGAATCCGTTGCTGGAGACCAACCGGCTACGATCAAGAGACTCGAGGCCTTGGCTCAGATTAGGGAAAAGAGATGGGCTCTATACGTGGCACGAGCCGCCGATCGGTTCGAGTCGTGGTGGACCCAAGTTCTCACTCCTATGGATAAAGCATTCTGCAACAGTCTAGGCCCATCACTGGGGGTTTCCAGGCTACGCGTGTCCGATCTTACCGCTGCATTGTGGGTTAAGTTTGTTGACGAGCCTGCATTTAATAAGCATCCCAGCGACCCTAGAAAAGACTGGAAGCGTATCAAATGGATATGGACTCGCGATATGCTTCCTCCTCTAGGTAATATCCACTTCCTGGTTCCACTGAGCAACTGTCGCTGACTATGTACAGATGTCCTCATGGTTTGGCATTCTTTCATGCTCAACCCGCGCAACTATCTGGAAGACTGCATGCGGTTCGGACTCAGAGACACGTGGTACGCCGGAATGCCATGGAAAGCCGTCAATGACTCTATCAATGACAGTTTTTACTACGAAGTCACTGATGCTGCAAAAGCCAAATGGATCTCTTCGACAAGTCGGCCGTGGAGCAATTTAGACGAGTCCTCCGTGAAGTCCTTGAAGTGTCCGCGTTGCTCGACTTTGCAATCCATCCCATGGACGACGGCCTCCATGGAGGAATCAGCCCGCCACAATTGGGACATGAAGTATGTGGGCCATGGCTATGCAGAGGGAGATCTTCTAGCAACTTGCCCCGTATGTAACTTGAACATCACCCACGATATTCTCAGAGTCACCAAATTTAAACGGGATGCCGAGGATCTATTGCGATCCGATTACCCAATGGGCGGCACTATTGTTCCGGGGAAAGGCGGGACGCCACTCAATGTGCGCCTTCATGAGGCAACCTATGGCCCACAGTCATTTCCAAATCGACTCATTAAAGAACATTTGAGAACACAGGTTCTTGACCTCAATAAAGAGGACTATGGCAGCAAATTCTGCAGGACTGGCAACTTAATCTACGTTCGCACCCTGATTGAGCAGTCTATAGGGGATAAGACTATCATTGCAAAGATCAATGGGTATAAAACTAGTGGGAAAATGTACCCTGACGAACGTCTGGCCGTGAGACACATGATGTCAAGATATTGGACTAATCACTCACTCTTCTCTATGGAGCTCACCTCAGCTGTAATTCGCCAGGGCTCCTTCGTGGACAAGATGCACAAGATCGACTGGCTGCATAGCCCAACCGCTCTCTCTACGATGGAGCGTCTCCTGATCAAATACGAACGCTTCTTCCGCATTATGGCATCCAACCCCAAACAAACGGCCGTTCCAACCTTGGATGTCGACCTTGCCTGGCACACGCACCAGCTTAGCCCCAGAGAATACTACAATTTTTCCATCCGAATGACAATCGATCGCTTCATCGACCACGATGATAAGATTGACGAGGAAAAGCTCAGCGAAGGCTTCGAATGGACGTCCAAGGAGTATGAGAGGACCTATGGCACAGTCTATTCCGAATGCACTTGCTGGTACTGTGAAGCTATTCGCGCCAAGCATGTGAGCTCAGCCAGCAGCATCTTCAAGAAGACCTCGAAGCATGACAAGATCTCGGATGAGTTCTACAATAGCGGCGCAGCGCAGTTCTGCCCGCCCAGCAACAGCGCGCACATCAGCGCGCACAATGCCGTGCCCGTGGTGAATGGCGATCCGATGAACAAGAGAGTGGCAGAAAGGCTTGCTGCAGCGCGGAAGAAGCAGCTGGACGAGGCCTATGCAAAGGCATGCAAGCGCGCCATCAAACGAGGCAGACCTGTGCCACCTAAGGAGCAGTTTGTTGCTAACCACTACGGGATGGCTTATGCCTCGCCATACCCTTACGGGATGATGTACATGACGGTATGTATTCCTGGATTTTTAGACTCTGATTCCCAGGATTTTGCTAACTCGGATTTACAGCCCTTCATGTACCCGTATGGCCTATACTATATGCCAATGGGGGTGGGTGTCTACGGCGCATGTGCGTCTGGTACGTGCAGCGGCGGAGGGTGCGGTGGTGGAGGAAGTTGTGGTGGAGGATGCGGTTCTGGCGGTGCATGTGGCAGTGGTGGTGGTGGTGATGGAGGAGGAGGAGGAGGAGATGGGGGGGGTGGAGGTGGAGGGTGTGGTGGTGGCTGCGGTGGCTGTGGTGGTGGTTGAAGTGGATGGTTTGGTTGGGAGTTTGGCATCGGTCTTTTTAGCTAGCGTTTTGCTTTTTGTTCATTGATTTCAAAGCGAGCGGACTTTATTCTAGTACTCATGCCGCCCAAGTCGCGGGGGAAGGGTCGTGCATTGCAGTCACTTGGGGGGTTATGACCACCTTGGAAGCCTGCGTGCCCCATTTCCGCTTTGGGTGTTTACGACTTACAGCAACTATAAATCAAATACAGGCTTGATAATTATTTAAACTGTAATCATTACACTAGAGCCTTTCAACATACACACTTCGTGACGTTTCCTCCTCATTCATAATTCATCATTTATTTTCGTATAGTGCTGTCTGTGCATTATCATATTTTGGAGAGGCGGCACAACCCCCGATCGTACCTCGGCCCCAGCTCATTCCCCAGATATTCCCCGCAACGACAGCGCTAATGCCGACACTGTCCCGAGAAAGCGCTCCACTTCACCCCACCGCCGACCACCGCCAGCCATCCGAATCCTCAAAACTCCAGCTGTTAAACACCATGTATCCCTTGGCAAGTAGGGAGGTCGGCTGCTCTCGACATTCTTCCAGGGACATACAATAGTGGCAATGCCCCCTGGCCTCCGATCTCTTTCAACCTTCACCAACACAGCTACGAAACTCGATCATTTCTCGGGATTGGCTTTTCGGCGCACAGAACCTACACGGAGACAGCTGGCACATTTGGCATTCACACCATTACAGAATCGAGAGCTGAGAAGCCGAGAAATAGAACTCAAGACAGGGAAGCGGACAATCACAACCATGCCTCCTCCACAACCACGAACTCACAAGGCGAAGCCGCCAAGTCCGGAGCCTCGCCCGAGCTCCAGGTACGCCGACCTCTCTCTCCCTATCGCTTAGTCGTAATCCTAGCTAACAATTGACGCAACAGCATCCTCCTTATCTCGCCCGAAAACAAGATCCTCCTCCTCCACCGCGTCAAGACATCTTCCTCTTTCGCCTCCGCCCACGTCTTCCCCGGTGGAAACCTCTCCTCCCAAGACGGTCCCATCCCAGCCCCGAGCTCTCCCGAGCGCCACGTCGACAGCCCCGTCTACCGCCTCGGCGCCATCCGCGAGTGCTTCGAGGAATCTGGGATCCTCCTGGCGCGACACCGCGATGGCGGGGGCATGCTCGAGGTTCCCGACGCGGAACGAGAGCGCGCGCGACGGGCTATTCACAGCGGGGAAGAGAAGTTCAGCGAGTGGGTGAAGAAGATGGGTGGGGTTGTGGACGCGGATGCGCTGCTGCCGTTTACGCGGTGGATAACGCCAACGTCGGTTCCGCGGCGCTTTACGACACAGATGTATGTGTATTTCTGGCCTCTGTCGGGGGCGGGGCAGGATGCCAAAATCCCGATTGGGGGTGACGCGATGATTCCTACGCCGACGAGCGATGGGGGGCTAGAACACACGGCTGCTGTGTTCCAGAGCTGTGCGACGTGGTTGGAGCAGGCGCGGCGGAACGAGATTATTATGTTCCCGCCACAGTTCTATCTCATGTGGCTGCTGGGCAAGTTTTTCGAGGAGGGCAAGGGAGGGGCGATGGAGCTACGAGTACAGAGAGAGAAGGTCAAGGAGTTCCTGAAGGGGAGTGGTGCGAACGGGGTGCCGTGGGCTGATAAGGTTATGAGCCCCGTGCCATTGGGCATGTTTGAGGGTAGGGCAGTGCTGAACCTCGACCACCCTGGGCCAGAGCTGAAAGGGAGTGGGCGAAGAGGAGAGAGCGGGCATGTTGTGCAGGTAAGATTCTCCAAAGAGGGGCCGCGCGATGTAGAGGTCAGGGATGCGGTGGAAATGAAGAGATTGATGGGGGAGGCGAAAGGGAAGTTGTAGATTATGGTGAGTCAGACGGTGTATATAGCCTAGGGTTGTACCAGGAGATATGAACATATGATAAACATTTTTTTAGTAATTTCAAATTTCATATTTCGGAGAATATTCGCCGGATTTATTCGATGGGTGTCTTATGTTCCCCCTGTACTTTCGGCTTCTTTCGTACGGGACGTGCATGATGGTATTTATAATATTATCTTTTATTTATGTGTATTATTAATGTTTCAAGGTGCACTTTTCTAATTCTTCGACAACATTATTTTAGACCCTTAAAATTTTAATGTTTAGTTTACTTAAGCTTTAAAACAATATAGCATGACAAGCGTACGTAAAATGGCCCTATATTAACAACTAATGTAGCTTTGAAGTTCCTACATAAATAGACTACATGGTTTCGCAGCTCCTGCTCTTTACTACTCTAAATGAACAACACTTTTCGGAACTAAATTTCCGGCCTTCGACGCCGAATATCAGAAATTCTCATTCTCATATTCCATATCGTTGGTTACCATGTCCACCTCAGCCCACGCAAAGAAATATTGGTATTTCGGGGGGTGGAGAAAGTGATCCAGTACTTATAGCACGAAGCTCCACAGAGCTCTACCGATATGAAGACCACAATTTTAAATTCTGGTTCCCAAACGGTCCCATAATACCAGAAGACAAGGTTATTTCAGCGATTGGGAGTCACCCGATTCTAGCCGCCTACAATAAGCACCTTCGCCCAAAGGTGCGTGAGGCACTGGCTTCAGCTCCATGGCAGACAATCGGTATAGTTCGGCTCGGCTTTGCAGATAATGAAGATAATCCACCTGTTGTCTTAGTGACTATTAAAGAAGAGAATGCCGAAGAAAACATCGTTCAAGCGGCGGTTGATCGGATCCGGAACATAATGGTTGAGTAAGTTTGATACTTCCTTAGATTATCACTTTTCTAAAGTCTATATTCTAGAAACGGCTTCTTGGATGTCCAAGCCGAAGCAAAGACGGGCATGCTATTTCCCCAACTCACTTACGACGTGGACAGAGTTATCCCACTTGAGTTTAAGCAGACACCAAAGGTAGGATGCAGCATTGGCAACGCATGTATTGGAGCCGGAACTTTATGTCTTTACTTGAAGATCCAAGGCGAGATGTAGGGCCTGACCTGCAAGGACGTTCTTCTTCCCATGGATTTAACTACGCCAGGTAGGTATACATACGTATATTTTCTAAGAATGCCCAAACTAAAAACATTGACAGACGCACCAGTCTCCAATCACTCGACAATTGCCGTTGACGGAGCTATGGTTCTTCAACGGGCAAGAGCGGATGTTGAAAAAGAAGACGAATATCTTACAGAACGAATATCATGTCGTCAAAGTTGGCTGGACGACTTCATTGTCGAAGAAAGGAATGCTAAAATGGGATCGATTCCTGCTATTCGACAAGCTAGGAGGAACCGCGTCCAAGCGAATCGCGAGTGGCTAGATGAACTAAAAGATAAAAAGGCGCATTTGGACAGCTTTAAACCTTTCATGCCGTTTGGAAGTGTGCACACTGTACCGGGAAGCCTAAATAATCCTGCTCACGGCTGTGTTCGGGTCTGGATACTCTTCAAACTATTTGAAGATAGGTTCTGAGACCCGCCACGCAATGTAGTAAGTGACGACAGCCCAGAACTTACCACAATTGCCAGTTAGAGGCTTATTCCCCCGCACAGTTCCCGTGGATGGACGTCGAATTCCGGGACGACCGACGTCTCATAGGCTCCCACAAAAGGCGTCTTTCTTATATATGCACCATGGATGCAGCCTCCGAGGTTCTCCCTGTAACGACAAAGGAAGGGATCGTTCAATTTACCGGCTCAATCGACCACGAAAAGAACCGCACTCTGGGCGTTATCAAGCACAGGAGATCGACAGGATGGACCTGTGGGACTCTCAATGAGCTTCGTTCCGACTGTCGCCATGTGCTCCCAGGACAACTAGACTTGATAAGGACGGAATGGTGTGTGTTTAAGCTGCCACGTGTAGAATATTTCTCATCCAAGGGTGACTCTGGGGCAGCTGTGATAGATTTTGGCGGGAAGATTGTTGGGATGGTGCATAGGAGTAGTGCGAAGAGCGAGCTTTATAGAGCTGAGATGACGTATGTCACGCCTATGGATTGGATTATTGAAGATATAAAGGCGACGATGGGGACGGACGATGTTATTTTGGAAGAGTATATTTGGGATGGAGAGGGGGAGACTGGTAATTGAGTAAACAATAATGCGGTTGGGATTTTAGAAATCCATAATGATAACACGTACTGTCGTCTCAAAGTATACCATTGGGGTTTATAAATCAATAGGCATGATAGAGATGATATTATTCAACTTCTTGTATCGGGTTACCTAACAAGTTCGGGCCCCGACGATCTATACGTATAAGTCAGGTATTCTAATTAAAGAATCTCCAGACAGAGATTCCCCCACATCCCGTCACCGAGTAACCTTCATATCTCCCTTCCCGTATTCCCCCGCGAGACAAACCCACCCGCCCCCTGATATCACTTCAACCATGGCAATACCCACCCTCATGTAGGCCTCTTAAACTTAATCCACTCATGCGTCCTCTCCTCCACCCCCGCATCCGGCCCCAGATGCCCCTCCTTCCAGCATCTCGCACAATACAGCGCCTCCTCCGCATCCCCAAAATTGTCCTCGCAGCCGCGACATAGCACAGTAGCGTTGTCATAGCATATCACGCATGCAGTAGCGGGTTCCGGTGCAGGTTTTGAGGAGCCCCCGCGGGGAGAGGAGACAGGGGCGGTGGATGGGGCGGAGGGCATGCCTAGGGCGTCTGTGGTGGTGGGGGTTTGGAGTGCGGCCATGCGGGCTGTGATGGAATTGGTGAAGGCGAGGGTTTCGGGGTCGGGAGGATCCGGGGGAGAGAGGAGGGTGGAGGGGGTTGAGGGGAGGGTGAGCGGGTCGGTGGTGGGTGTTGGGTCTGGGGGTGGTGGGTTTGTGGACTGGGGGGGTGGTGGTGATGATTGTGGTTGTGATTGTGGTTGGTTGGCTGCTTCGTCTCTTTTTTCGAGGTGTGCTTCATCGAGGAGGCGTGCAAGGATCTCCTCTGCTTCCTGTGCTTCTGCTTCTAGGTCCCTGTCCTCGTCTTCGTCTTCGTCATCAGATTTCTCTGGGTCTGACTCGCCATCTGGTGAGCCCCCTGCATCTGAGTCTCGGGACGACCCCGCATTCTTCGGGATTTTGTGTTTGCCTTCCGACTTGAGCAGTTTATCTGAGTCCGATAGGCTGTCCGCAGCTTCTTCGCGCAGCCGTCTAATCACATCTTCCGGAAATGGCACCTTCGAAGCCTCCCGTGGCGGCCGCCCATGAGACTTGCTCATGGGAACATCATGTGATCCTTCCCGTGCAAAATCCAGAGCATCGCGCGCCAGCTTGATATCAGCTCTGTCATCGATTTCCACAATCGGCGAGTCGAGACTGGAGATGGCCGATGCCGTCTGTGCGCTAGCGTCGGACAGAACGCCGAAGGTTAAGTGTTGGTCTGATGGGGGAAGGTGCGACCCAGAAGCGGTGTTCCTGCCGCCAGTGCCACCACCATTGCGGAGCGCGCGGAGACGGTCGGAAAGGAGTGTATCCGGGGTCTGCAGGGTACCGGGGATGGAGAGGTTGGGTCTACGGAATAATTAGAACGAGCCGGGGGAGATTAGGGGGTGTGTGGGGGGGAGGGGGGAGTAAGGAAATGTGATAAAACTGTACCGCGATGAGTGATCGAGTGAGACGGTTGTTGGACGGAGGGCGTTGAGTCTGGCCAAGAGGTCGGAATCAAGGGAGGAGCCGGAAGGGGGCTCGGCAGGGTTATCGGCCATCTGCAGCGCAGGATTTAAATTGTCACTTCTTTTATTCCGTGTGTACAGTATATGCACATCGCCGAGACGAAGACTCAAGATGGCGGGCGGGTTGTTTCAATGTAGTCACGTGCCAAGACACGGGAACTGGATTAGGAATAGCGCACCGCCACGCAGCGCCATCGGTGAGGTTCCGAGCATTGGCATCGACCCTCAAGCAATTTCTACCGCAAGTAAGCTACATGCCGCAAAAGCCTCCCGCGTCTTGGAAGAAAGAAAGGAGGAAAATGAGAAAAAAGGTACGAGAAAAGGCCAAGAAACGGCAAGTCTTAGCATGCACCACATATATCGCACATATTTCCAATCCAGTCCAATCCAGTCCAATCCAGTCCAGATTGCAGCATCGACTGAGGCCCAGGTCACACTACCAAGTGCCTAATAAGACGTTTTGGGGATTAGAGTCTTGGACTATGCGCTGCTAAACACCTGCTAAACACCTGCTAACCAACTGCTAGACACCCCTAAACACTCCTAAACACTGCTAAATATACTGCTAGACAGCACTAAATCTCACGTGGACAGCGCCAATGTGGAGTGTGTCAGCATATTTTCTGTCAAGATCGGCGAAAGGATTCCCGCTATTGTCGCTATTTGTCGCCATTTCCTCCATCTCTTCTATTTCCCCCACTCTATCTCCTCGGAGGCATGTTCTAGACACCGACGCGGCTAGCATGCACGCGACTACCGCCGCCACCGATGCACCACTGCTGCATGAAGATGATGCTACTGGGCGTACTGTCTACTTAGTAGGCCCGATTCAATTGCCTCCCTTCCTCCCACCACACCTATTCCGCTCTTACGCCCATGTCGATCTCACCTTTCCCTTGACTGAAGGTGGGGGATGCCTGCCAAAACCAGAAAAGCCAGCAAAACATGCCAGGGATCCCCTCACTTCGACCAAACACTGACAAACCCAACGGCGGCGTCCCCGTCAATCTCTCTCCCGACCTCGGCCAATCCAAGTCGAACATCACCAACCTCATCCAATCCTGACGCCGTATCTCAGCTTCCTCACAGCTTCCCCTGCACCGTGACGCACCATCGCGCACCGTCGCGCACGGTAAACGCACTATATCGAAGCCGCCACGCTGTCATAGCGCTGAATTGCCGTTGGAGATGATGTGGATCCGCTTTGCGCCACGTCTTGGCTATATAGGTTTCTCGTTTTCTCGTCAGATGCGCACTCCCGATATTGCGAATACTGGACGTCTTGCGGTGGAGATACGTGGGATTATTCTGGGTCTTCACCGGGTCTTACACACTGGTACTACGTGACATGTCATGACACCGCAGAAATCAACAGCAACCACCACTTTCGACCACTTGCATCCACCAACCGCCACCAAACTTCCAACACCCTGCCGCCATCAGCCTCTTGGCAATCGGGCGAGTCCGGGTCCTTCTCACGCCGCTTGCTAATATCTCGTCTCGCCGGTGATCACGATCTCCCTAATCAGTCGATTTTAGGGATCGTCTCCACGTTCGGCACTTGCGGGGGACAGTTTGTGGGGTACTCGACCATAGTACCCCGCAGAACTATGCGTTTTTGTTGGAGAAAGCTCCCTCCACACCCCGATGTTTCCCCGTATTCCCCATATTCCCCATGTCTCATGCTCGGAACTTGACCGACAGCAACATCGAGCCATCATGAGATCAGCGTTATAAAGGTAGGTCTCCCAGCCTTTCTACTGTCTTCTCAGTGCTACTGGGGTTTCCTTCTCTCTATCGTACTCTTTCCTCCACATCATCATTCACAATGGCAGGCGGAAAACAGCCATTCAACATCTTCAAGTTGAACCGGGGAGACGACCCGAAGGAAGTCCTGAACTGGAGATTATGGCTCGCCGTCTTCTCCTTCGGTTTGATGGGAGCCGCCCGAGGTGTCGATGAAGGTCTCATCAGTGGCACTCTCAGCTCGAAGCATTTCAGGCACAAGATAGGGATTAGTTACCCCGATCAGATCACCGAGGAGGAGTACGCCAACATCAAGGCGAACGTCTCGGCCATGGTGCAGATTGGCAGTGTCGCCGGTGCTGGACTGTAAGTCTCTTCTTTCCCAACATCAATAATACGAAATCTAATCGATGCAAATAGCGCTTTCGTTCTCTGTGATCGCATCGGTCGCCTCTGGGCAACGCGTCAACTCTGCCTCATCTGGATCATCGGTATCGTCATCTTCTTGACCAACAACGGCAGCCTGGGCCAGGTCTACGCTGGCCGCTTCATTGCTGGCTTGGGTATCGGCCAGACCACCGTCGTCGCCCCCGTATACCTCTCCGAGATCTCCCCCAAGTCTGTCCGCGGTTTCTGCACGACAACCTTCTCTGGATCCGTCTACCTCGGTATCATGTTGGCATACTTTGCCAGCTGGGGATCCTCCATCCACATTTCCGACAAGACGGACACGCGCTGGGTTGTCCCAACCACCCTCCACATCATGTTCGCCGGTATCATCTTCATCCTCTCCTTCTTCAACTACGAGTCTCCTCGCTATCTCGTCAGGAGAGGCAAGGACGAGCAAGCCATTGTCAACCTGGCTCGCGTCCGCAATCTCCCCGTCGACCACCCAGTCGTCGTTTCTGAGATCGCTGAGATTCAGGCTCAGCTAAACGAAGAAAAGGAAGCTACCCTAGGCCTAGGATGGAAGGGCCTCATCAAGGAGATGTTCTTGATGCCCAGCAACCTCTATCGAATCCACATCGGCCTCCTTTCACAGCTCCTCTCTCAGTGGTCAGGTGCTCAGTCAATCACAATCTATGCACCTGATTTTTTCGCTTTATTAGGAACGACAGGCCAGAACGAGAAGCTATTCGCAACTGCGATCTTCGGTGTCGTCAAATTGGTGGCGGCGCTGATGTGCGCGTTTTTCCTCGTTGATGTTATTGGCCGCAAGCGCTCGCTTGCCATTGGAATCTTTCTCCAGGCCATGTCAATGATGTACGTGGCTATCTTCCTTACTGTCGCGGGGGAAAAGGATTCCACAGATTACTCCAACTCGGAGAAGCATGCCAGTGTCGGCGCTATTGTGATGATTTACGTTTCTGGCTTTGGCTGGGCGATGGGATGGAACACCATGCAATACCTTCTCAACGCGGAGATGTACCCTCTACGCATCCGTGCCATCAGCTCCAGTCTGGTCATGTGCTTCCACTTCGTCAACCAGTACGGGAACAGCCGTGCCGTCCCCAACATGCTGTTGAAGCCCAGTTTGGGCGGCATGGGACCGGCAGGAACCTTCTGGTTCTTCACTGTCATCACGGCCATTGGTGGATTGTGGGCGTGGTTCTTCATTCCGGAGACGGCAGGACGCAGTCTCGAGAGCATGGATCGTCTCTTCACCCTCAAGTGGTACCAGATTGGTACCAAGGGGCAACAGGAGGCCGAGATGCAACAGACGGTCGAGACCGAGAAGATGCAGCAAGAGGAGGCGAGTCGGGGAACTGCGGTGCATACAGAGAGGGCGCAGGGTGTTTGAGTGGCTGGGGAGTAGTATCACAGTCACGTATAGTACCTCAAATTAATGATATTATGAGGACAAGAAACAGCTTGTTTGAGTTTTGCCGTGTGAATCCCAGCATCTAGAAGAGATGCAACTGTGCCTGATGGTATCTCTCGCCCCAATGGCGCATCGGATATTGCCATTTCCCCAGAAGTAATTGCGTTACTTCGGCCGTGCCAGGGGTAATTAGATATCCCTGCCATGCCTTGCTCTAAGCTTATTATTGCCATGGCCACTCACACGATGTTGATATGGGGGCCTCGTCATCAAGTTATTTCCTTCCCCCCACACAAATTGCTGCTGTCACAGCTTGGCAGTTGAGAATGTCAGGTTGTTCGGCCCTGTCATGAGTTGTAATGGGCCGAAAAGGGAGGAGTATTTCCTTCACTTCGCACACATTGCCGTTACCACCGCTCAGCGTCGCAATAGATGGTGGTTGAAAATGATATGTTGTTTGGCCCTGTCGTGGGTTGAAAAGGGGCGAAAATGTGATTATCTTGCATAATTAATTATGGACATCATTTAGGCATACAGCCTTCGACAGACGGGCGATATGGATTTCACGGAGGTTGTTCGCCATAAAAACTATCCCCTGAAGATACATTTTGACTTTGAGTTGCAAGTCGTCCTTTCCTTACCAGGGTCTAAATTCCAGCTGTTTCCCAAGCAACGAGAGTTGGTGATCAGCATGTAATTTACGTGCCCGTTCAACATTTACAATGGCATACTGGACCACCATGCAACTATTGCCCGCGGGTAATCTACGGCTCCTCACCCCAAGACCCGCCATCGTTTCTCATAAGGCCATCGCAATATACTTTCCCGATTCTGACATTTCCCAGGATGTTAAGAGTAACTCCATATCTATATAGATGAAACGTGGGGCGAGGTTTGTATTTGATTCGCACCGTTTCTCATTGGTGTATTTAGACTTTGCGTCAATGCACCTGCCGCCAGGACTGGAGAACCCCGAAGGTCTGCATCGATCGTCAATATCACTCACCGAAGGGGGTTATTACAAGCTCTACTGTGAAGTGATGTGTCTCAGTTCGCGGAGAATTTCAGCTGAGGGGCGGCCACTACGACAGGTGATCATCCTCCGAGTGGCTCCTGCACGCCCACATGGCATCCATTTTCACCGAGGACTTATCCTCACCGTCTACTGAGGGGTTCACAGGCACATGAATGCCGTCAACTTATGGCTTCATTAAAACCATGAAGAATTAAGAAGCCATTATCATTCCCATTGGACAGCGATCCAAATCGACATGTTCTCGGCGGCAACAGCCCAGATTTCTCCGTCACATGGTAGAGTTCTGCGACCTTAAATTTAGCATAAACAGAACTATATAGATAGCATCCCCAGCGCCCTCGATGAGCGTCGTCAGCTCAATCGGCCGCTAACCACTAATCGACGATCTGGCCCAATGCCGCAACCTATACCGGGTTCAGAAGCAGGGGTTCCCCCGCAGAAGGATCGCGGCGACGTGCCCGTTTCCTGTCATACTGCAGCCCGAATGAAGCAAACTCGACCGGCGGTAATGTAAATAACCTTGATGAGGAGGCTCTTGGCAGGAGACGGAACTCTTCGTTCCTCATTAGCATCTCCGTCGTAGCGACAGTGGACGTACGTATGGACCGTTTCACTTGGCATGCATCTCGTCGAGCACGTTATTCCCGCCGTTGCGCTGTTGCGCCGTGGCCAAGGGGAATAAGCTTTGTGGGATATAAAGGTAAGCCTCTGGAAAGGAAGTCTTGATTTTCTCACCAGTATCTCCTCTTTCACATCTCCAAATAGTATATTCCCATAACAATGCATTTCTCAACCCTTCTCACGTCGGTTGCTCTAGCTGCCAGCTTCGTCGCTGCTCACCCAGGCCATGACATCAGTCAGGAGATCAGGGAGCGTGAGATTGCCCTGCGTTCCCTCCCACCGAACCTTGCCCATTGCGCTGAGAAGATGAGGAAGAGAGGCATCACGGCTGATGCTGGAAAGAGACGCGCTTTGCTTGCCAAGTATGCCCGTGAGGAAAGGGGCCTCGACGTCGGTAAGCAACATGGAATAAATCCAAAAATCACTCTGGCGTCCTAACTCTCTTTTCAGATGCGCCGCACATCCAGGGTCGCGACTACACAACCGTGTTGAACACTGACCACAAGTCCACCAAGGGCTATACCCCTCAGACCTCGGAGTCAACCATCTTTGCCAACACCGGCAGTTGCATTCTCAGCCCTGAAGTTACCGAAGGGCCATACTGTACGTTGCGGACACAATGGCCCCCATCGTTTCCATACTAATAACTCTCTTAGATGTTGCTGGCGAGTTCGTCCGGTCTGATATCCGTGATGGCGAGGCGGGCATTGAATTCATTCTCGACACGCAAGTCCTCGACGTTTCCACCTGTGAGCCGGTGACCAATGCCCTTGTGGAGATATGGCGTATGTCCATCCCCTTTTATACTCATAATACCACCTCTCCCTTTCATAGAGACACTCCTTCGTCCCCTTCATTTTTACGGGGGGCCCCTTACTGACAACACCAGACGCCAACTCCACCGGCGTCTACAGCGGCGTCAATGTCGGAGGCAACGGTGTCGGCACCGCTGATAGCAACAACATCTTCCGCCCCACCAACCGCGGCCTCCAGCACACCGATGCGAAAGGCGTCGCGCAGTTCACCACCAACTTTCCCGGATGGTACACCGGTCGCACTCCTCACATTCACGTTCTGGTGCACAGCAACGCTCAGGTGACATCCAACGGACACTACACTGGCGGAACCTCCAACCACGTCGGCCAGCTCTTCTTCGACCAGAAGCTCATCGCGGAGTCCGCCACTGTGGCGCCGTATAGCGCTAACAAGCAGTCGCTGACTACTAACGCGGCCGATGGCATCTTCAAGCAGGAGGCGGCGCAGGGAGACCCAGTTGTCTTCTACAGCTACCTCGGTACTAGTATCTCGCAGGGTGTTTTCGGATGGGTTGCCTTTGGTGTTGATACGACCAAGGTGACCACGCCGAGACCGGCGGCAAGCTTGGCTGCTACGGTGGTGGTTACCAACGCCGGACAGCAGGCTACTGGTGTTCTGTAGATGCTTAGTGCGTGATAGTCGAGTTGCTGCTGCTTGATTCGATTCTCTTTTGCTCTCTGGTTGGATGGATTGTTGGATGTGTCAGTCGTTACGGTATTGTATATATGTGAGCAGACGTGCTCAAATGCGGGATCGTGTTGTCATCAGGTCAATAAAAATGCATTTTCTCGCCATGACTTTCATAATTGTGACAATTATTGTATTTTTCGGTTTTATTTTTCTACTTAATGGCTTTGATATACTCATAGGGAATAAAAGTCTTTGGTACTCAAATTTTATTTTTAAAATGTTTTGGTAATAAATTGAATATTTACATCAAATCCTGTAATTGAATATTTGGAACAGAATATTTCATTCACCTACAATAGCCATAAAGGGCAACAGAGGAAGTGGGATATGGGCTGTTCCCCTCCTCTCAGTAACTGTTACGTGGGGTGATGGGCTTTCACACCTTTGAGCAGCACAAGGAACGTCACCGAGGTTTGATTATATAAATTCTTCTTTCATTTTGCAATATAACCCCAACCACTGAATATTGACGATGGAGCGTAAAACACAAAAAGAGAAGAAACGGACCAACACAAAGTCTGATGTCTATTACACCATTACCCCGCCCCTTTGCTGGAGTTCGGACCCAGTACTACGCAAAGCAAACCCAACATGTCCAGCCCGTATCTGTGCTTCGACGAGATGCTCTAGCGTCGCAGCTCATCAGAAGGCAAGTAATAGGTTCATCTACGGCACAGTCGGTCCCGCGGCATACGACCACGAGGGGCTGCAGTGGCAGGAAGGACATTGCGACTAGCTCCTTGAGTATGGGATAACCCGAGGGTTGAATCGAGGAGGGTTGCTTGTGCCGCGATCGGGGAGAAAAGAGGGGATGGGAAGGGAAAGATGGGGAGATAGTGTCTGGTAGGGGTATGTTGGAAGAGGGGAAGTGGGAGATATAGTATGGTGGGGTGTGTGGTGGGAGAGGAGGCGATCCTGGTGATAAGAGTATACGTTGAAGGGGTCAGGCTGCGTGTAAAAGCGAGTGATGAGGTCGTATTTCGGTGATCGGGGTGCAGGGCGAGCTGTGGCTTCCTGGGGATGATTCCTCGACAAACTGAGCATCTCGGGAATTGAGGCCTGACTCAGTGGTAGATGTGCTTGGCCATTGATGCATTGGAAGTCTCGTAGGAGCGCAAGTCTTCTTTGTTGTTGTTCTGTCATCACAGCCGTAATCGTCTCCAAAGCACATCCGAAGGATCTTCGCGATACTCTCAAAGTCTGTTGGTTAGTCTGTTGTCGTCGCTCATCCTGAAATCCACAACTGTCACGTATCAAACACAACACGCTCAGAGATGAATCCGCAAAATGATGTGAAAAGTTCTCAGTTCTTGATACTGCCCCGTCTGACTATCTCAGCAACGCCATTTGGCATCAGCCAACCATGCATCCCAGCCGCACCAGAATTTCCTTCCTTCACACCATGGCCAGCCCAACATCTATGCCGCGGTCAGCATGTGCTTCGTCATCGCGCATTCAATCGTATCGTACCGGATGTAATCCATTTATCTTTGTTGCTGTCCGCTCCAGACGCTCTTCAGGAGACCATCACGCTGTGCCAACCTGTTGAGGGAGTCGTCGCTCTCGCCCATCGAGCGGACGAAGCCGCAGAGGGCGTAGACCTGGTTCTCGCCGGTGTATCTGCCGTTCTCGTCGACCTTTCCGACGGAGATCTGGACGGATGCGTGATCCTTGGCCTTGATGATGCGGTTGGTTGCGCTGCACTTGCGGGGGACCAAACTGTGGAAAAAACGACGTTAGCATACCCTGTAACCTCGGGGAGCAACTCGACGGCGGGGAATTGGCGCATCGAGAGGGAATCGAAGAGAGGAGGGGAAGACGAACAGGTCAACGAGTTCTCCCTTATCGTTCTCCATGTTTGCGACGTTAAGGTGTTGATGTGAGGGCGGGGGGAATTGAGTTGGCTGTCGTTGGTGATGGGCGGCTTGGGCGGCTTTGCGCTTCTCGAATTTTGGTCATGCCCTAACGAAATTTTGGCGACTGTTCGTGGGTCAGGTGACATCGTGGAGAATAGCGTGGTCATGTGATTTCGCGGATTATTCGCGACCCTTGGGATTCAGGGATCCACTTGCTTGTTGTGTGGATTGAGGACTAAGATACGGCAACCACAATGCGATAAGACTTCATGACACTGCAACTATACAACTCTTCGAATATGACCTGAAACCTCACTCACTCGCATTGTTGATTCTCGAACAGCGGCATTTTGTGCGCCTAAATGTACCGTGAGGCGTTTTTACAGTGTCGTTCCTCATCCCAAGAGCATGCGCTGGGCGCAAAACCATACGGCGCAACCTCAACATGACGACAATAGACTTGGTGATTCTCTCTTCTTCACCGCCGAAACCTCACAGACATGATGCTGTGTTTGCGCACGCAATGTCTTCGTCGCCGAGCCGACTGCCATCTCCCAATACCCTCATCGGACAAAACCGTGCTTTGCGATTAGGCGCAGCCTCTCCGAGCACTGCGGCGTTATTGAGTACGAGCGCTGGCGGCTTGGTGGCAAACAATACTACGCGATCAAAGAAGAACGATTCGATTTGGGATTTCCCTGAAGATGAGATGTCTGGGACGGAATTGGCCATACCGAAACCGTCAAAAGCGAAGGCTGCACCCAAACCGAGAGCGAAGAAAGTCAACGCTGTAAAGGGTGATAATGGCGCGAGCGAAGCACCTCTCAAGAAACCTCGAAAACCAAGGGCCAAAAAGACAGATGAGGGAGACGCCGGATCTGTTGGGGAACCAGCTCCGAAACAAAAGGCGGTTCGCAAGCCAAGAGCGAAGAAAACCGACGCCGAAGGGCAAACGAAAATTCCCAAGGGAAGGATAACCAAGACTTCAACCGGCTCGATATCCAAGAATGATGGCAAGGCGGGCGACACCGTTAGTGCACATCTTGCGAAGTTTACGAATACGGAAGATTATATAGATATAGACGATATAACTCTGGATAAGGGTTTAAATTTACATGAGGCGGTTAAACGACGGGCGGACTGGACGCCGCCGAAGGCCACAGACAAAGGGTTTTCATTTGGAGGTGCGTTGGGAGAAGTTGTGGACTTGGATACGCCTCCAAAGGGGTTGACGGATCTTCTTGGCAGCTTTGGATATTCTAAGGCCGAAGAACCATCTACTTCTATCCGAGAGGTTTGTATGATCACAGCACGAAAGCGAAAACTTATTGAGTTAGTCAAGACGAATGCGACACTGGCATCGCCACAAGTCGCACCAACCACAAAGGCCGCTAAGAAGAGGCCGACGACTATCACCGAACGAGCTACTGCGGCATATGCGAGAGGCAACGATGATGATATGGAGCCGACGCCACTACTTCCATATTTGTCCCACAAGGATTCTGGCTCTGGCTCTGGCACTAAGTCAAAGGCAAGAAGCCCCGCTAAGAAGAAGGGCAAGAAAGCAGCTCCGCCACCGCCAGATCTACTTAATCCACAAGCTGCACACGAGCAAGCCAGCCTCCAAGAGTTTGTCTTTGGTACATCAAGTCAACTTGCGCAGGACGAAGATCCTGCATTTTTGAGGGACCTTCAGCAGGCGATCCAACTCTCAAACCGATCAGAGGACCCCTTTTCCGAGGACTTATCCCCTATCCATAACGCTGCAACCTCCGGTAGGTGGAAATCACCGAGGAAAAGGGTGAGTATGTGGGAAGCAGCATGGAGGATTGAAGAAGAGGGCGCCACAGAGGTGGAAATACTAGATTTAATCAACAGTTCTCAAGTTGAAAGAGAACTGCAGATTGACCGTGCTGCTTCAATCGCGACACAGACCAATGATACACCCGAAACGGCTCCTCAACCAGATCTTTCCGCACCCATTTCTCTCGCAAACAAACCATCTGCCCCAAAGGAACCGCCTTCGCAACATGTCAACCCCGTTTCCAGTAAACCCGACAATTCTACGGAGTTAGCGATGGATGAACAATGCCCTAATTTTGAATCATACTCAACAGCTGAGCTGGCCAAAGAGATCGCTTCTTACAAGTTCAAGCCCATCAAAAAGAGAGAGCAGATGATTTCTTTGCTTGAGAAGTGCTGGGAAGGGAAGCAAAGGGCAGCATTGGGGTCTCTAGGAGTCAATACTATCATAAATAAAGCAGCTGATAAAGCCACATCACCAAAGCGAACTCAGAGGCCATCACAGATGCCACCGGCATCACCAACAAAGGCTGGAGGCAGACCGCGAAAAGACACCAGTACGACGTCACCATCATCGAAAAGAATGCCAAAGCCGACAACCCGTCGGCCGCTATCGCCTCACAACAATGAGGGGTTGGCATCCGACAGCGAAACCCCCACCCAGTACCGCCAAACTCCCCAAAAGAAAGTAAAAAGGCGAAAGCCACTCCCCGAGGAGATTTCTGATTCGGATACTCCGCTCACACCATCGCCACCGCGACGGCGTCCATCTCGAGTCCATACGCCCCCCGCGCTTTCTTTGGTCGGAGACGACATCGCTGACATTGCGTTACCCCCGCTTTCACCGAATTCCGCAGAGCAAGAGCTATTCGAGCACATCACGAGAGCTGTCACAACGGCACCACGCGGGACACCTCAGACGCCAAGTTGGTACGAGAAGATGCTGATGTATGATCCGATCGTTCTAGAAGATCTGACACGGTGGCTCAACACCGAGGGCCTCGATAGTGCGGGGTATGATGGGGAGGCAAAGGGGGAGCAGGTGAAGACATGGTGTCGAGCGAGAAGCGTATGTTGCCTCTGGAAAATAAGTTCACGGAAAGGAGGCGGAGTGAAAAAGGTTGGGAGGGAGAGCTGAAACTGAAGAATGGATAACCCTGGTTGGATTAGGGACTTATGAGAATTATGACGCGGCTGTTCGAAGTTATGATGCCTGATCAAATGCTAGAATAGTGACCTCTGCGATGGGGGGCTGTGATTATGAATGGCGAACCAGCTGTGATTACTCATATTTCTGGCTTACAAATTTAGGCGGGCTGAGGTATGCACCATGGGTGTTTGTATATCCCCCAGTGAATGCTTCTCGAGTATGTTTACTCAGAGACAACTCTCTAAAATACAATTCTAATCATTCTAATTATTGCATACAATCCCATGCCCATGGATTAGTTTTATCAACAACAGTTGCTCTTGGATTAGCTTCAACAACAATAGTTGCCCTCACGTGATTCACGACACATTACACAACAGCACCAAGGAAACATTTTGGTGGCACAACAGGACGTCATCTATTGAATGATTGATTGTTAATCCAGGGGAACTTCCTTCACTTTCCAGGCGGGAAAGAGGTGGCCTGATTATCAATAAAGGATTGAAGCCTTCTCTTTATATTCCCCTCATTCTCCCTTGTCTTCTCAGAAGCGTCTCATGTCCCTCGTCCTCTACATCTCATTTATTTCAAGCTTTCTTACTCGTTCTTGCCCCATACACAACAACTAGCAGTAGTCTGTGGTTGAAACATCCTGCTAGGATTATATGAGCAGTGCGAAACTTACGTCCAAGATGTCCAAACTCAATATCAGCTCGAAGAAGCCACTGAAGTGTAAGTCTGGCCATTACCATCAGCTTCACATCAAACGGAATATAAAATAACACCTCTCAGCTGGCTATGACATTCCTGCTCTCGGTTTTGGTGTAAGAATCCTCTTTGAGCTCTATGGTGAATTGAAACTGACTTCTATTTTAGGTCTGGCAGATGTATAATATCTAACGCGCACTAACATAGAAGTACACATATTGACTGAACCACAGGCCAAAATCTGACGCTACAAATGCCGTAGCACACGCACTGAAAACTGGCTACCGACATGTAAGTTTCGATCATACCCTGCACCTCATTACCCAATCTAACAACTCATAGATTGACAGCGCCTTCATGTACCGCAACGAAGCCAGCTGTGGTGAGGCTATCAAGAGCTCCGGCGTCCCCCGCGAGGATATCTTCTTCACAACCAAAATATACGGCGGAAAGCAAATGTCGCATGAATACGCCGCCAAGCAGATCGACCAGACCATCGCGAACTCCGGCCTTACCTATGTCGATCTGATCCTCATCCACTCTCCTGACGGCGGCCCAGCCGGTCGCAAGGGTGCTTGGAAGGCCCTCGTCGAGGCACAGGAGGCTGGCAAAGTCCGCAGCATCGGGGTTAGCAACTACGGTGTGCACCATCTTGATGAACTGGAACAGCACATTAAGGAGCTGGAGGAGGAGCGCGGTGGGAAGGGCAAGGGCGGCGTGCTCTCAGTCGGGCAGTGGGAGATTCATCCATGGCTACCACGTCATGATATCGTCGAGTGGTGCGTCAAGAGGGGCGTGGTGATTGAGGCATACTCTCCTCTTGTGCGCGGCGAGCGTAAGGACGACGAGGTTTTCACAAAATTGGAGAAGACACGTGGGAAGTTGTGGGCGCAGTGTCTGATAAGATGGAGTCTACAGAAGGGATACGTCCCATTGCCGAAGAGCGTGACGCCAGCGCGTATCGAGCAAAATGCGCAGGTTTATGACTTCGAGCTCGGTCCCGAGGATATGGAGCTCCTCGACTTTGATGAGTACCAGCCCACCTTTTGGGACCCTACAGTGCAGTCCCTGGAGAAGTAGGGCAAGATTTGGGGATGTATTGAGCTGCTTTTACTTATAGCGATGGATTAATATTAAACGCGAATTCTCCTTTCAAGATATCTGATTTGACATCCACACCACACTCAGGTTTATCTAGCAGTGCGTGTATCGCTTCATTTCACAGGGTATTTCCAAATATATACCTTTCCGTCCCACAAGACGCCATCCAAATCACCCAAACGCCATCCCCGTCGCTTAATCGACTCACGACTCACATTCCAATATCTGGAACCATCCACAGCCACTCATTAGGCATAAAATCCATATCCTCTAACCCGAGCCACCCCTCCCCTAGGTCCTGGATCGGAGGTATCTCCCCAGGTACCACTACGCCTCTCCGCCCCATACCCTCCGTATAATTCCTCCTTAGTTCCTTCCAAAGAGCAGCCAAAAACCCAAACCAGTCGCCCTGGTCCCCCTCCTTTCGTATTAACGCACTCACTCCCTCCAGACGTTGCACAAACACGTCGACATAGGACTCAAGAGCCAACACGGCGCGCACATTCTCCACGCCCCACGACGGAGACGAAATGCCTAGGCTAAGCTCCACCGCGAGACTCAGAGAGTAGTGTATGCGCGCCCAGTTGTAGCCAAACAGGGCGCGGAAATCCGCGTCGTTCAGTGCGACTACGGCATCGAGGACGCGGCGCACAGTGCCAAGACAATCAATTAGGATGGTTGTGCGGGGGAGGGAGAGGGTGTCGTTGGGATGTAGGCCGTGCAGACCTATTTCATGGGTATATGCTTGAACGACGAGGAGGGAGGTTGCGAGGAGAGTGTTTGAGGTGAGGCGGGTTGGGATCAACGACTCGATGCCTGTGAGCGCAGCAGAGAAGGAGCGCACGTGGAAACTCAGTTGGGAATCCGGCACGGGGGGCACAGAGCGGGAGAAATCGTAGTCGAAGGTGTCGCTAATTGACTCAACATGGTGGGCGAGTCGGACTTGGTGGATGAGGAGGACGTCTGAGGGTAGGGCCGAGCCAGAGGAGAGAGACTGAGCGCACTCTTCGAGATAGGGCGTGAATTTCAGGGTGCTTGTTTTGCGCAAGGCATGCGCGTAGGAGGAGCAGATGACGTAGGCACCGATATAGGCGCGACGGGCGTCTGGGCTCCAAGTCTTTGCGGAGTTGGAGGGAGCGGGAGCGCCCTTCGGAAAGGGAAATAAAACGCTGAGATTTTGGCGATCTGCGGGCATGGGGCGGCGGTTGATACCGAGGGTTGTGACAAGGGAGATGGCGAGGGAAGATAACCGGTATGAGGATTTAAGATGGAAGTGACACCTTTGAGAAGGTTAGAAGGATTCATTATTAGCTCAAAAGTCAGGCAGAGAGAGCTTACCAAGAGAGATGGACAAGCAAACCTTGGAGCATGTCCAGAGTTTGCTCGCCATCAACGACCATCCTACCAGCTAATTCTTCCAAATAGGCCCTTTCTAGCTTAGTCTGGAGCTCCCTGTCCTTCCATGACGCAGCTGTACAAATAGCTAACAACAGCATTGGGTTATCGTGCCGAAGCATGCCTGTGGACAAGTTTGGGTGTATGGCAATGTAAGGGAAGTTCTGGTTCATAGCTCTGAACTCTTGCAGGAGAGAATGTGCAGTTTTCAAATCCAAGATTCCCTGATCTATCACGTCAAGGTATGGCCCTTCGTTAGAGCCCCTTGGAATGGTCCCCGTGGGATGGTGCTGGGGAGGATCAAGAGCATATGCGGCTACATTAATGTATTTTGACGTATGGCCTCCCATTCTCTGGTTTTCCAGTGCCGTGTAATGGGACAGAGTTTGCTCCAACCTGTCGATTTGAGCATCCTTTCTTTGCAAATCCGCTCTTGCATCGAATGAAGTCCCATAAGATCCTGGACTCTCAAAAGCAGCACTTCTAGGGTCATTGCTACTCAGATTACTGAACCCTATATCAAGATTGTCCTTGTGTGGCGTCCCTGACTTACGCGTTAGCGGGCATAGTGGTTGGGGGCGGGGTCGCAGCCGGAACAATACACACGAGCCCAATGATCCAACTCTCTGAACTTACATTTTTGAATAGGATATTTACATTCATGTTCCCCATATTCGCATCTTTAGAGTTGTAAGCCCGGAACCGATATCATAATAAGGTAGCCAGTTCTCCCGATGCATGTAAGAATTGCGTACCTTTTGCAGGTTCTCTCTTTGATGTCCGATGGTTCGCATTTTGTCTTTTTCACTTTACAGCGCAGACATGACGACCCAGGCATACTCCGAATGACTCTCCTTGCTCGTTTCCTTGGTTGCTCATGTGAACCATGAGAATCTTCGGCCACAGAAACTTCTGAACTCCCAGCTCCCAACAGCTGGGAAGCGCTGCCGATATGCCCACCTTGGCTTTCACCCGGTAGATAACCTATAGTCCCTTGTGCTGCAGCGTCATTGAGGCCATCCTCACGTGGTTGATTCTCTTCGGTATCTTCATTCTCTGTCACATTCGTGACCGGTTGCTCAGACATGATAGGTTAACGACCACACAGCTCCTCCCATATGCCGTTGGCTGGCACCGACGCCGAGTGGTTACAAAATGAGTTTAGTATGGCAGCCAAATTAATTAAAAATGTGAAAACGTCAACTTTATTCCTCGCGACAATTGGAAATTTGTGGTAATGCGGACGGTTTTGATAAGAGAGAAATAAACTATGAGGTCCAGCCACCACCATGATGACATGTCGCGTCTGGCCGGCAAAAGCTCGGGCCACACTTTTTCCGCCGACCTAGACCACACCTAGACTATAGATCAACAAATACAAACCTTCAGTACAGATAGTTATCAAAAGTTCGAATGTAAAAGGACGAATATTGTGTCTTTTCTGTGATGATGAGAGTTCTCCGGGTGTCTCGTTTTATGGGACTAATGAGCGCGAAATTTGCGGATGCTATCGATATCAGCATCAAGTATATTCTACAGCTAAACCAGCCTTCTCTATCTAAAATAGGGATGTGCCATCAACTTTGCTAGGTTTTGCCTTCACCACGCCTGACAGATCCTGCTGAATCCTCCACTGCTCCATTTTTAAGAGCTCATACACCGTTGAGCACTTAGGCGCAGACACTCCGTACTTCTCCGCCTTCTTCAGTGCGTTCCCCAGGATAACCTCAATCTCCATCAGACGCCCCTGCTCGACGTCCACCAGCATGCTCGGCCGGTATGGGCAGTCGTCAGGCAAACCATAAGCCAACTTCTGGATTGCTGCTTCTGGTAGCTCCACGCCATCCTCCTTCGCGATTGCCACTAGCTCCCGCATCATCGGGACGAGAAGACTCTCTCTCCCCTTGGACGACTGCACTTCTCCAACATCCATCTTCATTAAGGCACAGAGTGTATTGAATGTGCCGTTCCACAGTAGCTTGTACCATCGCGCCTTGGGCATGTCCAGGTCAAGGCTGACAATCCCCGGGCCGCCACTATCATACATGGCAACAAACTCGGTTGCTTGCCGGATCTGAGTCTCTCTATCGAGGCCGTCATGGAAGTGAGGGCCCATGATGACCCTCTCGCTGCCAATATGGGCGATTCCATTCTCCCCCACGGTGCGTGACCCGATCACGGAGACCCCGGAAATAACGGTGTTTTTTGGGAAGGCCTCAATGATGGGAAGCTCGATATCAAGGCCATTCTGGATGAGGACGATAGCCGTAACTCCGGGTGTCACAACGGGCCGTATAAGCTCAGTGACGCTGTAGCTGTCCGGAAGCTGCTTGGTGCTCACAAACACGTAGTCATATTGCTGGGCCTCGGCTCCGGATGGTGGCAACGCAGCTTCAGAAACCGTCGCCACAACTGAACGCGCATGTCAGTGACATTCATATATAAAGGGGATGGGTGCTAACTTCTGCTCGGCTTCCATCCCTTCAAAGTCCCGTGATCTACAGATTCGATATCCCATCCTTTCTCACTTACTATCTTGTACTTGGAACGCAGAACCGCGGTCACATGAGCACGCCCGGAGTTTTCGAGGACGACGGATCCGATTGTGCCGACGCCGCCACTTCCTATCAAACAAACATTACATTTTGGGGCGTTGGAACCCATTGCGGTTATATGCGCTGCACGAGGTGTATATGATGAATAATTAATTAATTGGTGATTCGAGGAGATCCCACTATATTTATACGGGAAGGTTAGCCTCGCGCGGGGTCGGTTCTCGATGGGTAGATGTGGGGTTGTAGGTTGTTGTGGGGCAGCGACTTACGTACAGACCACAGTAACATGGTCGTATCGCCCAAAAGACCGAGGATGAACTATGAGAAAGCTGAGGATTGATATAAACTATTTAGGCCATTGGAGATTCTTTCTGTAGCTCTTATTTTCCTTCAGTGTCACTATAAGGCATTGAATTAAGTGTAGGGACCAATTCACATTTTCTCACGTGATGTAAATTTTCACTTTCACATTGCACATGAAAGTTTTCTTAAATAAGTTATTGACGTTGGTAAAGCGCAGTTAAGCTGCCTTGGTAGTCATTTATGTATTGGTTGGTTTCCCAGCTAAGAACTTTAGCACAAGGTCATTGAACTTCTCAGCATCTTCCCAGTAACACCAGTGCCCTCCAAAGTCTACCACAACCCCTCTAACATATGCATCTGATGCACCGTCACTCTTGTTCTTATCTTCGAGTATGGCGTCTACAATCCACATTGGCCCTGCGGCTGGAAAGCATCCGCTTCTTTCGCTCGCAATGACCAATATGTCAGTGTCGTTGGCACTGGCCGCACCGAAATTCTTCTTGATAGAGCCTCTCCAGTCTATGGCAGTATGATCAGACATCAACTTTCCGAACCAGGTTGGGTCACCTTGCTGGGCAATCTTTAGGAAGAAGCTAGTGTCATCCTCTTGGGCCTTCAGGTACGCCGCCTCGGAGTCAAATTGCTGTCTTCCCCAGGTGGGGTCCCAGATATATGCCAAGCAACCATCAACAGTGCCTTTGTAAACATCGTCGGGATTAGTCGAAAGAGTATCCAGCATGTTCTTCAACGATTCAGAGGAATTGAGGGACCTGTTTCCATGCTCTGGGCCCCATGTGCCGTCCTGTGTGTAGTTTTGAAGCGGAGCCTGGTCGACCCATATTAACTTGTCAAATATGCTCTTTCCAAACTGCTCCGCGAATGACCTGGGGGTGGTATTAGTGTCCATCGCCACGTAATAAGTGGGTAGTAAATTCCTAACCAAGTAATAGCACAGCCAAGACTGCCAGCTATACAGCTCGGCCGAGCAACATTCCCGCCAGCGTTGCCTTTATCACGCGGAAGTTCTGGGTTCAATCCCAACCAATCCATGAGCTCATTCAAATCTTGGCCCAGTCTTGCTACTGTGGCATCCTGTCCATCTGGTCGCCGACCAGAGCGCCCATGGCCACGGAGATCTGGAGCAATGACCCAAAACTTTACCCGTAAAGCGCTGATATTGCGATCCCAGACAGCAGAAGATCCGGTAAACCCGTGGAGCTGCAGAGATATTAGTCAGTGCAGGACGTCACATTTGAACAGTGGCTCCGTCTTACTAGAATTAATGGCTTGTTTGCTTGGTCACCAAGGCTTTGGTAGGCAAGCTCTACTCCATCGGCGGTTGTAAAGAAGTTGTAACCAGGAACTATAATCGCCGAGGGAGGCATCTTATCAGACAGAGACGTATAGTCCACTCTCTATATTAAATCAAATATATAACGAAGATCAATGCGGCAGGAAGTAAACTACTGAATAATATATGTTAGTACCTGACTTTGTGATTGAAACGGTTATAATATGAGATGGGTTGGGTCTGCAGCTCTCGGCATAAAATGAGAGCTTCTTTCTGTACCGAAGCTCCGGCTTCAAAAAATTACACGACGATAAACTTACAGGACACTATCACTCGGGTTACACTTTTCGTGGGCTGTTTATTGCAGGAAATGGTGTTGGGTCTTGCAAATATATGTAAAGAATGGCTGTTCTTCTTTCATCACGATGGCTGCTTTCTCAGTGACCGATTTCGCTGATGTTGACTTTGGAATTGAATTGCGCGAAATCACCTGACACCGACACTTGAAAAGCCTGTGTCACGTGTTAATTTATTGGGTCTATAGCTCTTTCCATATTGTGTTCTTGCTATAGACCTGTTGATCTGGTATTCCCTATTGATGTCGCTTTCTATAATTCTATACATGTTGCTGCTGCCACCAAGTCTTCTCTCCTAGTTTAGATTCTTCAGCCAGATGTACGTGCTGGACACTGCACAATCCACTCATCCAGATTCATATTCTTCAGTACCGTCGAAAACCCGACAGGTATCCCAGTACTACCGCAGATTTCGTTCTTCTTCTCATCGCTCACGTAGCTCGGCTTTTCTTCCGTCGTTGGGTATTCGATCTGAAATACTGGCTTCCCAGCATCGATGACGGGCTGGTAGTCACCACATTCGTCGTACTGGAGACATTCCTCGACAACGTTCCATTGAATTAGGTCGATAACCCGACTCAATATCTTTGCCCCATTCTTCAAGCCAAAGGACATATTCCGAGCATGTGTCGCGTCGGCGAGAAACGTCACGAATTCCACAGCAGTGTCCGTCGTCAAGTCCAGCCCCGACTTATTCTCATACCCGTCAATATTGTCGGGATCAACGCCGTCACAGCCCTTCTTTGCAGCCTGGTCTAGGCGTGCCAGCATTATATTCCGAGCATTGACGGAGCTAGTGTTGAGCCAATATTCTCCTTCCCAGCCCTCCAAGCCATTGCCGTAGTCTTCCGGCTTGAAGCTTGTGGCATCAGGGCGCCAGTCCTCATATGAACCGGCTGAGAAGTAGCATATCACTTTGCGACCCTGTCCTTGGGCCCAAGCGATTATGCTAGCAGTGCTATCGAAGAGATCGATGTCGTACACCGGGACTTCGATCTCGGTCTCATTGATGGGTGCCTGTAAAACAATCTGCCATTTTACCCCAACTGCTGGCTGCCAAAGGGATGTTGCAGACGGGGAGGCTCCTGTCGTAGACGGGGTGGTCTCTGGGCTGGTATTTGACCTTGGATTCGATCCGGTCGCATTGGATGAAGAGTTGCGGTTGCTTAATCCAACCCCGAGACCAATAGCAAGCCCCAGTATAATCAGGCCTGCGACAATTCCAGCAATTATCCAGCGCTTTCTCTTGGAAAACGATCCCGGTTGGTTTGTGTCGGCGTTGGTATTGTGGGGCTCCTCCGAGTGCGTATTCCCGCCTGCCATTGCACAGTATTCGATTTATTAATTCGCCGACTCTAACAACCCGCGAACCCTTTCTTGTTTTCGAGCCACAGTTTGCGAGAGCACTTTTACTGCAGATTTCAGGCTACAATGCTGACCATAATTTAATTTACTTCACGATGAGGCTTCAGTCAGATGTTTGCCATATCTTCAAGGCACCCAGTGGCTGAGTGAAACATTACCACCCCTGAAGTAAGAAAGGATTGGAAGGATTCCCTTGGCGCAGAACTGCGCCCAACCCTCCAAAAAAATGCCTCGTCGCCATGCTACAACAACAGTCGTAAACAATAATCACTTGGTTCATGGGTCACATGACTTTAGTAGAGGGAGACAATAGATTCTGGGCATGTCTGGGGCTCAGTCATGTCCATTCTTGAGGGGATACTCGTTGCCTGAGAAAAGGACCGAGGGACTCCGAGATCCTACATTACCGGCAGCAACAGCGGGCTGTCTGCACGTGTTCATTTGCATTGTCGACGGAGTCGAAGTGGCCGGTCATGCAATTCTCGCGGGTTTGGGATCAAGGCACTGTCGCTCTAGCACACTTCGCTTCCACCCTCAAGTTGTAACAATGGCTGGGTACGCAATACTGGCGGCTTCGTCGGGAGGCCATTGTGATATATATTGCCTGCAAGCGCCGGCTCGGGGGTCCTCAATGCCATTTCCGTTGCAGATCTTGGACAAAAACTTACAATCCCCCCCGCCTTTTGGTATCTGACCACGGACGATCTCTCGACAACAACACAGTCGACGGTGCAGTGGAACAGTAGCGCAACATGGATGTCTTTTCCAGAGTCACCCAGAAGAAATTAGTCCGCAGGCCCAAATGAAAGAATTCAACCCGCTGCAGTATGCTTGTTGATATTCAATTCAACCACAGGACCGATTCGCGTAAGGGCAAGACGTCATCATGCTATGTAGTAAACTTTAGAAATCGTGCGTCAGTGGGTTCAGCAATAGAGGGCCGATGTCACCCTCAATAACAGGAGCAGGCGCCACCAAAAGGCTGAATCTACGGCTCTTATTCAAGCCACAATTATCTACGGGGCAGTCAAGTGCCATCACTTGCCAATCACCAAGCTGGCGGCTGTTTGTGGCTGACATTGTCCACGAATTCCCGCCGTCAGAACGATTTAGCCGCAATATTAACCCCCATACCCCACAAAGTGCCATGAATCCAATCAGCAACTACCGGCGATCCCCAGTTAGAGTGCCGCGCCATGGCCCCCTGATTGGCGATCTCTCCTTCCTGGGATCGGGGGGCGTCTTGCCACTATGTCAGAAACATTAACGTCCGGGGTCTACTATACAGCGTTTCGTTCAAATGGAGCGGGATAAATACTGAAATCTTGGCGGCTCCGCATCAAGCTACAATTTTAGTGGAGGCAATCTTTAAACCTTGGCGACTCCGCATTCGAACTGAACGTGAATGCGTGCCATCGAATCTGATATATGGGGAAAGGCTGCGCTTGGGGGGCGGAGAGATGGGGTAGTGGGCATGCCAATTGCGGAAGGGACAGGGCCATCTTGGCCTTTCATGCTAGCGCCAGTGGTTTTGGGTGATCTCTTCCTCGAATGAGAATACGGCGTTCTGTCTCTTCTCATCCAGTCCACCGAGAGCTTGTCAGGTTTGATATTGGCTTTAAATCAAGGCCCATGGCTAAAACTTTCGGGCAAACAATTAGCCTGTGCCTGGCGCTTCTATCAGATGACTAGTGTTCCAAATGGCCTTCTACGCTCTGCAGCTGACGGCATTAACGTCCTCGAGGTAAGATCTACCAGGAACAGTCAAGGACAGAAGCGTCGATGCTAAGAAACCTCTCACCTACCCAAGCTAGCGACGGAGCAATCGTTCCATATTCCGAGTCGGCTTCCATTGGAAGCTCTCAAAATGAAGCATCAATCTAGGGCTCCCATATTAGCCTCCCGCCGTTTTCGGGCCTGATTCCCCCTCGAAGTCAGATGAAGGGCTTGGATACTCGTTCTACGCGCCAAGTATGGGTCATGAGGTTGTAGATCCGCCACGTCTTCCCGGACGAAATCACGAGTTTCAGCTCATGCCTGTAGAGATATTTTGCTTATAAGAGAGGCGTCCCCTCTGGATTAACTGAGATTCATCCTCGCCCTTTTGTACATTCCTCAACCTGCCTTTGTATATACTCCCGCAATCATGAAGTACTCACTCTCATACACTGCCTTGACGGCCGCAGTTGCTGTCACCAGCGTCTTCGCTGCCCCAGCCGTTGTCCAGAAGCGCGCTGCCTGCTCGTCAGCAGTCACGCTCAGCGGATCTTCCAACCCATTTGCCACCAACAAGCTCTACGCCAACTCCTACTACGCTGATGAGATCACCGCCGCTGTTGCTGGCATGACCGATGCAACCCTCATTGCTCAGGCTAAGAAGGTTGCTGAGGTCGGCTCGTTCAAGTGGATCGATACCATCTCTGTCATCCCCACCATCGATGCCATGATCAAGGACGTTCCTTGCGGAGAGATCATCGGTCTTGTCATCTACGATCTCCCCGGCCGTGATTGTGCCGCCAAGGCCTCCAACGGTGAGCTCGCAGTTGGCGAGATTGCGAGATACAAGTCCGAGTACATCGACCGTAAGTAATGAAGCGCTGGGATTATTTTCGTTTGGCTAATCGTGTTCAGCAATTGTCGAGATCTTCAAGGCCAACCCAAACACCGCCATCGCTCTTATCATTGAGCCGGATTCCCTCCCCAACTTGGTCACCAACGCCGACCTCGCCACCTGCCAGGCTTCTGCCTCAGGTTACGAAGAGGGTGTTGCATACGCCCTGAAGCAGCTCAACTTGCCCAACGTGGTGATGTACGTTGATGCTGGCCACGGTGGATGGCTCGGATGGAACGACAACCTCAGTAAGAAACCCTAGACTCCATGTCAGACTTTCAATGCTAACACATTGAACAGAGCCCGGTGCTGAGGGACTTGCCAAGGTCTACAAGGCCGCTGGCTCCCCATCGCAGGTTCGTGGTATTGCCACCAACATTGCTGGCTGGAACGCCTGGAAGAAGACCCCCGGAGAGTTCGAGAACACCCCCGACGGACAGTACAACAAGTGCCAGGATGAGGACCGCTACGTCACCATCTTCGGTGCGGCGCTTGCTGCCGCAGGCCACCCCAACCACGCGATCGTTGATACCGGCCGCAACGCTGTTCAGGGTCTCCGCCTTGAGTGGGGTGACTGGTGCAACGTTGACGGTGCCGGCTTTGGAGTCCGCCCATCATCGGACACCGGAAACACGCTTGCCGATGCCTTCGTCTGGGGTAAGCCCGGAGGAGAGAGTGACGGAACCAGCGACACCAGTGCGACAAGATATGACTCCTTCTGCGGACACGCGGATGGTGAGTAAACTTCCCAAACTCGTATCTAAACAACACTAACATGGTTCTTTCACAGCCTTCAAGCCATCCCCAGAGGCCGGTGCCTGGCACCAGGCTTACTTCGAGATGCTCCTCAAGAACGCCGTTCCGCAATTCTAAACAACCAACATGGATGTTGGTAAAAGTTTGGGATCCACTTAGAAGGAACAAAAGTTGGCAGAGATTTGTTGGGCGATCTTCATCGTCGGTCTAGAAAGTTATGGCTTTCGCCGACAAGCCACTTGAACATATGATAAACCCATAGCTTCTTGTACATAAAAGAGAATTCAATTCACTCGCTTGAAATTTAAACTATAAATGACGTGAAATGTTGAGATAGTACAAACTATTAGAGGCAATGATAAAGCTGAAATATTCATATAAGAGAATGCTTTAATTAACGGGGGAGTTGGTACCACATACTATGTTTCTGTTCGCTAGGAGCTTAGAATTGGGCATTTTGTCCTTGTGGCGAGTTTATATTGCTATGAATAAAGAATGATAAGAGTAGCTTCTGAGAACCACTCACTATACAGCTCTTATAGTTAAAATCGAATAAGCTTATACCTGAATAAATATTGGGTTATTATTATACAGAACCTAGTGGTGCATCTATGTATTTTTGTTCCATTTGGATCATTTTTAAGATTCTCGTATCAAAATATTATTAATATTAATGAAAGATAAAATTACATAACACTGCAGACCAAAAAATTTAAACGGCTTCAATACCATAATAAATACAACCATCCATCTCAAAATAATTCTGACAACGTGGCAGTGGTCTCTTGTTTCGTGGTTCGGCATTTTTAGCAATTGCTAGCGGCACACCACCCCGCGTTTACCCCACAACACTAATATGGCCTGAGGAGCGACGCAAGGTCAGCACACTACAGACAATATAAACTTATGCACATATAATTATAGGATTCAGGAATAACGAATTGCCATTTAGAAACCATAACTTAACTACTACCGTTAAAGGCAGGCCATTGACCCCCAGTTGCAATGATCTTGTTTGGCTCAGAGCAACTCCGTTGTATTATACATCCACTATCATAAGTGCTTCCATTTATGAGATATCATATCTCGATACATATACTGTTGTATCCTTCCATCCAACCTTACCAATTAACATCTTGAAGAAGCTCAATCATCATCATCATGCATATCCCCTCGCACCCCTCGACCAGCTGCACCCTGACCAGACACCCTTCCTCCACTTGCTCGCCCCGTGATATCCTGCCACGTTGCTCCAAACCTCCTCCCTGTAGACGCCAACAGCCCCTCCTCTTCATCAGCCTCTGCATCCTGATCAATCTCACTCATGTTGAGCTTCGGTGTCCGGAACAGTGCTGTGACAAATATGATGAAGAAGATACCCAAGAATGCAAACTGTGCCCAGAAGTCTACCGCACCGAAGAATGGGAAGTTTGCAGTGATGCGGTTGATGAATGTTGACACGACACTGGGAGTGCAGATGTTTCCAGACTTGTCGGCATGGGACAGTTTGGTGCATTGCTTGATGAGTTCGGGGTGGTCGGTACAATCTGGCGCGTCCCCAGCGTATCGGGGTGGGTTCGTACAGAAAGTCTGAGGCCCATACAGCGAGTACTGGGGTGCGACAATAGTCGTGATCGCATAGTTGATTGCCAATACGATCAAGCTCAGCATCATGGTTGCTAGCAAAAGACCTTGCGGAGATGTACGGCCCTTGCGGATATCAAAAAGACGAACCCATAGGAATCTAATCCCAACTCTTGCAATGCCTGCGACAGAGCTGGCGAAGAAAAACAGGACCAAAAGAGCCATTAATATATAGTCGATGGGGAAAACCTTTGATGACTGAACAAAAATCCAGTCAATCGGCTGGAAGATGTGAACTCTGCCAAGAATATAGCCACACTGCTCTTTGCAGATGGAATTTTTGGCCTTATCGATTCCTGTGATGAGCATGGATACCCAAATCAAGATCGAGATTAAAAGCATAAATATACCACCGAGTAGCTTCAATGGTCGGAAAACCGCGCAGAGTTTTGTCCAGGCCTTTGCGACTTTAGACTGACCTTGCCCCTGAGCTTCGGCAGCCAGACGTTCGCGACGAACCAACGTCCGTTCCTCGCGAACAAGGCCTTCAAGCTCCCGCTGGTCCTTGGCTGGTAATCCATCTGGACGCCCGGCACTCCGTCCCTCCAACTGCCGCTGCCTCTCGCGGTTCTGCACCAGCGCAGAAGCTGTTGAAGCGTAGAGCTGGGGTGCTGAAATAGATGGTGCAGACTTGATAAAGGATATCGGCATCAACGCAAACCCTACAGCTGTATATAGCACGTATAATATCGTTCCAAGCGTAATCAAAAGACCCAGCGCGAATGTAAGCGCGCGCTCCCCCTTATTCGCAGACAGCAACCTCCTGAAATAATCAAAGTCCATTCGGCCATCTCTGTCGTGTGCTGCGACAGGCACGAAGAACCCGACCAGGAAAACAATGAGTGCCAATAGGATAAAAGCAGTCGTATACTTGAATGCATTCCAGAATCGCTGCGCGAAAGACTGCGTCCCTTCCTCTTCTTCGACCTCATCGTACTCCTCGTACCAGAAATAGGTGAAAGGGATGACGATTAAGCACAAGAGTGCATCAAGCGAGTATAATGCATAGTAGACAATCTTCAGAGTTAGCAGGATGCTGTCCACGCGCTCCGGTGTCGCCCAATCCTTCTTGATGCCGAGCTTCGATGACGATGTCGACGAGACAAGCGCAATGTCGACGGGAAGCAGGAATACCGTCGCGAGCAACGACGTCAATGTAAAAATCGTAACTGTCGTGACAACCGCCGACCTATCTCGAGGAGTTTGGTATGTGTATGTAAAAACTGCTGCGCCTGCTGCGACAAGGGCGACAGCAATGGCGTAGGAGAGCCATATGAATGCCGTTTGAATGAGAGCCATGATGACGTCGGTATCTAGGATCTGGAGAATAGCTGTTGTTAGCTTTGCGCACCATGAAAAACGTTCAGAAGACACCGATAGAGGGCTTACACAGTATTCAAACCAGCATTCAAAGTGCTAATAGTAGTCGGCCACAGTACAGTTGGCACATTGAAGCTCAAGATGGTCGCTGGCGGGGTTGAATAAGACAGTGGTGTTTCATGGAAGGAGAGTGTTTTGACCAAGCTTCAGGGACTGAAGGTACATACAGACAGGGGGGGTGGCTGGATCAAGGGTGCACAGACCAACGCGGCAGACAGCTTGACCCGCGCGCGTCGGAACTTCTTGTCTACATGTCCATCCACAAAGTCCGAAAAGCATCCCAGTTGTCTCCAGACACCACGAAATGCATGGATTGACACCAGTCGTCTACTCATAATGCAGTGTTTTACGGAGCTGGCGCCTCCCACTGCCGCCACACACTCCCTGACCTTACCCTTCACTTCTGGAACCGCTACGAATCTCATTGTCGCAAAGACCTCGTTGCTCCAGATCTTCTCCGCCAAGACCGTTACGGTGGAGCTTGAGGCTGCAGGTTCAGGTGGTGACAACGAAGATACGGAAGATGCGATCATCAACAGCAGACAATTGGGGGGCGACGAAGATGGATTCGAGTCCTCGTTTCTCGACCCAGACGCCGTCCAACGTTCAACACTCGCAAGCACAACAAAGCTCGTTTTGGTCGGCGAGTATGCGCTCGCTGGAACTGTAACATCGTTGGCACGCATCAAGATATCCGACTCGAAGTCCGGGGGAGAGTCCTTGTTGCTCTCTTTCAAGGACGCAAAGCTTAGTTTGGTGGAGTGGGACCCAGAGAGACATGGACTATCGACAGTCTCAATTCATTACTACGAGCAAGAAGAAATTGGCGGATCTCCTTGGGATCCATATCTTAGCAACTGCTTCAACTACTTGACAGCAGACCCTCGTGGCCGTTGTGCTGCGCTAAAATTCGGAGCACGCAACCTGGCGATCTTACCATTTCGCCAGGGCGATGAAGATACCGCAATGGACGACTGGGACGAAGAACTCGATGGCCCAAGGCCAACTACCGCAATAATTACAAGCGACAACAAAGGCCATGAAGATACGCCTTATGCACCGTCATTTGTTCTCCGACTATCGTCACTTGATCCAACCCTCATCCATACCGTTCACCTAGCATTTCTTTACGAGTACCGCGAGCCTACGTTTGGAATTCTATCTTCAACATTGTCGCCATCCTCCTCCCTCCTCGATGAGCGGAAAGATCAACTCTCATACATGGTCTTCACGTTGGACCTCAACCAAAAGGCATCAACGACCATCTTAGTAGTGACCGGCCTCCCGTACGACTTATTTAAAGTGATTCCTCTGCCATCGCCCGTTGGCGGAGCACTTCTTGTTGGAGGCAATGAACTCATTCATATTGATCAGTCTGGAAAAGCCAATGGTGTTGCAGTCAATGCACTTGCGAAATCTTGTACATCCTTCGGCCTCGTCGACCAGTCATCCTTGGAAATGAGGCTTGAAGGCTGTGCTGTTGAACAACTATCGGCCGACAATGGTGAAATGCTCATTATCTTAAATACCGGCGAACTTGCGATCCTCAGTTTCCGAATGGATGGCCGCTCTGTCTCCGGGCTAAACTTGCGCCGCGTTCCTTCAGAATCCGGCATTTCCATGGGTGCCCAGGCATCATGCACCAGCCTTATCAACCACAATTCAATGTTTATCGGCAGCGAAGATACTGATTCTATTGTTCTTGGATGGTCTAGGAAGGCAAAGCAGGCTGGCAGGCGGCGGTCGCAGCCAACCATTGACGCCGGAGATGATGCCGATGTGGATGGGACTGACGAGGACCAAGAAGATGAAGACGAAGACGATTTGTACGGCGAATCCACAGCTGCGATTCCTTTGAAGGGCGAAGTAGCTGCGGAGTCGAACAGCAAATCTGGCGACTATGCTTTTCGCATTCACGACTCCCTGGTTAATATTGCCCCTTTGAGGGATGTCACTCTTAGTAAGCCGGATTCTTCTCGGCACAATGAGAACGAGGAAGCTTCCAGCAGCACAAGACGTAATTTTGAACTTGTGGGAGTTACCGGCCGAAATATGAGTGGCTCCTTGTCATTTTTGAGGAGGGAAATCCAACCGAGTGTCATCGGTCGCTTCGAATTTCCGGAGGCACGGGGAATATGGACTCTGTGTGCCAAACGGCCTTTGATCAAGGGATTGGAAACCGAAAAATCCGAAACCACATTAGATACGGAATCTGAGCTTGGAGCCCAGTTTGACCGTCTTATGATTGTGTCAAAATCAACTGACGATACGCCAGAGGAGTCATCAGTATATGTACTAACATCGGCAGGGTTTGAAGCTTTGGCAGATACCGAATTCGAGCCTGCAGCTGGAGCAACCATCGAATGCGGGACTGTAGGTAATGGTATGAGAGTCGTCCAGATATTGAAATCGGAAGTCAGGAGCTATGATGGCGGTAGGTCTCTCCCCTCTCTTTTATTCCTTCTGTCTATTATATGCGGCGCTTCATTGAAATATATTTTGCCGCATATTGGAGTGTATTTGGGAAGACGCACTAGCCTTGGAGCAGCAGCAGAGACCTTCCATAGCATGAATGGAAAATATTTTACCCAGCTACACGTACCTTGCTCCCTTTTGTATTGATATCTTGTGCTGCGGCCTTTTGACGAATGAATGCTGACCTTGGATGTTGCCGATAGACCTTGGATTGGCTCAGATTCTGCCAATGTTCGACGATGAAACTGGCGCCGAGCCAAAGATTGTCGCTGCAAGCATAGTTGACCCCTACATGTTGCTAATCAGGGACGATGCAAGCATATTTGTTGCTTCATGTGACAGCGACAACGATCTGGAAGAGATTGAAAGGGGAGACGATAGCTTGTTGACAAATAAGTGGCTCTCTGGCTGCCTCTACAATGATTCTACGGGCAAGTTTTCCGAGACAGGATCGTCAAATGGAACCGGCACAGAAAAGACTGTTATCATGTCCCTGTTGAATGCCGAGGGTGCTCTCTTTGTAAGTGGAATTTAGCCCAACAGATTATACGTGCTCTAACTATTTACAGATGTATGCGCTGCCAGATCTGAGCAAGCCAATATACCAGGCCACTGGAGTATCGTTTATACCTACAACAATCTCCCCCGACTATGCAACTCGCAGGTCCACTGTGGCTGAGACCTTGACTGAGGTCTTGCTTGCTGATCTCGGTGATTCTACGTCAAAATCACCATACCTCATTGTGAGTGCATTCAACAATTCAAGTTATTCTAAGCTAACTAACTATTGTAGTTCCGAGCGTCAAATGACGATCTTACAATATACGAGCCATTCCGAGTCCCATCTGAGGCTCCACGTCCTTTATTGAAATCTCTGCATTTTCAAAAGATCCATAACCCTCACTTAGCAAAGACCGCGAATCCAGAGAAGGAAGTGGCTGCTGATCCAGAGTCAGCAAAACGAGATTCCCCTATGCGGGCAATCGCCAATGTCGGTGGCCTTTCAAGTGTCTTCTTGCCGGGTGACTCGCCTTCGTTCGTGGTCAAGAGCTCTAAGAGTACACCACGGGTTGTTGGGCTGGGAGGTAATGGTGTTCGGAGCTTAAGCAGCTTCCACACAGAAGGATGCGATCGCGGATTCATATATGTTGATTCGAAAGGGATTGCTCGCGTTTCCCAACTAGAGCCGGAAACAAATGTGACCGACGTTGGGTTGACGCTACGAAAGGTAAAGATCGGAGAGGAAATTCAAGCCGTGACATATCATCCTCCGAAGGATGTGTATGTTATTGGCACGATGATCAAGGAGCCATTTGAGCTACCCAAGGATGATGATTACCACCGGGAGTGGGCAAAGGAAGATATAACCTTCAAGCCGCTGACTGGGCGCGGGTTCCTGAAGCTGCTTAGCCCAACCACCTGGTCAGTAATTGACGAGGTTGAACTCGACCCCCACGAGATCATCATGTGCATCAAGACACTCAACCTTGAAGTATCTGAGAATACGCACGAGCGGAAACAGCTCATCACAGTCGGTACCGCGATATCCAAGGGAGAGGATCTGGCCATCCGGGGCCGCGTCTACGTCTACGAGGTCATCACTGTCGTTCCATTCCCTAACCGCCCAGAGACCAACAAGAAGCTGAAGCTCATTGCCAAGGAAGAAATCCCTCGTGGCGCCATCACTGGGATATCTGAAATCGGGACACAGGGGTTTATGATTGTCGCGCAGGGCCAAAAGTCCATGGTGAGAGGCTTGAAAGAAGACGGGACTCTGCTCCCTGTAGCATTCATCGATATGAACACATATGTGACAACTGTCAAGTCGTTGCCAGGTACGGGCATGTGCCTCTTTGCCGATGCCATCAAAGGTGTCTGGTTTGCTGGTTACTCCGAGGAACCATACAAAATGACTATCTTTGGCAAGCAGTCGCAAGGCATGGAGGTAATAACCGCCGACTTATTACCTATCGGCGATGAATTATACATCGTCGTTGCAGACTCAGACTGCAACTTGCACGTTCTACAGTTCGACCCAGAGCGTAAGCCAAACTTCCACCCAGCACAATAGAAATAACTAACACCTCGCAGATCCAAAGTCTCTCCACGGCCAACTCCTCCTGCAACGTACAACATTCTCCCTCGGCGGGCACATGCCTACCACAATGACGCTGCTCCCTCTCACCACCGCTCAGGCCCCCACCCCAGCCGTAACCTCAACAGAGTCTGAACCCACGAACCCAGTCTCAGGGTTACTCATGACGCTTTCCAGTGGCGCAATCGCCGTCCTCACCCCGCTCTCCGAACAACAATACCGACGACTAAATGCCCTCAGCAATCACCTGTCGAACCTTCTCTACCACCCTGCAGGCCTTAATCCGAAAGCTCACAGGATAAGCAACACGGCGCCCGAAGCCGTGATTGGAGGCCGACCAATCGTGGACGGCAGTGTGTTGTGGAGATGGCTGGAGCTGGGAAGCCAGAAGCGGGCGGAGGTGGCGGGGCGGGTAGGCGTTGACGGAGAGACTATTCGGGAAGATCTCCAAGAGATTGCTGCGGGACTAGGGTATTTGTGAGGAGGGTTGGCGGTCTCAGGGTCTCAGGGGTACTCGTGTCGCCAGAGAGTCTGAGAAGGGACCGGGCGGAACAGCCACCCAAAGGTTCCAAACAGCCCACAGACGCTGTTGTTGCTCAAGTAGCTTGTAGAAATTAAAAATTAAAATATGATTCTCAATCACTCAGAAACTATCAAGGCTTTTTAACACGCCAGTTACTCAGAAATCCAGGCCATGGGAGAAATCCCATCAGCTTCAGCGTAGGTATGAATTCCCAACTATGTAAAGTCTCTCTTCGGACTTTAAGCGACACGCGAATTGGGAGCAGGATAAAAAGTATGGGGAGATGAGACAGAAGATTTACAGTTGCGGGCGTAATAGGACTGGTATATTGCTGGATATATATGCTTCAAACGTTTTAAAGGGGTATCGAGTGACAGTAAATACGCCAATCCGACTACTAAAGACAGAAATGATACTACTCCAGCAAATCCTACCATTGACTCCGTGCATTATTTTAGGGGGTATCGTAAATCGCGGTATAGGTACAGACGCAACGTTCACTCTCCAACCATTTCGATAGAAGGTAGATATCACGAAGCCGGCCCGCCATCTGTCCAGGAGATCCTGCTTCTCTGGAGCATCCGCAGCAGCGGCCGGACTAAAACCCAGCCATTCCCTCTTATACAACGTGAACCACGTTTCTTTCCTTATGGCCCTTTGCCTCCTCCTCAAAAGCGATCCCGAGGTTGCAGTATGTCTTCGGTAGATATGTTTCTACTACTGAGTTCAATATCGACCGTCTTCTGGATCCCTGTATGCGGAAAGTCATCGGAGGCGGCCTCAGAACTGATCCTCTTCTTGGTAGGGCCATTATCCGACATTATATATCCCGACCGGCTATACTGATTATGTGTCTGTCGCGATCTGTTGTTTGAGTTGTACGGCGAGTCGGTGAACACCCTGTTGAAAATTGCCTGGAAGCAGGGCCGCATGACGACCAACGAGGCGGCAATAATGGTAATGTTGAATTCGGTTACGATGACGAGATGTGTTGGGATGGCGTTGTCTAGGAATGTTAGCTGATATTAAGGGGAAAGGGGGGTTGGGGACACAAACAGGTAAAATCCTTCTTGACGTTATAGAAGCCGCTTATCATCCAGAGGCGGATGATGGAGACGGCCGTGTCGCTAGAAGAAAGAGTTAACTCAGTTATAGAAGATAAGTGTCATTTCAGGGGGCATACACTAGGCCTAACATTACAAGCGCTGTTAACTGCTTGATCTCGATGCGCTTGTTTTGTGTCCGGAGTAGAATTGGTAGCGGGATGGCGATGAGTGCCAACGACGTGAGGATATTGATAGACGACGTAACGTAGTTAAACATGATCTGAGTATCGACGCAGTGGCCCGGTTCCTTGGAGTACCAGCTCTTGTGGATTGGTTGACAGGCGAAGATACCAACGAAAGTGGCTGCTGTGAAGAAGCCAACGACAATGACCATAGTGATATAATTGGCGATGCGGCAGAATCGTACAACTGGAATATCGACAGTGCTGAGTAGATCACGATATACCAGGCCCAGAGAAAGCTTGCTGAACATCAACGGGAATTTGGTGAAGATCTGGATGAGCCAGAACACCTAATGAGACGGTTAGAAGCTGTGGTTAGAAAAAGCACGGGAGCACACACAATCATCGTCTTATAAGATCCCTTGAGGTCTGGTGGAAGATCGTTTTGGTGACGGGCATATCCAAACTTTGCACAAACTGGTGAACTGTAAGTGCTCTAAACTGAAAAACAAGGGCGGCGTTCTTACTGATGATGTCTAGGACCATGTGGATTAATGAAGTGATCTGAGTTTCCAGTAAGCAGCATGTCTTAAAGGGAGCCACTGCAAAGACCAAGTTGGCTACGAACCATGGCGCAACATATCATGTAATCGGAGAGGGTAAGGGCATTCTTTGCCTGTCTATACCCAACCCGTAGAGCGACGAAAGCAAAGGCGATGAAAGTTGCGAGAATGTCGACACTCAAAAAGAGCGACACCCGTGTCTCTACCATGGCGATCGTGGTATGATTGAAGATGAGCTGGTCTTCGAGAACAATGGAATCAATCCAGAGTTAGGAATGGACTCCTTGGTTTGAGAGAGCAAAAGGCGTCAACGCATTATACTTATGAGAGCCAAGCTACGCTTCCCATATATGTAGGCCAGGCTCAAGGCCAGAGTCTCAGACGGGACTTCCCAGCATGAAGAAGATTGCTTGTTTGTGTCGCACTGCTAGGACGCAGGCGATCCATCCTCTCGACAGCGATCACAGGGAGGGGCCTGTCAGTGGGAGATCCTCCTACTCCGCATGCGTCTGAGATCATCGTATATGTGGGGATTCATATGTCGCCAAGAGTTGTTCAGAAATAACGCAGGCATTTATTGAAGTCACCAGGGGGGATGTTACTTTCATGAGAATACGGAGTAAGTACGAGTACCTATCGGACAAAAGCCGCGTTCCAGTGACCCTGTACAGGGTCTACAAGTTCCATTGACTCTGTGCGTGGTCCACACGTGCTACGAGTGGACTAGATCTGCATTCATCTGACCTCGCACTTCTTACATCACACCTCTTCCTCTTTCTTCTTCTCCCGTCACGTCGTATGGAACGCATCGCCTAGACATGACGACTACACAAGAGAAGACGCCGGAGGTGATGGCGACTGATTCTGCCAGCGCCGACACCAGGGACATGAAGTTGGGCATCGCGAGAGTTGATTCCGATCAATTGAGTGGTGTCTCAGCCAGGAAACTTCTCCTCAAATGCGACTTGCGCCTTGTGCCGATCTTGGGCACGCTCTATCTCGTTTCCTTCTTCGACCGCTCCAACATTGCTAATGCGAGGCTCTTCGGCCTCGAGAAGTCGCTCAATATGCCGTCGAACGGCTTCAACACCTGCCTATGGATTTTCTACTTACCCTTTGTCATAATTGAGATTCCGAGCAACTTGATCATGAGCATGAACAAGATCAAGCCAAACTACTGGCTAGCGGGCATGATGTTCATTCTTGGTGAGTCTCGCACTACGCAGAGTTGTCGCCTCAATTACTTACAAGCCATGAATAGGTCTCGTTTCCATGTGCCAGGGATTCACCAAGAGCTACGGTGGTTTGCTTGCTTGCCGCTTCCTCATGGGTATCCTAGAGGCCGGTCTCCCACCAGGCATGTTATTAGGCGCCCTTTTCGCACCTATGTCATCTACTAACAGTTAATAGGAGCCGCGTTACTTATTGGTCAGTACTACAAGCGCAGCGAGTTCAATGTCCGCTTCGCGTGGTTCATCTGTTTCGCTCTCGGAGGTAGTGCTTGCGGTGGTCTCCTCGCATTCGCTCTCGAGCACATGGGTGGGCTCGCAGGCTACGAATCTTGGAGATGGGTCTTCATTATCGAGGGCCTCATCACCATCGCTTTCAGTGTCGTCGCCTTTATGATCATTCCAGGCTTCCCCGAGGATGCCAAGTTCCTCACCGAGCCTGAGCGTGCTTTCCTCCTCAAGCGCCTACGTGACGACCGCGGTAACGAAAAGACCGATATGAAGGGTGTGCCATGGTTGCGAGTACTTCTCGACTGGAAAGTGTGGGCCTTGTAAGACACCCATCACCTACTATTTATCACAAGCTAACCAGACACCCCTAGCACGGTTGTCTTCTTCTGCTGCGACATGAGCGCCGCGTCAATCTCTGCCTTCACCCCCACCATCCTCAAGGAGCTCGGCTGGACCAAATCGACCGCACAGGTCATGTCGATCCCGATCTGGGTCGTCGGCATCGTGTTCACGCTGTCCGCCTCCTTCCTCTCCGGAAAACTCTCTATTCGCTACCCCTTCGTCTTCTTTGGCATTGCCCTCTCGCTCGTTGGGTGGGCGATCCAACTCGCGCAGGTTCAGCCACCTGGAGTGCGGTACTTTGCCCTCTTCGCCATTGCCTCCGGAGCCTTCATGCAGATGCCCATTCTAATTGGGTGGCTGAATGGAAACCTACGAGGACGGCCGGCCCAGGCTGTAGGTGCAGCTGTGCAGCTGGGGATAGGGAATTGCGCAAATTTCATCAGCAGTAATGTGTTTATCTTTGGGGAGGCGCCGAAATATCCAACAGGGTTCAAGGCGGGACTTGCAATCACGGCGGTTGGTGGCGGGGTGCTAGTTGTTGTTGTGCTCTTGATGGCTTGGCACAACTCGAAACTGTCAAAAGCTGAGGAGGGAGGGGAGGTCAAGGACGAACATGACCAGGAAAATTTCCGGTACCTTCTGTAGAAAGGCGGGCCTTAGAGTACATATGTCTTGGAAAGGTTGTATAGATATGTGTACAGCTAGAGTAGACAGCATGAACTAGACCACTTCTACACTTCCACCAGTAACAACAGCATATGTCGAGAGGAAACAGGGATACTATAGAGGAGCAACTAAGCTTAGTGTCGGGGTTCTAAGAGCGAAGGATTCACGGTAGCCGTGCCAAGCCGTTGGATTTAATCTCACAGACAAGGTCTTGTAACAGGCAAGAAAATACGGATGCACCACTGCACAACGTACATACTAGACTCACTCTACTAGGACTAAGCAGTATAACTAGCGTTATACTGCTTGAACACTGCTTTACAAGGGCGGGTTTCGGAGAGGATACTTGAGTTAGACAAGACTTTCATAGACTGGCGGGCCGCTGAAAGGGCGAGGTCCGCCTAAAACTAAGAGCGGAAGGCGCTCAGGTGCCGTGCCGTCGCTGTAACGTCGCTTGTGAGAATCCACTTCTCGTAAAAGACTTAGATGAGAAGGCGCAACGAGTCTGTGAGATGATGATAGCACTGGCTGGCAGGCGCCCTTTGCTTTTTTTACGAGAAGAGTGGCACGCTAGGGAAAGGGAGGGTACAGTAGTCCTCGGACCTACTATGTACACAGTACAGCACAGGATTTGAATTGCAATTAGAGCACACCGTTGGTTGTTATAGTTGTGGGGACGCGCTATGCATACTCCATGTCCTGCCTCCTTTCGGCCTCGCAGGCATTAGCTCGGCATTCTCACCAAAGTCTCCCAGCGCACCCACTCACGAGCTCAGAGACCTAGCAACCGATCTCGCGTATGTGACGACCCCGGCGATCCCGGTGATTGACCGAAAACCCTACCCAAACTCGCACCGACGGGTCTGTGCCCGGCGTGCAATTCGTGCGGAGAAACTCCGAACGCCACGCCGACAGGGCCGCGCCAGGGGGGGAGGAATCGTGGCTGGCGCGGGAATCACCGAGACATAGATGCTGAGACAGGAAGCTGCGTGGTTGTGAGATGCGGGTCTGCTGGGACGTTGTGGAGAGACAGGCGCCTGGGAAGGAATGGAATGCTAGTATTAAGACGAGGTGGGAATATCATACCCACCTGTCCATCCCGCCCCCGGCTGGGGAAGTAAGTGAAAGAAGCATTCACGAACTCCATCTGCTAGTCAACCGCTCCCCGATCTCTGTACTTGTACTCTAGCTCGGCCTAAGCGCTGTCCGTGAAATAGCCTGCGGCATCTCCCAGATCGACCGTGCAATGAGTCCGCCCGCCGTCGCCCAGGATGCGCCGGAAGGGGTCCGCGCACTAATTGCGAACAGAATAGCGTTTCGTGCGGAAGGGGGTGACCGCGGGTGACCGGAAACTGACGGTGACGCCAAGGACTCCAACGCCCAGGTTACTGGCGTCCGTGCCTGGGATGGCATCCCCTGTTGTCAGGAACCCGTACTCAAATCAGCGGCTCCCAAACAGTAAGTAAAGAAAGCAAGAGACGGCAAATTCCATTTATATTGTTCGGGGTATATACTGCAAAAATGTGACCTTCCCTTCTGGGTGGCAGAAATGACAAAAAATATGAACAGAAAAAGACGTTGTCGGCTCCACCGCGTGTTGATCCCCGTTCCGTTGACCTGCAGAGTGAGTGGTCGAGGTCTTCCAAATGCGACTCTGGCCACCCAGTATCCCCATATCCCCATCCAGAGCCTCCCCCCTCTCCCCAAATCAAAACAAATGCAGCAAAACCCCTCTCAGCGCCAGCCCAACCGCATAAACTCCTCGCTCCCTTATCCCTGTCCAAAGCACTCTAAGCCGTCCTCTCCCCGTCAAGTCCACATCACCTCAAACTATCCCCTTCCTTCTCCGTCAATATCCTAACTCTTCGTCTATACAGCCTCCTAGCCCTCTCTTCTCCGCCCCCTTCAAGCCACCTCGCCAGGTTCTTGCACTGACTCGCATCCAGCACCTTGAGACGCGTGCATCCTTCGATGACGGCCTCGACACCGACGCCGGTGACGCGGACGCAGCCGCGGACGCTGAGAAGGGACAGCTCGAGGAGGTGCAGGCCGATGGAGCGGAGGGAGGAGTCGGAGACGGCCGAACCGCAGAAGGCGAGCTTGAGGGATTGGAGTTGTGGGCACCCGAGAGAAAGGACCTCAGTGGCGGTGTCGGAAAGGGCACAGCAGAAGGACTGAGAGGTGTTAGTGGGGTGGTTTCATTATGACAAGAAAAAATGGTTATAGGGTGAAAAGGGGGATTTTTTTGGGAAGAGACATACCAAATCAAGTTCCTTCAGCCCCTTGGCCGCATTCGTCAAGTACACCACCGCGTTATCAGTCAGGTACGTGCAGTCCGCCAAGATGAGCCTCTCGAGCTTCGCAAAGCGATACATGCTCCAGTGCTGGAACCCGCCGTCCGTAATGGTCGTGCAGCGCGTGAGATCGATGCTGCGCAGGCGCGAGTGCGCATGCACTGCCAGATGCGCCATGGAGCGATCGGTGACGTGTTTGCAGTAGCTAAGTGTCAGGCGGCTCAGCTTCGGGCATCCGACGACGGTGCCTACAGGGGGCGAGTTGGCGTTTCCGTTGCGGGAGGCGGCGCGGGCGCTAGCGCCTGGAGGAGGTTCAGAGATCACCCAGCCGACGATGCGGGCGAGGAGGTTGTCTGAGACTTTTCGGCAGTTGCTGAGGTCGATTTCCTCGAGGCCTTTGGCGGTGTTGGCCATTTCGAGGACGGAATTGGCGGTGATATCCCAGACGGACTTCATTTTCCAGGATTGCACGTTGGCACCACATGTGGCGACGAGGGTGTTGAAGCCTTCGTCGGTCATGTGGAAGCAGTTTGAGAGGTCGACGGTGCGCGGGCGGTTGCCAACAAAGGGGCAGATGACATCGATAAGCACCTGGTCATTGACGTAGCGGCTATAGGCCGAGAGGTCAAGATTGCGCCCGAGTTCGTGCGAGAAAGAAAGGAGCTTCTGCCAGTGCAGGGACACCTGACGGAGGCGCAGTAGGTGGTAGATATCGAGATTTTTGAAGACGTTGACCAGAACTTTGTCGGGTAATACACCTTGGCTGAACTCGCTTGGTCGTCGATGTACAGTCCGAGGCCTCTTCGATCTTAACTGTGACTCTTGTGGTGGGGTAATTGGGTGTGTAAACGATAGTGGCGATGAGCCTGGCATTCGAGTTATCTGCGGTTCTGCCTCCTCTGATTCGTTCTCAGACGATATAGATTCCGGAGGGATCGGTGCCCACGACGACCGGCGGCTCATTCTTGACCTCATATTATCCATATCAATACTTAGGAATGGGTCTGGGTCCGTGTCTGTTGACTCAGCATTGTCTTTCTCCTCGGGCAGGTTCTGGTGCGGTGGACTGAGCGGCTTCGATGGTGTAAATGTAACCTGGGGAAGATCCCGGACTTTAGACTTGGGCGACCGATCAGCGATTTTGAGGCCCTTGATAGAGGGCGTTGTGCTATCGACGTCGGTCATCAATACGTCCTCATCCTTGGGCCGCCCATATCTAGCCTTAGCAGTTACCTCAACCTGCTTCCGAATATCAGGCGAACACCTCCTCCAGAGCTCTTCTAATACGTCCCCACCAATCATTAGACATTCCACTACAGTAATCGCGCGCACCGTAGCCGTCCGTCTCGGTGCCAGTGCCAGACTCGCAACTTCTCCAAAATACTGGCCCTGCTTCAGGCGCGGGCGCATACGGGAGCTCTCGAGCATCTCTATGATCTCGCCATCTTCCATCGTCATCCGTATTACCTCTGCCTCTCCTCGCACAATAAAGTAGATGTCATTTCCCACAGAACCCTGCTGTATGATGTCCGTAAACGGTGGATATGTCCGCGGCTGAGCGCTCAATCCAAGAAAATGCAGAATCTCCGGCGGTAACGACGAGAACAGAGGTAGCTCCTTCAATGTCTTCCTTATGCTAACAAATCCGCTGCCCAACGCGCTCAATGTAGGATCGTCAATAACTCCCGGGCTAGGTGACTTTCTCTTCTTATGGTTAACGACACTGCCTTGCTCGATGGAACCCGTGTCGCCTAGCGAAACCTCGCCCGGTACAGCCTCTCTCGCATTCTTCCCCCCACGCGATGGCAACGTTGTATAAATCGTCGGTCCAAATCCGCTCTCTTTCCTCTTCTTATTCAAAATAGTCAGCCTCTCCTGTGCCTCTTCGCGAATGGCCTTTTCCATCTCTGGGAATTTAGGCAGCTCTGCGCGTAGATCTTCCTTCTTCAGCACAACGAGAAGACACTTTGTCCGCGCGATAATTGTCGCAGTGCGCGGCACATCCATCAGAATGCCAATCTCACCGAAGAAAGCTCCGGGTTTTAATTCAGCGTATGTAGCTTCGCCATCTCGTGATGTTACGGCGACAACGCCTCGGACGAGCCAGTACATCGCCTTTGCGTCATCGCCCTCTGTCAGGATGTGATCGTGCGACGCGTGGACCTGAGGTCGTAGATGGTTGCCAATTGCTGCCAGGAACGAGTCCGGCGCCGATAGGAATAGAGGGAAGGAGCGTATACGGTCGACCAAGTCGAGTGGCATATCTGGTATCGTTGAAGATCCGAGTGGCGAAGGCCGAACCGGCCTGGCGGGGTTCGTGTCGACATTGAAAGACCTAATCAGTGAGAGCGAATCAGGTATGGGCGCGCCGCCGCCTCTGAACGGCGACCCGCTGCCTTTACCCCGTCTCATCCTGATTGCGGTGTCAAGGTCGTCGTGGTGTCCGCGGAGTCAATATCCGTTTGCGATCGAGGGCCGTCTGGCCGCCCGTCAGGCGTGCTGTCCGCCAGTTAGGAGCCAGCACAGCAGTCACTTTGGACGCGAAGCAGATCGTGGAGGATCTCGACAGGCAATGTTTCCTCGTGAAGGTTCGATGTGTCGGGATCTGGGACCCGCTGGTGTCTCCTGTCCGCACCGAGCCGCTTCGGGTATTTTCTGTGTCGTCAGACCGCGTCTGTCGTATTCTCGTTCGAGAGGAGCTGTAGAAAGGACTATCCCAGCTCGCAAGCTTCCAATATAGCTTCAACCCTCTCGGCCTGCGGTTGTGGTTTGCTGAAGGTTGATGTTGAGGTCTGGAGCTCCGTGAGTGGGACGGATGTGGGGTTTGTGGGGTTATCGATAGACCGGCGGCGGGAAGAACGTGACAGCGACGATGATGGCGATGATGCGTGGGCGTATAAATGCAGAATGAAGAGCGAAGCTCGATCAACGCAACAGCACGAGAAAATAATATAATTGGAAGCTGTCGGGTAGTTGTGTACGCGTTGGAGGATGAAGCGCAGTTTCAGTAGAATTGCAGTCTCTGACGCGGGCGATGGGTGAGGAAGGGAAGTCGTAGAGGTTTAGCACCGTAGACGTCTTTCTTTACTTCCGAAGTGCGCAATTGGGGGTTTTCTAGTGTGGAACTTCGGGTCCACTGTACTCTCTAAACTGTAACTTTTTTGTAACTCTTGTAACTCTTGTAACTCTTGTAACTTCTTATTAGGCGCTATGACGATATTCGTTATTTTGTTGGCTGAAGAAGACAGGTTAGATGTACAGGTAAACTAAAATATACATGATAGAAGAGCTGTGCTTGTATGGGAAATACAAGTACTCTTTCTCTAGCTGGTACTTCATTACTTCATTAGTGGCCTCGTGCCTCGTGCCTCCCCTCACATAACTTCGTGCCGTCTGTACAGTAAGATTATAATAGATAGTATAATTACTAGTTGTCGATGCTATACTATACTAACGAGTTATTGTTATACTAACGTGTTATACTAACGGATAAGTTGGTTATACCTGACAGTTTTCTACTGTTACTCTGTCTAGTTCCTATAGTTGCTATAGTCTCGTCGACGTCTAACGCACGTAGCAGATATAGGATACTTCATCTTAGGGTTACAGTAGAATAGAACAGTCCTACTAAAACTACTATAAAATTCTCTACTGTATACGTGGTCTATCAGCTGTCCCTCCATACTAATACAAACAGCAAACCGTAAGCAAGCCGTCAGCGCCTTAGCAATGTAACCACGGCTTCTTTAGTAGGACTCTGTATAAAGCCCATTCTCTGGTACAGGGCCCGATCCGGTAATTCAAAGATCTACTAAGTCTACTCTCCAATATTGGGCACCTCTTCATTAGCTGGGTCCATCACTGGCCCATCACAGGTTCATAGCGTGCAGTAGCTGTCAATAGCCCTTCGTCCCTTCCCTGTAGCTTCCCCCAGATTAACAGCAAGCAACAAGGATTCCCCCCCTTCCTTCTATTCTTCCATTCCTTCCATCCATCCAGAACCCTTCTAGACGATTACCCCTTCTTGCGAAATTGCGACGCTGCAATTTCCCGCATGCAGAACATCCCAAGGGATCACCGTCTTTGCACAAATCATATCAGATCAGAACAGATCATACCAGCCGTGCAGGGACCTCTGCGTGCCTCTTGGCCCTTCATCCACGCGTTGTGCCGAGGGCTACGGCCGGGACGGGAACCAGCTTGGGCCTGTCGGGCGAGTCTAGGATATTAGAGGGGTCGCGCGGCTCATAGAGAACACAGTATGGCCCTTTTTATAATTGGGATATGGATATGGGATACGATCAAATCAGATGTGTTTGCATCGATCAACACTGCTCGTCAAAGCACCACGGAGTAATTATAACCTCGCAACAAGAAAAAAGATTTCTTAGAGGGTAATACCACCACCTATACATAGCGATGTCCAATTCATCGATATATGGCTCGACTTAGATTTAGAAGCCTGTAGTATTGTTCCATCTTTAAGTAAATCGCTTCTTCCTCATACTGTCCACTTCCAATTCTCAGCTTAATAAGCATCACGTGACTACAAACTTAACCCCGGCTGATTAATCAACATCACCTGACTCAGACTCACCCTTGGGCCCTGAAGTGGCCCCGGATTTAAGGCACGATTCGCCGAGGTTCGAGAAATGCTTGGGAGGTCGTCATCCTTCCGTGCCTTGCTCCACTCCCATCGCACATACATAATCGCCATCGACGACACATTTATCCCTCCATCATATCATCAACACCACTTTATCTCAGCTGAGTGCCTCACCACCGAAAGGATACGCGCAAGCATGTCATTCACCATCCGCCAGCCGTTCAGGCTTACCGGCACCCTCGCCGCCGTCTCCAAGACCGCCTTCAAATCCGCCGCCCCAGTCCGGGCTTTCCACCACGCCCCCGCGACAAAGGCCATATTCACCTCCCGCACCGCCTCGTCAATCAAGAACTCTCCCATAATCAAGAATGGCTTCAAGCAGACGCGCGCCTACAATGTGCAACCGACCACTGTCTCGAATCCGACAGCGAACGGCAGTCTGATGCAGCGCCTCCTCGTCGGCGGTGCCATGTTCGGTGGCACCCTGCTCGCCATCAACATGGTGTTCAACCGCGAGACTCGCGAGGACGGCGGAATGCCACCCTTCGAGCGCTCATACCTCAATGAGACGTTCATGCACACCGGTCTAGGCGTCGGCATCATCGGTGTCGCCGCGCGCGCCATGTACACCTCGGGCTTCGTATACCGCATCATGGCCACGAACCCATGGATTGTGATGATTGGTGGTCTCGCCCTGAGCTTTGGTACCATGATCGCAACGAGAAACACTGATCCATCGAACTACGTCCAGAAGTACGGATTGTGGACTGCGTTCAACGTTACCCAGGCTGCTTTCATTGCGCCGCTGATGTTCATGGCTCCTCCTGCGATTATGGCCCGCGCTGGCCTCTACACGATTGCCATGATGGGTTCTATTGCTTTCGTTGGTGCTACCGCTAAGAACGACAAGTACCTCTTCCTCGGTGGACCGCTCCTTGCTGGTGTCGCCATCGTTGCTGTCTCTGGTTTCGCTCCTCTCGTCCTCCCCGCCACCGCCGTCCGCACTCTAGCGTTCACTGAGAACATCTGGCTGTACGGTGGCCTGGCTGTCTTTGGTGGCTTCACCCTGTACGATGTCCAGAAGGTGCTGAACCACGCCCGTCTTGCCGAGCGTGGTTTGATTAAGAGGGATCCTGTCAACGAGAGTATCAGGTATGTTCCATTTACATCATTCATATCTACCAGGTCAATTGCTAACTATCTCCTAGCCTCGAGCTCGACTTCCTCAACATCTTCATCCGCATGGTCCAAATCCTGATGATGCAAGGCAACAGGAGGAAGTAGATTCCCAAACACAATTGTACAAACTTAAAAAGCCAGTAAGGCTTGTCGGAGAAAGCTGAAATACAGTTCATGAAACATAGAATGGGAAAGGCAAGCATACGAAGTGTTTGCTGCTGCCGCTTCTGATTTCAAACTCTCGAAATAGGATTTCGAAGAGTCAGGCGCAAATGGGGTATTGAAATGACAAGACTAGATAGATATTAACTTGTACCACCCGAAAAACTCCTCTCCTTGATGTATATATTAAATTTATCGAGGCAAAATTAAATATAAAAAAATCATTCATCTAAACAAAACTATTCATTGTCTGCTCATCTTCTCTTGTACCGCCAGTGCTCAGTGCTCATATGTTGTCAATCCTCAAAAGGTCATAGCTCCCGTCCAAAAAAAATCCCCAATCTAATCTAATCTCTTCCCCCCACCCAAAATAACCTCCATCTCCTCCAATCCCCAGAACCGCTCAAGCAGCACCCAAACAACCCACCACCACACACACGCACACACATAACCATGCCCCTCGACACCTCCTCCTACCACCTCGCGCTCCTGCGCCTCGACGGCCGCCGCTGGAACGAGCTGCGCCGTCTGCACGCGTCTATCTCAGTCCAGCCGTCCGCGGACGGATCGTCGTACCTCGAGATGGGGAATACGAAGGTGCTGTGCACGGTTGCGGGGCCGGCGGAGGGGAAGAGGACTGGGGCGGGGGGGGGGAAGGATGGGGAGGCCGCGGTGACGGTTGAGATTGGGGTGGCGGGGTTCAGTGGGACGGATAGGAAGAAGTGGGGGAGGGGGGATAAGTGAGTTTTTTTCTTTCTTGTTGTTGTGTTGTGCGATGGCTGGGTTTGAGGTTTTGGGAAGATGGGGGGAAGCGGGTGTATGTGGGGGAGCAGGAGACTGACTGAAACAGACGCCTAGCAGAGATGCAAATGACCATCGCAAACGCCTTCTCTACCACCCTTTTCACACACCTATACCCACACTCTACAATCGCCATCTCGATCCAAGTACTCGCCCAAGACGGTGCCCTGTTAGCCGCCTGCTTGAATGCCGCAACACTCGCCTTAATCGACGCCGGTGTCCCAATGCCCGACTACCTCTGCGCCGTAACGGCCGGGACGACGAGCGCACACGCCGCGGGCGACGAGGCGGCGGATCCGCTGCTAGATCTGTGTTTGATGGAGGAGCAAGAATTACCATTTCTGACAGTTGCAACCGGCGGTGGAGAGAGGGTGAGCGTTTGTGTGTTGGAGAGTCGGGTGCAGGTTTCGCGCGTGGAGGGGATGTTGGCAGTTGGCGTGGATGGGTGTAAGCAGGTTCGGGCAATTATGGATGGGGTTGTTAGGAGGCAGGGGAAGAAGATTTTGGGAGCATGAGGGGTGGGATTGCGGTTTGAGATAGGTTCATACTTGATGTTTGGGGGGTTGGAAAAGTGTGGGTAGTGGCGTACTGGAGTTTGGCGCGGGAGAGGAGACATGGGAGCATGGGTTTGCGTGGAGCATGGGGTTAAATAAATACTGCTGCGTTCACTAAGCTACGCTATTGTACAACGACTCGCCTAAGGAGAGAAATCAAGTTGTTACATTGCCAATGGACCGGCGCGTTTTTCATAGCTCGTCCTTAACGGAGACAGTCTCCTTGGGTTCGGTTTCCTCAACCTGGATCGTCGTGGTTTGGGCGACTTGCTCGGGAGTCTTGCCAATGAGGATACCAGGGAGGACTTGCTTCTCGCCCTCACCCATTCTGATGGAGTCAATCCACATCTCAATTGCCTCATGCGTGTACACATCTCCAGAGTACTTCCTCATCCAGCCCCTCTTTGCGTTTATAGCGACAACATCAACGTCGTTGGTGAGGCCGAGCGCAGCCTTCAGCTCAGGCATGCCAGTGACCTCCTCAGCGACAGCGTAGAAGGGGAAGATAGCGTGCTTGGAGTTATGGTACTTAAACGCGACCTCCGCGAGGCCTTCGATGCTCTGTACGGAAACATCGCCACCCTTTGCCGATGTGAAAGCCAACACGCAGGTCCCGGACTTGGGGGTCAGACATGCGTCTGCGAGTTCGGTTTCGCTGGTGATAACTGGGATGGGTGGGGTAAGAACGACTGGTTTCTCGGCCTCGGCGCTCGGCGACTCAGTGGGTTCCGAGGCTTCTTCTGATGCTTCAGCGGTCTCACTGGCGGAGGCCTCGGATTCCTTTTGGGACGAAGAAGCTTCCTCGAATTCCTCCTCGGCCTTCTTCGCTGCCTTCTTTTCTGCTTTCTTCTCGGACTTCTTCTCAGACTTCTTTTCAGTCTTCTTCTCTTTGGCAGCCTTGCCCTTCGCAGGTGCTGGGTCTGGGTTTGGCGGGTGGACAGAGGAGAGGAACTTCACGATATCGTCCTTCTTAAGCTCGCCATCGTAGGTGGTGGCTGACGCGCCGTTGCCAGCGGGTAGGAGGACAATGGTGGGGAACTTCTCAACGCTGAACATCTCCACGGCTCTCGCCTCCTTGCTCCTGATTTGAGCGACTTTGATGCCACCCAGGAAATCGATGGCAATTGCCTTCAATAGGGAGCTTGTAGATCCTTTCTCGGTGAACAGGATGGCCTTGTGGGTGTCAACGTTCTCGGCCATGAAGGCGTCCAATTCCTTGTCGGTGACCTTAGATACATGGTTTGCGATCTTGGCTGAGACTGCTTCGACGATGGGCTTCGCCTCGCGCGCTCCCTGGTAATCCTCAACGATTGGCTTTCCGAACTTCTTGCCTGGCTTGACAATCTTCAGAGTTGGAAATCCCTGGACACCCATGCTCCCGCAGAACTGCTTGTTGATATCCTCATCGCAGTTAACAGCCGCGACCTTGGCGAGGCCGGCGAGCTTCTTGGCTGCATTCTCATACGCAGGTTGGAGGCTCTTGCAGTGGCCACACCATGGAGCATAGAACTCTACAATCTATCGAGACCATTAGCGCGTAGTTCATTGTACATATGTATGGGGAGCTTACAGAGGTGTAGTTGGACTTTGCGATGAGGCGGTCGTAGTTTTTAGCATCGACTTGGAGAACCGCGGAGCTTTTGGGGTAAAGACCCGCCGCGGTGGCGGGCGAAGCCAACAATAAAGCCGTAGCGGCCGCGGCCAGAGCTCCGGTATACACCATTGCGTGAGATAATGAGGATATTGAGAGGATGGTATAGAGTGAGATCGACGTGTCACAGCTATGGTTTATATATAAAACAGATCAGAGTTACAGTTCTTTCATTGTTTATGTGACAAGTTGTCCTGACACGAAGTGGCCACAGTAGCTACAATCCCCAATCTGGATAAAGAGTCTGGGGAAGCTGCATGATACGTGTGGTCCGTGCGCTGAGTCGCGAACGCTAAGCGGACTCTACGTCAGGCGGGGGAGCTCCGCTGTTTGGAGATCCTCTTGGACCCTCTGATATTCGATCAAAGACCTCATTTCTTGGATTTGAGTACGGGAAAGCTTATGGAAACAGTAATATACTCTTAGTAACGACCTCGCTTTCCATAGATATCCCTAGGAGGCATCTGCAGCAGCCCCAACAACGCCGGGCGCCATGGCCGCCTCCCTCCCCGCAAAGCTCAAGGCAAATGCAGATATCGCCAGATTCGCACAGAGAGCTGCGCAGTTAGAGCAAGTGAAGCCGGCGATCGCGTATTGGTGTAAGTTTGGGAGCTGTATTCATAACCGTGTATTGTAACTAATGTTGCCCAGGCGAATACTGGATTGTCAACCAACTGATCGCCAGAGGACTCCATAACACCGACTCAGAATGCCTTCAATATACGTCAAAGCTGATGGACAAGCTGGAACAGGTACGCTTGCGAGGCATATACCATCAATGAAGGCTAACAAGTTATTCCAGACGAAGAGTAAATATGCGGACGACGATGCCATAATCGACGATACTGCTGGACAGGCATACGTGGAGCAATTCGGCCTCGAAACGTTTGAGCGAGCTGACCGAGCCGTCCAAGCCAACAAGGTTACAAAGTAAGGAAACTCTCCGCCACGTTACGGCTACGCATTCTAATCAATTCAAGGCAAACCGCAGATACCTTCCTCGCCGCATCCACATTTCTCGAACTCCTGAACATATGGGGTGAGGCAGACCAAGAAATCCAGGCCAAGCTCCGCTACGCAAAATGGAACGCTGTCCGCATCATCAAAGCAATCAAGGAGGGCAAAGATCCCAACGAATCCAACCCAATTCCTGAGCCTGGACCAGAGGAAGCACCAGATCAAGCCAGCGAATCCGAGTTGCAACAACTAGGCAGCAATCAGTCTCGCCCACCACCACCGACGGCAGAAGATGTCCCAGACGAGCAGGATTTAATGTCCCCTCACCTCGCCGCACAGTCGCTGCTCAACAAGTCCCTCCACCCGTCTCAAGAGCCCTCGCGGCAAAATACCCCACCAACCGCCTCTCACCCTGGTCCACCACCTCAGCTCTTCAACCCCTCCGCCACCTCCCAAAACGTCTCTCCTATCGTACCCTCTCCATCCGCCTCACCACACGACCGCTCCGGTTCCCTAGGCGGCGGATACTTCCCCGAAGTTCCAACAGACGCCCGTGACATACCCTCTGCACCAACAACACTCCCAACTCACCTCCCCCCCACCACATCCCCGAAACCCAGCGTCATCAGCCCTCCTCACGAACAACCTACCCTCCCCACCTTCCCCACCGTCGACTACACTCCTAACACAGGACACACAGCAGACCAGAACATCGATTCCTACTACTCCCAATCGCCGCCTCAGCCACCAGCACCACCAGCAGCAACACAAGCAGCGTACGACGCGCCTCCCGTGTCCACGATCGCCGCGCCTGTAGGGTCAACGCTACCACCACAACCCGTTGCCACTGCGCCTCGACCGCAGGCAACGGTGGTGTTGGATGATGTGGCAGTGGCCAAGGCGCAGAAGCACGCGAGGTGGGCGATTAGCGCGTTGAATTTCGAGGACTCGGAGACGGCGATTCGGGAGCTGAGGGCGGCGCTGGAGACGTTGGGTGCGCAGTAGATTGTAGTGGGGGGAGAGAGTGGTTGGCCTATTTTTTAGTGGGGGGATTGTAGATAAAGCGCGAGAGCTCGAGAGGGAGGTAAATCCTAGAGAAAATAATTTTCGAGGCGTATGAGTAGAGTTCTGGTGGTGCTTATGTATTGATCGAGGGACATCGACCAACAATCACCCTGCCTGGGTAGCTCAATCGGTAGAGCGTGTGACTCTTAATCTCAAGGTCGCGGGTTCGAGCCCCGCCTCGGGCTCAAATCCCGAGTTTCTCTACAGATTCTCTCATCATATTTTTGCAGTTTTTTGCAGTTTTTTTTTGGCATGCGACATGTATGAATGTAATGCGCGTGGTATTGTCCAAGTTTTTATCATTGTGGTTGTAGGTGGGTGGTATGTGAGAATTGTGTGTTTGTGTAAAAATCCCAAGGGCAATTGCTTGTGCGTAATATTTTTAAGATGCGGATTAATATATTTTTTCACCATTTAATCACTTAATTATCTCTAGATATTATTTCAGGGCGTCATATTCAACTATGCTCCACTATCCTGTCTAGTCTCAGAATTCATATACCAATGCGCATCCAAGGACCTTTCCCAAAATACCACGATGATCTATCTTAAGTATCTTCAATATAATTCTAAACTCTTCGTCGCTTTAATGATCTTATCATCAATAATCTGCATCCACCCAACCGCTCCCATCCCATCCTCATTATCAATCGCCTCCGCCAGACTAGGAAACACCGCTACACCTCGTTAGCAAACACACACTTTACATCACATCACGGGGATCAGGAAAACTCACCACCAGCATACCCAGTCCACAATCCCGGTGCAAAAATCACATGCTTAAACCAACTCCTCCCCGTCAGACCCGGCGCATGCAAGAACTTCCTATCGAGGAGCTTCATCGCGAAATTCGCCTTACGGACACCCAGGTACAGTTTCAGGCGCGCGCACCATCTCAGCCATCCGTAGCCGTGCTCAGCGCGCTCGCGCAGCTTGTCGACGTGCTCGTCGAAGACGCGTGCTACGTCGAGGAAGCGGTGCGCGGAGCCCTGCATGTGCTTGAGGCCGCGGTGGAGGTGCTTGTGGCGGGAGGCGGAGTCGGTAGAAGCTTCTGGGGTTGGTCGGAAGCGGATCGTGGAGGAGCGCGCGGGGCCGTTGTCGACGAGGTCCTGGATCTGCTGGACGTATGAGATGAGTGCTGTGCCGTAGTCGGTGGTGCGGAAGGGGACGAGGGGGGAATCGACGAGCTTGGCGACGAAGAGGCCGAGGACCTTGGAGATGGTGGCGTGGTAGTGCCAGCCTGGGTCGCCGTAGGTCTCCATCCAGTGGTAGCTGTCGTAGTTGGAGTGGTACTGGTAGACTGCGCTTTCTTGGCTCGCGGTGAAGCCGATGTCGATCGAGGAGATGCCAGCGAAGTCTTGGAAGGCGGTGAAGTCGGAGCCGCTGCCCATGGTACTGATGTGACCACCCCATACGTCGCGAACGGTTTGCCCTTCCACAGTCTGGTTCGGCGACTGCACCCTGCCGGTCACCTCGTGGATGAGGTTGTTTAGCAGAGGTGAGGCGGCCGCAACGAATTTTGGTCCACTGCAGCCAACGTCGATGTTGACATAGGCAACATTGGCTTCGCTCAGCCAAGGGATGTACTCTTCTACCCACTCCGTGCTGCCGACCAAACCATACTCCTCACCATCCCAGCTTGCGAAGACAATAGTGCGAAGCGGTTTCCAGCCCTTGGAGAGCGCCTGCCCAAAGCCGCGGATGACCTCCATCATAGCTGCGGATCCGGAGTTGGGGTCACCAGCACCTCCAACGATCCACGCGTCGCGGTGGTTTCCAACAACAACGACTTCATCAGAAAGAGTCCCGTTGATTATACCAATGACGTTCCAGATAGGTGTGATCTTGTAATCCTGCTCGTTTACTAGGTTCAAAACAAGACCTTCTGGGGATGGGCCGGCATTATAGTGAACACCACGCGTCACGAGACCGAGGTTGACATTCCAGTACTTGTTCAAGTCCTTCGGCACTGGGCCATGACCATTGAGCGCCTTGAGGATTGGAATCGCGTCGGTATACGATATGGGAATAGAGGGAATCCGTGGAATATTGTCGTCTGTTGGGGATCGAGGTACTCCAGGCTTCGAAGGGTAGCCAGGCGTGGTAGGGTCGCCGGGTCCCATGGACAGGAACTGAGCGCTTCCACGCTGGACACTGGATGGGTTGCGGCCAGGTCCATCTGGGTAATTTTCAGACATATCATGGAGTGGGGTCCCATCATCACCAGGGTCAGTAAAAAGGACTGCGCCGACCATGCCCAGCTCTTGCGCACGCTTAATCTTCAGGCCTCTGAAGACATGGCCGTATCTTGCGATGGCGATGTTGCCTTCCAGGGAGACATTGGCCTTGATCAGGTCCTCAAAGTCATGGTATGTGCCGTAGTTGACATATACATATCGTGCGGTGACGTTGCCGTTCGCAGAATAACCGTGGAATGTTGGGATCCTATTGGAAGCGCCAGTCGTCGGGTCTTCTTCCAGCACATCCTCCTCCAATGAAGCTTCGAACTTGACCTTCCATGTTGCCTCGCCATCTTTCGAATGTCCCTTGCTGGGTTTCTCCAAGAGTGCAAGTCTATGTCCGAGAGGGTAGTTCAGGTAAACATCGTATGGAACAACACTTGAGTCTTCAATTCCAAACTCCTTCCACTTCTCCTGTGTCCAAACAGCCTGGCTGAGGTTGGTCCCGGCCAGATGAGGACCCGAGGTGTAGTATTTGCTCCATTCTGACAGCTTCTCCGTGCTGGGACTGTTCAGAAGCAGATTCTCGAGGTCGGCGTATTGAAACTTGCCGCGCGAGGGCACGAGATCGTCGAGAAGGTGGGGGATAAAGGCCGCTGGAATCAGAACGAGGATGACAAAGGCAATAGCCAATGAGCCTGTAGCGATATATGCGAATCGACGACGAACAGCAGCCGAACTTTGTTGTTGAGGCAGTCGAGCTGGCTGAGCTGTCGAAGAAGCTCCAAGGAGAGGTGTGCGGTCATCGGGAGCCATGGCAGCTGGTAGATGACCTTGACGTGAAGGTGAGGGCAGTATGTGCATACATATATAGGCACAATGCCCGCGATATGAAGTCCGAGGCGGAATAAAGTGACGATCAGTGAATTCGCAAGTGGAGGAGGGGAAGAAGTGTAAGTAGGACTATGAAGCTTGACCTCCTTCCCAAGCTCGTTAGCCTTGGTGGGTAGTACATGTAACGCGTAGGATAACAAGGCAGGATAAGAAGTACCGATGGCTGGAGTTGGCTGGAAGTAGCGCTAGGAACTGCCAAAGTGTGGAGGTACAAGCAAGAGGTACCTGGTGGCCTCGGCGTCGGCAATTCATCCGCTCCGTCTAGTAAGCTACGGATATTTGCAGACTAGTGTACGTTAGTCTGGAATAGGATGGTGGGTTGAAGGAATAGCCACTCAAGCTTTTGACAGAACGCTCTGATTGGTTAAGCACGGATGAACGGCCCAATCACGCCTTATAATTGGTTACAATCATCACAAATGATTGCAATCACAGTATCACGTGACCACAAACCCCACCATTTTGCCCCTCTTTTAGGTAATCCGACCTCGGGGTGTTCAACGGACTTATAAACAACGATTGCCCGATCATAGAGTCATCGTATCACGTGACCTCATATCTTCTAGCTCCTCGCAGCTCCTCCAGCCTTCCTCCTCCTCTTCTTTGATCTTGTCGTGTTTTGCTTCCTGTACTGCCTGTTTGCATCTATAAACATATATCTATAATAATCTTATGGCTAAACTGGCTTTGATATTGTGCCCAACCATACTATATCCACTATATCCACTATAAAGAACCATTTTGCCTTTCATGCACCCCAGAAGCGTAGTGGTTACGTATACGAGACGCCCATAGGGCAACCCAAACTTCATCCGCTGTCGTCCTGAGGGGATATTAAGATGACCAAGATGTCTCGCCGTGAGCCAAAGCTGCCTGTGCGGCAGCTGATCATACTGGGTAAATCTGCTCTGTTAATTTCTTGATGGGATGCCGAGCGCTGATATCCTCGGTAGCAATATGTAGATTCGCAGAGCCAATCGCGGCAACGAGCGTCTTTCCGTATCTGGTAAGAGGAATCTTTCTATCAACCTCTATGCCTCAAATGAGATTGACTTTATATTGCGCACAATGCTAACTTCCAGAAGCCCGAAATGATCGAGAGTTTCGGGGTCAAAAAGCAAGAGGTAGCCAAGTGGGCAGGTAAGACACCACCGTCTTCCCGCGTGAAACATATGAAACATGAGACTCACGGATTTATAGGAATCACAAGTGCTGTATTCAGTCTGAGCCAGAGCATTACGGCCATAATATGGGGTAGAGCGTCCGACATGTTCGGCCGCAAACCGGTGATCTTATTGGGGCTTACCTCGACTATGATCATGAGTATATTGTGGGGTTTCTCGACATCACTTACTTGGGCGATTATTGCGAGAGCTCTCTCCGGCGGAGGAAACGGAAATGGTTAGTTGTGATCAGTCCCTTCGTTCAGAGCCCAAAAGCTAAATAGCGGTAGTTGGTATCATTCGAACCATGGTCGCGGAAATGGTGCCTGAAAGGAGCCTTCAGCCCCGTGCGTTCTCAGTCATGCCTCTCGTATGGAGCTTTGGTAGTATCCTGGGACCAGCCTTTGGTGGTTTCTTTGCTTCTCCGGCCGTCAATCTTCCTGGACTCTTCGGCAACAACAAGTTGCTCACAAAGTTTCCCTTCGCGCTGCCTAATATGATAGCGTCCATCTTCTTTGCCGTCGGCATTATTGTCGGCTTCCTTTTTCTGAAAGAGACCCTAGAGACTCGCAAGAACAAACCCGATTACGGGATTTATATCGGCCAGAGGCTGGTTCGGTGTGTCAAGTCCCGCAAGAAGAGGCGGAACCGTGACTATGACGACGATGAGCTCGGAGCTGCTCTGCTCAACAACACCCACTCCCGCAGTAACTCTCACTCCTCCAGCAAGCCATTCGACACCACATGGCAAGGACCCAAGACACCCCAAGTGGCCGGCCCCTCCGTTTGGGAAGTCTTCAACAAGCAGTCGAACCTTAACCTCCTCTCCTACGCCATCCTCGCCCTCCACAGCATGGCAATGGACCAACTCCTCCCAATCTTCATGCACCACCCCCAACAAGCCCCCGACTCCTCCAACACGAAACTCCCCTTCAAATTCAGCGGAGGCTTCGGCATCTCCTCCTCCCGCATTGGGACTCTCTTCACCGCCTACGGAATCTGCAGCGGCATCGTGCAGTTCTTCGTCTTTCCCGTGGTGGTACGGCGGTTCGGCGTCCTGCGGTGCTACCGCGTGTGCGCAGTCATTATCCCATCCGTCATGTTCGTCACGCCGTATACGGCGCTTATCCAGAACCCGATACGTCAGCAACTTGCGATGTTCAGCTTGATGATCGTCAAGGCGTTCTGCGGCATCTTCATGTTCCCATGTAGTACGATAATGTTGACGAATTCCGCGGCGAGCTTGAGGCTGCTGGGGACGCTGAATGGGGTTGCCACGAGCGTGAGTTCGATTGGGCGAGCTGCTGGGCCGTTCTTTGCTGGCGCGGCGTTCTCGTGGGGGTTGGAGAGGGGGTATGTTATTGTGGCGTGGTGGATGTTGGGGTTCATTGCGATCCTTGGGGCGATTCCGATATTTATGTTAGTTGAGATGGAGGGGTTTAATCAGGCTAGCGACGATGAGGATGGGAGTGATGACGAGGAACTATTGACCCCTCATGATGATGATGATGATGAAGGCACCATCATCGCGGGGGATGAGGCTCTATATGAGACTTCGGAGGATGAAGAAGGGATTGACACGGTGGAACAGCCGTTGGCGGGTACACAGCACAGACTTGACGTACCCCGCGCATCTGTACAACGGAGGATGAGCAGCCCAGTTGGTATCCGAGGGAATAGTATCGGACCCGGCGAACGAGGAAGGAGGCTGAGCACTGGGCTTGGTTACTCCAATTTCGGTCGTGGAACTGGAGGGACGACTTTCGGATGATTGAGGTTGGGAATAGATGGTAACAGGACCGAATGAGATTAATGAACACTGCACTTGATATAGTAATGTAACGCGGAAAATTGGGAATCGGGAGCATCACAGAAGCGAAAATGAAGGATACACGAGATACCTAGATAGTCAGCGGATAATACACAAATTGTTCAAACAAGATGATCTGGAGCGCAGCACCTTCCTTAATATATTGGTTTATGGTGGTCGTTGACTTGGGATGCCGAAACACGGCTGGGCCGCGGCGGGAACTAATATCCCCGCGGAGCTAAAACCGACGACGTTGAAGGCAACCACCACTTTGTTGTGCAAAACTACAATGTTTGTAAGTAAGCTGTCGAATGTATTAAACACAATGTTATATTCTCTTGTTGTTGCCATGCTATTATGAGCGTTTGCTCCCCCGTCAATTTGTTTCAGCGTTTGTGCTTGCATTGCACCAGCCAACCACTGTTCGCTTTGGATGCCTTCTTGCCGGCCGGCTCAGTGAGTCTCTCGTTAGAGCGGGTGATGGTCTTCGAAGAATATACTCCGTACGGTAGTGCTGGTACAGGATGCACAACTATATGGTAGTATGTGCAGGAGGATGCGCCGGAGGATGCGCCGGAGGATGCGCAGGGGGATGCAGAGTGGAAGGCATAGTAGAGAGGTGCAGCGCTGACCGTGTTCTGTCGTGTCGTCGCCTCATCTCTTTTTGGGGACTTAGCAGTTGGTTTGCATATGGGGTTTGGAGTATGGAGTTTTGCAATTCGAGGGAGGTGAATGGATAAAGGGTGAAGACGGAAGGTGAAGATGGAGGAGTAGGGAGAAAGATTGGAGAGGAAGGATGCGGGTTGAAATTCCATTGCATGACAATGGATCTATATATTCCTTTACAATGGCATGCAGTCGACCATACTACTATGTTCTCTTCCCGTCTCTTTCAGTTAATGTTCTTCAGCACATGGTGTGGGGATTCCTAGCCTGGTCTGAATACCCGCTCCTCTCTACCCCTATATAACCAAACTTTAGCCGCCTCCAAATCAAGCGGCACAGTGGCGCAGTGGAAGTACCACTGTCTGGACAATCTGGCCAGCGGAGGATAAGGAGGTTACGGATTCGAATCCCGGCGAGGAGACGATGAAACCAAAAATGAGAGAAAGAGTTTGGAAACGAGCGATCAACACAAATCAACACATACGATATCATAACAACGACTAATAACGACAAAAAGTAAAATCACAAAGATGATTTTCTCCCTCATCAGATCTCGAGATCTGATGAGTCTTTTGCTATTTTTTTGCTTAGATAAAGGAAGGGAGTTGTTCAGCTTTGTGTGATTTTGTGCTTTGCTCGTTGATATTTTTTTGTCACGCGTTTGAGCATTTGGACAGTAAGGTGTAAAGGAGCAGATAGGGGCAGGGCTACTGAATCTCAGCGCTTCCAAGCTAATATTGCCCTTTATTTGGTATGCGGCATTACAATTTATTAAACTGTTGCCCTCGCTCCGTGTATTTTAATTCACCTTGGTCTCGTTACGTGACGTTTACCCGATTGATTGTTTACATCCGTTCTTCACTTCTTGATCTTGTTTACGAGCTACATATTTGGCTCTCACCATCAAGTGAATCCCTACAAACACACAACTCTTCCACTTAAGACACTCATTCTTGTCTCTCCCCATGACACCCGATTCTCACAGCCATGTCGTCCACTTCCACTCCTACTGAGTCATCCTGCACCACGGTGTCTGAACCCTGTGCTGAACCGTCTGCCAAGAAAGCAAAACTCACCACGTAAGTAAAAACCCACGTCCTTCTTCTATTGAACTTATCAATAGTAACATGCCGCAGATCTGATTTTGAGATGCCAAGCATCGTTGTCTTCGTGGTTGGGAATCAAAAGAAAGTGCTCCAGATGCCCCGACGCATCGCACGTGAAAGCTCAGACTTGATAGACGCCGAATGCAAAGACCTTTCTGACACGGCTGTGTATATTAAATTATACCCCAATATCCCTGTTGAGATATTCACGCTGTTTCTCGTGTGGTTATCGACGGGCGACCTCAATAATGCCGAGGAGTTTGCATCGCACCCGGCGAACCCAAGCGCCGTTGACCTAGAAGATACTTCAAAGAAACTCAACCAGCTGGCCCAGTGCTATCACCTCGCTGAGATATTGATCGCGAGGCCATTTCAAAACTACATCACTGATCAGATCTGCAAGTACTTGGAATCCCTCGTGGACAAAGACGACCTACTAGAGAAAACCATCGCTCGCAATGTACCCCTTGTTTACGTCGACGGCCAAAAGGAGTCAAAGCTAAAATGCCTTCTCGAAGACGCGATTGTTGCCAGCACCACCAACCTCACGCGATGCATGCCTATCGACAACCCAGAGTTAGAGCCCATGGTCTTGGCATTCTGGAATGGAGTGGCTATTTCAGCGATTCGAAGGAATAAAGAATTGGAGGATGGGCGGATGCGGTTTCCGTTGAATTGGGGGGAAGAGCGTAGGTGCAAGTATCATGAACACAAGAATGACGATGAGATTATGGACTGCAGAGAGAGGCGCCTGGAGAAACAGGGTAGAATGTGTATCGATCAATAGGAGGATCTGCAAGTCTTCGAATGAGATGGAGGATTACAGCGAGAGACGGTTGTTGGATCAAGGCAGAATGGGAATTGATCAGTGGAAAGAGTCCTCAAATAAATCGGAGCTGTGCTATGCTATGAGCAAACTTTGTCATCTGCTTCTTAGATCGTTAATAGGACAGACCTTTCATCAGGATATCTGTGCACATCATCCCATTTCACAACTAAAAATGTAGCACCATTGCTGTATTTCAAACGGAAGATTCACAGCTGGAGAAATATCCGATTTAGAATTGCTATTGAGTTGCAAAGAGTTGCCAAATTGTGTTACTTGCTCTTTGCTTCAATGCGAACAATCAAATCTCCTATCTATAATATGCCTGCCTAATTTTGAGATCTCGAATTTGACTCGATATTTCGCTTCTTAAGTCACGACGACTTCACTCAATGGCCTAGCCCTTCTGAATTCTGCATCCATTTGCCTTGTGCATATCGGTGACGGCATCTTCTCCATAGAGGAGACTAGTCGTCTTCTATAGGTAATTAGTTTTGGATTCTCCATGTCTCACAGGTAACAGTGTAGTATACCGGTGTCATCGAAAAGCCTCAACTCGCAATCGCTAGAATCTGACCTGCGAGTGTCTACTCTTGCCTTCTTTTGAGCAGGCTCCTGGGTGGTCTTCTTTGTTGCCAGTCGCATTTTGAACATCTTTGATGCCGACCCTTTGGTGTAAACAATCTGATTCGAAGGTTGGTTTTGGTACTTAGATGCCACTATATTGAAGTCAAATAATGTAAAGTTTAACAGAAAGAATGTATCACCTTCAGAAGCAATGCGGACAAGCTCTTCCGGTTTCAGCCCATACTCGATTGCCTTCTCAGAAGCATTTTTGAAAACACCCGCCGCTGCAGAAGTTGTCCCTATATTAAAGTCAAATGGTGAAATTAACAAGAGAAAAGTACTATTACCAAGCGTAGTAATACTTTGTATCTTGCCCGGATCCATTCCAGACTCAACTGCAGTTTTGATGGCGTCTTGTAGAGCGTCCTCAATAGCAGAATCTTTGGATGACATGGCCATTGATATCACTTTGCAGTTGAATGACTGCAGGCTTAATATGTATCGTTTGTGTTCAGTTGTACTTCACGTTGTTTAAGACGCATAAGCAAAGATCAAGAAGCTTGGTTATGTACAATGAGAAACTCAGGTCGCTAGATGCCAGCCCTTGACCACAAATTCCAGGCTCACACTCCGTGCCCCTTTCCCCCATAACCAACTTCACATAACTTCACAACAAAGACAGCTTGATCTGTTGCGCCTCATATCATCTCTCCTCAAGTTTCCAAGCAGGCTTTCTCGTGCGCCACCGAAAGGCTGGAGAGTTGTCGTGGGCAGTGTTGCCCGAATACCGCTCCGAGTACTACTCGAGCATCCTCGAGTAGAGTACTGAAAATTGAAGCTCGAGTACCGGTATTCGAGTACCGGTACTCGAATACCTCGAGTAGTACTCGAGCTTAAAATATATATTGATATAAAACTGTATATTACTATTCTAACTCTCATTATCTGCATCGTCGCCGCTGTCTTCGTCGTCGCCTTGTGATAAAACACCCCAATTCCGTAAGCAAAGTAGATATCTAAGTGTAGAAGGCGATAATCGGTTCCGTTTCTTTGTGATAATATCACCACCGACACTAAATACTCGTTCTGAGTCTGCTAAGGTAGCTGGAATAGCTAGGTAATCCCTTGCAATAGAAGCAATCAATGGATATTAGTATTGCTTACTCTGCCAATACTTAAGAATATCCGTATCCCTACCAACTGTCGGCTCCTTCATCCATTGCTTCCATTCTGGCTCAATATTGTGGCGGCTTTGTGATACGTATAGCTCATCTTCTGAGTCGATATCGATATTTATAGCTTGCTCTATATCTAGATCCTCAGCTTCAATACTATTCATAACGTCTGCTGCTCGAATATCAGACTCGCGGCCTGAATATCGATAGAAGCAGTCCTACCACTGTGCTTTTGCCCTATTCTTCCTAGTTAAGTGCGTGCTATCTTTCCATATAATATTGAAGACGTTGAAGTTATACTGAGGATCACAGATCGTAGCAATTGTAGAGTGGCTCTGTTGCTGATTTGTAGCTAGAGTATAGTAATCATTAAGCTTCTTTAACGCAATTGACGTAGTAGTAGCAATTGGGCTTCGTTCTAGTAGCTCACTTCTCATATCTTCAAGCTTCTTAATCATCCTCATATACTGCGGAATAGCGTAGTTGAGAGATGGATAAGAAGAGCCCTGTAACTTCTTAGTTGGGCGGACGAAGATATAGAATAGCTTTAATAAGTCATGTAGCGTAGCCTAGTCTACTGCTGTTAAAGCAATATCTCTCATACTAATATCAAGTTGCTGTGATGCGCATAAAGCTGTAATTAGAACCTAAAGCTTTAAAGCTGTATCAATCATATGATAAGTTGAGCTCCATCGGACTGGCATATTGAGAGTCAACCGACGGACTTTGATACTCGCAGCTTTACACTGATTCTTTAAGGCGTCTTTCCATCCGCGGCAGTTCCAAAACACATATATATGACGCCGGAGCTTAGCAAGAACAGTGACGATATCATTTTCAGAAGTAAGTGGTATTCGTGCTACCCTAATCTCAAGCCGATATGCCTCTGGGCCTTCATCTGGTGTTGCTTTTAAAGAGGCTAAAGCAGCTTAAACAGCAATATTGATAATATGCCTAATACAGCGTACGTCTCCTACTTTTGCTGTAAAAGCCCATGGTTGTTTTAGAGTAATAGGTTGTACCGAAGCCAGCTTCTCATATTCTAATAGCATAGTTGTATTCGTAGAGGCGTTATCTCTTGTAATAGTAAAGATTGCAGGCGTAATACTATAATCGTCCGTCACATTTATCAACTGTTCAGCAAGGTATTCGCTAGAGTGGATTGGCTCTTGTAGGTGTATAACGTCGAGTATGGTATTTCTCATTTGCTAATTATCATTAATCCAGTGTACTGTAACTGCTGCATACTTAGAATAGTTCTGAGCAGACCAAGTATCTGTCGTTATTGCTAGTCGTCTACCGCTTGTGATATGCTGTTGTAATTCTACTTAAAGCCGTGCTTTATGATAGCAGAATAGTCGATATAGATCCCGTCCAATTGTAGTTCTACTAACTGTTAAGACTGTAGGATTTAGATGGTGAACTAATTGCCGGAAGGATTGGCTTTTAATAAGGCGTAATGGTAGGTTATTTGATACTATAAAAGAGAGAACAAGCTCTCTATATTTCGACGAACTTGGTGCATTACTAGGTGCTTGGCGGGGCTGGAAGAAAGCAGAAGCAGAAGTAGAGGGTGTTGATGAGCTTCGAATTGAAGTTATTGTATTGTATTCTGCATGCACCGATGGGTGCTGCTTCTGAAGATGCTTCCATAGATTGCTCGTCGTTGGGTTCTTTAGGGGCTGGCTCGGCGTATATCCACAATTGGTTTGAAGGCATTGGTATTGGATTCTAGCAGGTACTATATCTAATAAAGTACGGTAGAATAGTCTTTTGGAAAAGAGTATTGATGTAGAATCAGGTAATTGAACTCTTAGAGGCATATGCGGCATCGAAATAAGGGGCATTGGAATAAGGGGCGGCAGCTCTAAAGCATCAGACTGATACTCAGCCGGCACCGGCGACAGCGAAGAGTCACTCATTACAGGAAGTAATACAGAACGCTCAAGTAGAAGCTTCAATTATCCATTCTACAATCTATATTACCCCTCTTTGCCAAGGGCTTGGCAGTACTCGAGTATTCAGAGTAGTACTCGGCGAATACCAGAGTACTCAAAAATATCACCCGAGTAGAGTAGTACTCGGGTATTCGCCGAGTACTACTCACAGCGAGTAGTACTCGGGCAACACTGGTCGTGGGCATTCGAACACGACTCGGAAACCGTCCATCCCCAACATCAAACACCTCAGACAACCGTTGTGGATGGGTAGGCATGGCGGTAACTTCAATGTTTATTCTTGGAAATTGTTGTGTACTCCGCAGGTAAGTTAGTGGAATGGGCATGTATTATACCGATGGTGAGCTTGAGTGGGGGTTTGGTGAAAGTGAGAGTGCTATCGACAATAGGCCAAGGAAACATAATTTATTATGATATAGCTGATTTAAAAACACTGAATATACAGATTATTCAAGAGTTGAATTAGATTATTGACGCTCGTTTGCTGCTACGAATATCACTCACTGTGCTATTCAAGCTTATAAATTCCTGGAGGACTCACCTTCAGCGTGCATTCACACAATATATTGTTTCCATATCAAAGTCATTCATTCTACACCAGATAATCACAATAAAGTAGCGACTGAGACCGATCCATTTGTCTTGACTCAATGTGAAAATATCACAAAACAAAACCTCCCGATCAACACAAGTCCGATCAGGACATTCAATCTCCCTCCCATGAACCTGGAAGTTTCCACGCAACCTCATTGCTGACAGAGCTTCCCACCTCAATTAATACCTTCCTACAACCACCTTACATTCTTCTCCCTTCACCCCATCGCCCTCGAGGACCCAACACAGTAGTGCGACGCAAGCCACACCACAACCGGACCGTACTCGCCCTAACCACCCTCCCAGTCCTTGAAACTAGATGTTCATAAACCCAACCAACAGGCCTTGGATATCCATCCACCAATTTTGTGGTAGGGTATTCCTCTTCAAAGAGACGCGGAATAAATTCCCCGTCTCTGGCGCGGTAGCTGTGGCGGTAATATGGTGAATATGACTGAAGATAGGGGTCGTCATCATAGTAGTAGTGGTTTTCTCGACCGCGCTGGAGAAGGCTGTAGTCTCGGGTTTTGTGATAGGGGTAGGCGTGTTTATAGCCATCGTAAACACTGCTGGCATATTGATCTCTATAGTAGGCATCATCGTCGTAGGAGTCGCAATGGCACGTCCGTGAACGACCATGGCCATCAATGGTGGTATGCATGCTTCTGACAGAGAAGTTTCAACTTGGTGTCAGGGTCTAAGGTTCTGTTTCTGGTTTAGTTATTTTCTCAGACGATGGGAAACTATGGCTTTTTATACTCAGATATATATGATATGCAGAACTTTTGGGGATTATTTGTTCTCTCCGCACTTACCCGCGCATGTTAATATGTGAGGACCCGACAGGCGATCGATATAGCAAATATGTGCACGAATGGGCGCAATTTACGTTGATAGTATTTTCCCCCTTATCACTACAGTCTCTCTCTTCAGATTTTTAGGCGGCACGAGGCGCAAACAGCTGTCATAAAAGCTTCTCATTTCCATATAATGTATAACCAAATACCTCCTTTATCCCATTCATCAATCCATCCCTCAATGGCCCTAGAAGAATAAAAAGGGGGTATGTACAGACTAAATCATAGCTTCGTATAAGAACGAAGACGACAAATAAAACACCTCATCCAGTCTTTCCCACCCACCCATCCTCTAGCAGCCCAGCTCCCAGCTTCCAGCTCCCACCCACACCCAAACTCCACACAAAACCAGGCTATGCAAAATAAAATAAAACAAAAAACAGGCATCTTCACTTCGTCAGTTACTCGTGAAGGGTATTGGTTCCAACCCCAAGCAGACAGAACACAGCCAGTCTAATCCGTCGATCTATAAAACTTCTTGTAGATAAGGTGCAGAAACAAATTGACGTTCAGCTTCAGTCCGCCCTCGAACAAGTTCATAAACTGGTGATTGTTGAACTGCGCGCTCAGGCAGTCCTCCAGCGGGACCTGGGCGCTGGCGCCCGGTATTTGAATGCTGCCCAGGCTGCCTTCGATAAAGAAGATGCCAACCTGGTCACAGGAGATGGTGACGTTAATCTTCTCGTACTGCTTTTCGGTGTAGCCAGACCATGACACAAGCACGCCCTTGTCGGCAAGATTTCGTGCCGAGTACTTGAAAGATCCGAACTTGGGCTGACGTCCGGTTCGCTGTAGTTCACGCTCGTGGTTGTATTGCCTGGTAAATGGTAGAAGGAATCGTTTTTTGCTATATAATGTCAGTAAAAATT